TTTTTCACCCAGTGCCATTCTTAGTAGTGTGTAGTAATAAATCTATCTTGCAACTTAAGTTATGCAGCCTGTCTGACTCTTTGTGGAGTACATAGGTATCTTTCTTCCAATTATGTTTATCTCAAAGCCATAAATTTTTCGTGTTAATTGGGTTTTCGCTCTCCCTTCTCCCTCTTCGGTGGGGGGAAAGGAGGGAACGTCGTGGGCACAGTTCAAACCACGACAACATGGCACATAGGCTGCTGCTGAAGCACTGCGTGCAATGCATCCTACAAAAACATTTTTTTAATTGGAAATTTAATGATTTCTTCTCTAAGTATTTCTACTAACTGGACAAAATAGAAGTGTCTAAAATTAGCTTCCCCAGATAAAGACATTTTTGTCATATTTGGTGCATTCCTATCTGAACACTGAAAGCCAGCTGTTTGGGCTGGGTTACAGAGAGAAATCTGTTTGCAACTACACTGATCTGCCACTTCTAGCCCTGGAATTAAGTTTTTTTTTTATCTTTCTACACACTAGGTTCATTTTTTCCATGCTAAGAGAGTGCCAGAAGAAGCATAATAAAGACTATATAATTAAATCCAGAAGTGCCTCACAGTGAACTTAACTGTAAATGCTAATGGCATTTCTATCAAAAGTAATACCCTGGGGACTCATTGCAAATTAACTAAGAAGTACTCAGTGATGTTGCTTCTATGGATTTTAACTGAATCTGTACCATTAAAATGAGTCAGGAGTTGGATTGTTTTCATGTCAGTTGAAATCCTCTGTAACTGAGGTCACCAACTCCTGGGTAAAACTTGTGAGAGCAGATTCAGAAGCCACCCCTGATTCTGTTCTTTGTTATCTTGCAATTTCCCTTACCAGGACATTACCATTACAACCTAGTTTTTCCATCTGCTCTTCTGGCTCCACACTGGGGAAAGTCATTGGCTTCAGGGAGTGGTGGTGGAATGAGAAAAGAGCTGGGTTCCAACGTGAGGAAAGAGCAGGGAGGAGGCTGGTGAGCTGGTGGTTAGGCTGATGCCAGCAGAGGGACTGAGAGTTGGCTCTGCACGTCTTAGGGCTCTGTACCCTTTAGGACCAAAAAAAAAAAAAAAAAAAAAAAAAAAAAAAAAAAAAAAAAAAAAAAAAAAAAGTTGGAAGAGACAAAAATAACATATTTAAAGAATGCCCACAAAAATCCAGCGGTCTCCTAATGGTTGTGCTTTGTAAATACTTCTATGCCTGGTTTTCCAGACATGCGTGAGAAGCTCGCCATGTGAGCTTTTCCCCTTCTCAACTCCTTTTTGTGGTTTATGGAGGCAAAGCAGATAAGATCTGTATGAAATTCAACATTCCAGAGGTGCCCCAGTGAAAGCAGGTCCTTGATGCCTTGCTATGCTATTAAAAAGTCTCACAACTTTACATTTTCTTGCATGACTGTTAGTGACTGCAAAACCATTCTCTGGGTGAGATGGGAGCCAGAGAGGATGAAACATGGGACAAGTCAGAAGCAGTACTCCTGCGCTGGCTGGCAGGGTGATGAGCCAAGATACTCTGATCTGTTGGTGCTTCTGCAGTGACTGTGGCCAGACTCGAGTTCTGGACCCAGCTTAGTGCATCCCAGACTGTAGCCCATGGGATGTGCTGGAGGGCTTAGAGGCAGTGCCACAGCCCCAGCAGCAGCTCCCAGCACCTCAATCCCTCCATCAGCCACTGCCTGCACTGCTGCCAGTCTGGTGGGAGCTTATAGGTGCCTTCCTACATGCTCTGAATCACTGATAGCAGCTCAGTTTCTTCAGGATGGAAGAGTTATGAAAAAAGCTGAAGTATTCTTGCCTTGGAGCAACTGAGCTGCAGCCAGATGCGTGGAACCCAAAGGGATCAGTACAACACTCAGGCCAGAGCAGGGCTTCTTAAACATAAGCTTATAGGCACATACCAGAAGTTTCTTTCTTGGCAGATGCAAGATCTGAAAAATGTGGCAAGGAGAGCACGATGTTCAGTCAAAACTTTAATAACAACAGCGGTAATAAAGCCCGGACTTCCTACAAGTCAAAATAATTTTTGCCACCAAGCTAAGTGGGGTGGAGAGGACCCACATGGTGAATTTCCTCCTCTTGGCTGAACATTGCTTCTTCTTCCATCACCTCTTCTTCTCCTATCACCATCATGATGCCACTGCATCTTTTCATAGCAGCTGGCATTTCACAGCAACAAAAACATTCCTCCCTAATTTGCAAGTGGGAGATCTTCAAAGACTGCCTTCAGGTCTGGTTATTGGACTTCAGAGAATAAGCTCAGGAGACAAATGACCCATTGAACTTCAGGGTCACTGACCCCTGACACTTTTGGTAAGAAGAGAAGCTAGGGCTTGACCATGACCTCAAAGGCAGCTCTGTGCTGTCCGAACCTCAGCAACTAGCACTAAAGTCACCACTCAAGCAAGCAATCAATCAATCAATCACTCACTATTCTTCAGCCACAGCATCTTTTCTGCTCTTTCCTTACAAGTCTTTACTCATACATGAGACCTGCTGATTCCTTGTGCTGAGGCAGTGCCCAGATGCTGTGGATTTGCCTTTAGCAGAGAGAACTTTTATAAGTGAAAGGGAGTTTAGACAAGATTGAAGCAAATTATGTGTAGGCCAGATCCTAAATATACCTGGAACACCACCCTTACTTGGCTGTGGAGTCTTTCCAAACCAAATTCTTCTTCAAATGCCATTTCAGCTGCTGGAAATTCAGCTCAAGTATAAATCAAACTGTTTCCAAATACATTTCTGGAAGAAGTAGATGTCAGCATGCAGAAGAACAATCCTTATAGCTGCACACTTGATTCTCCTCATTTTGAGACTTGCTGCACAGGACCAAAAGCAGGAGATGAGACTAGCTGGTGGCCTCTGCTAGCACCTTCCTTTTTGTGACATGCTTTTATAGCCTACCTATAACCCATTCCCTCCCCCATCCTGCTTGGAGGAAGTGAAGGAACAGCTCTGTTTAATTGACAGCTGGGGCTAAATCACAACACACAGTTTCCAAACTGCTCCTGCATTAATGATCCAGATACTGCTTTGGATTACCTGAAGATGTTGGTGGGAGAGTGTGCTAGGTTGAAGTCCATTACAGTGAAGTACAAAGTCTTTCCCAAATCTCATGCTGTCCCTGGTTGTCAGATGAAATGATAAAGCAAGGATACAAACAGATTCACTTGAAAGCTTGAAAAAACAGCAGAAGTGTGCTGATTTTTTAAATTCTGATCTAAAAAATTCAGTTTCTAAGTTCTAGACCAATTCATTTTTGGCTGCCTCTCAGGCAGATTCAAGATAGCCCAAACAACTCCAATGGCACTGAGGAGAGCACACAAAGCAGCAACACACAAAGCAGCACAAAAACCTTGACAGTTCTATTAAAGTGACTTTATTAAAACATTGTTAATATAAAATGCGACCAAGTACAATTTTTTTGTAAGAATGTTTGATAAAAACATATTCAAGAAGAAGGAGCATCAACTCTTGTCAAAGCACAGGAAAAAACCTACCAGGATAAGTAAAAAGTTCTGCAGCATGTTCTACCAGCTGGTCCCAATGTGTATTAGAGTTGAGTTAGCTGATGGAAGAGACAGGCAGCCCAGGTTCTTCCCGAAGAAGCTTTAAGGTATTACCAGAGATTTAAAGCAACACTCCTTGACAGCAGGAGACTTTGTTTTCAGATCTCCCCAAATCAGAATAAGATTTGAATGTGCATCTTCACTTTGGATTTACAACTTTTCAGCAGCTGAAGGTACAGAAAACTAGATTCACTGGTAACTGTAAACCTCAAGATTAAGATTTGTTAGCTTTAAAAGGAAGGTGCTAGTCAGTACTAACCATACAGCTAAAGAATTTGTGCTTAAGCTGTTCTAAGCTATATTAATTCTGGATGCTTGTAGCAAATGCTACAAAAGAAAAAAAACAGTGGTAAAGTCCAGGATGGTAACAACAAATATTTTTCTGAACTGCTGAATGCAGAGATAATATCCACAAATTACACGAGTTTGTACAGCTCAGGAAAAATGTAAAAAAGCTTTCAGAAGTCTACAAATAAGAAAGAGTATGCTATGCAGCAGCTTCTACTCTGTGGCAATCCTACCGTCTAGCTAATGAACCTTTTAAGAAAGCACTAAAAAGTGGAGGTTTTGGCCTTGACGGTTCTCTATGTATTTCTTTTTGCAGGGTGTGGTGGCAAGAGACACGGGATATGCTTACAGTGTTTTTCTTGTCCAACAAGTGAATTTCAATGCTCTATCAGCATACTCTGCTTGTTCACACCAAGCAGCACACCCATTAGAGGCAAGGATTCTTTCTAGGACATTGCAAATTCTTCCTGCAACCAGCAGAAAAAATCCTGCCGCATCCAATTCTGCACATTTAACTGCCCCTGGCACTGAACCAAATGTCAAGTGCTAATCCATGAGAAGCCTAGCACACTTATGGTTTAGGAGATGGTGACCTTCTTACAGCCTTGGCTGGGACCCACTGGAGCCTTGTGTTTTGCCTTCTACCCCAAACAAATGCTATGGGACTATTGCTGAGGTAAAGGGAAAAGTCAAACCTTTGGCATTGGAGCAGACCAGTCACTGGCTGTGCGCAGGGGAATTAAGGCTTCAAGGTGAGGTAAACACAGTGAGAATCAGTGTGTAAATCATGCTGCATTTCAGAGACAACAGATTCAAACGACAGCTACTTTTGTTCTCTACATTTTAAACACCAAAGATCATTCAAAAGCAGAGCTGGAGGCAAGACTGCCAAGGGACACCTTGAGATGCCTCTCTGTACCTTAGGAATAAATGTAACCCAGATGTCGAACACTAAAGAGGATGTACCCACGAGGAGGAAAAAGCACCAGTTGATGAGTCCTTGAGACGATAAGCTGCTTAAACAAAAAAGCCTCACACTGCTATGACCTCCCATAAATATAGTGGTTTCCTGACACAAAAGTAATCTATGCTCCAGAAATTCTCAGTGCTGTAGTTCTAGCACTAGTATTATGAAGAATTATGCTCTAGTAAGGAGGCAGTGAAATTATGTTCCCTGAAGAATTTCTCCAGTTCACTGGGTGTTAACCCATTCTCCTCTACCCACACCCAAGTCTTCCATCCAAAGACCAGAAACATCATTTCCCCAGGTCATTCTTCTAACACTCTTTAAGTTATTTTAGCAGATTTGTAGGATACAAACACAGTGCTTTTTTTTGGATCCATCATTTTGGCAATGCCTTTGCCTTCTTCAGAAGAAAAGTGTTTGCAGTAAGTGGAACTTTCAAACTAAAAAGTTACTTTCAAACTGAACAAAATCTATAAATGCTTGCTTTTCATACTGTTTTTGCTAGCTATCTGAAGTATGGAATGGTTTTCTTACTTGGAACCACTGCACGTGCAACACTATTTCTTATAAGCCATGCTAGCAAGGTTTCAACTGAAAACAACAACCTGGTCCTGTAGGTTCCATTTCTAGGATACAGAGACTCATTTTTTCAACATGTGTACAGTAACTTCTCCCATCCTCTTAATACAGTAGCTACCAAAAATTTTAACAGATATTAAAAAATATCCAAATGAAACCACACTTCTATCACTGTTTAAAAAACAAAAATGCATACGGTATTACAAAAGTTTATACAAAGGCAACATTTAAGAGTTTGAAAGTTACTTCTAGAAAAAGACACAAATACTAGTAAATTAACATACAGGGAGAAATGTATTCCACTCCTTCCCCAAAATTGGTTTGATCTGTTTTGAAGTATCTTTTACCAGTTATCTAGAAAGTCAAAGCCAGTCTTCAAGATAACATTGCTTGTACTAGTCTGTAAGGTAAAAAGAAAAAAAAGTTGTTAATTATGGTATTACAAACTCGGTCTTTGACTGCATATATACAAAATAAAGTTTAATATGTTGCCTGCCATTAATTCAAGGTCTTCATCATGTTCTAGAGTACCTAAGTACCTACATCATAAAATGTTAGACATGGAAAAATATTCACAGTGCCCAAAACAGCAATTCCAGATGAAAATAAAATTACTCTTGTGGTCTGCAGGCAAAATGTTATTTTTTACCTCATGGAAAATTTCATAAAGATCAATTTTTTTATACTCCAGAGAATGAAACAAACACAGAAGGCAAGCATCACTAATTCAACAGATTGTCTGCTGCAATAAGAGCCAGTTGTTTCCAGAAAACTACACAGATTAAACTTTGATGACAATTTATTTACTAGGCTCTTGAGAACATGCTCGCTCCTGCAATGTTGCACTTGTAGCCACAACATTTAAGGTGATTTTTGTGTTCAGAAAGGGTATTAAAGAGGCATAGCTGTCTCTGGATTCTCTTCCTAGAGCATGGCTTCCCAGAACAGGGAAGATAATCCAGAAAAGAAGACAGGAAGGAAATTCTTATCTAATATAAAATTCTCTGTTCACATTTTGACATGGAAGGCTTGTTTCTCCACAGAGAGAAAAAACAGGCTTTTCAAACTCTTATAGTTATCTTGAAAACATTCACAAAGGCATTAAAATTGTTAATTTGTAAGAAAACATGATAAAGCTTTTAACTAAAATTAAAGGACTTCCATGGTCACAATTTGTAGCAAAACAGCTCAGGAAGCATTATCTCTTAGCTTCAGAAAATGACAACTAAACACAGGGTTTCAAATACTGGAGTTGCTTAAGTATTGTTGTCTCCTAACTGCTGCCACTTGCTTCTCTTGTAACTAGTTACCTCCCCCTGCATCCTTCTGACTTCACATCATCTTGTTTGCAATTCAAACAATCACAGTTGGGAAAATAGAGAAAAAGCTGAAGGTGCACAGTAATATGTCATGCTATTGCCAGAGTGATGTCACAGACTTCAAACAGAACTGCACAGCTCTGCTTGAAGTACCACTCCCCTACTTCACAGTATTCAAGCTTTTGATCTCTATCCTTTCTTTCTTTCACTGTATCATATCCTGCTGTTTCCTTTCTTTTCTCACAGGTCAGCATCTGCATTTTTAAATAGATTCAACTGGCTATTGAGCTGCTTAAGGTTATTTTTTGTTGTTGGGTTGTTTGGGTCTTTTCATTAAAAAAAAAAAACAAACATTGAGAATGCTRATTCTGGAAGCTTGTTCTATTTCTATTTTGGACGTTAAGAGAAAACACATTTGAAAGCAGCCCAGCTGCCTGGGACAAAGCACTGGGAAGTGGCTGTCAGGCTACTGCTTAGAACAGCTGAGAAACTAGTTCACCATTCACCACTGTGCTGTGTGTATGTACCACTATGCTATGTATGTACCAATAAAGTACCCTAGACTCTAGTTCACCTACTTTTCAACTTAAAAAGCTCATTCTTTCCATTAGGTGTTTTGCTTTTTCAGAAAAAAAATACCCCAAACCCCCACAACCTCTTTCATTTGATACAGTTTGCTAGGTAGCTTGCTGTCAATTAGCTACTTGGTGCCTTGTCAGCATTTCCGCTGTTATATTTAAATTATGTCTTTATCCTATATGTTAAAAAGTACTTAATTGAACTTAACATGTTAAACAGACTTTTAAATAAAAAGTTAAATAGACTTCTACACATTTGAAAGATAAACAGCCAGCAAGCTTAGCTGGGGCTTAGTGCTTTATGGTGCCTCTAATCTTCCAGAGTGGCCCTGTCAGATTTTAATGTGCTACACAATTTTTAAATCTAAGGACAGGGGGTGTAGCAGTACTTACCTGTCCAGGCATTTGTGGGTCTGTAAGTATGGTACCATCAGTATCTTCCTTGTTTGTCCTAGAAGATCCCAGATCTTGTGGTGGATCGGGAAGAAAGAAGTCATCTACAGAACTAGTAGGTCGAAGTTTCTCCCACTCGAGAGACATAGAAGGTGGGCTGGGGGCGACAGACTTCTCTGCTTTACTTATGCTGGGCTTCTCAGCTTTGCTCATCTCCTTTGGAGCAGACTCTGGTCTGTAAAAGGAGGGAAGGGGCTTCTCTCCTTTCTCCATGGACTTGATCTGGCTGGGGGTCAGGGACTGGAACTCAGACTTATCTCCTTCAAACTTGGAGCGCTCTGCATTTATCTTCCAGAAAGATGACTCCTCTTCCTTTCTGGATGCTATCAACCCATCAGAGCCAGGGGTCTTAATGGCCTGAGAAGATTTAGGGACGTGGATGCCGGGTGCTGCTTTAACAGGTTGCTTCTGTTCATTTTGCAACTGGGCACCACCTTGCTCTTGTATGGAGAGAGATGCAATGCTGAACTCCATCTGACTCTGTTCAGGGACAGAAAAACAGCATTTCAAAGCCCTTCACATAGGTACAGTTTTGATTTCTGACCCTGGTGCATACAGATAACACCTCTGTCCACTGTAAGACTGCTATGAGACAACAGTTACCACAGCAAAGCGAACTTATTTTCTCCATAAATGTCTACCTTTGTAGTTTCATATAAATAATGCGTTTCTAGAGTCTGAACTGCAAGCAAATGTAAAAGTCTGAGGCCTGCTGCAGAGGAGTCAGAGAAAGCAATTGTATTGGAGTTACTCAGTGCCATCTAAGGTAGCAGTGCACAGCATGCACAGCAATGAAACATTAGAATAGCAGCACTAAAACTTTATGACAGCTGCAGATGCATTTTCAAAGTCAGAGATGTTTTACATAAAAATTTTAAGTGGAAAAAGCTTTAGAGTGCAGTGCAAAAGGCAATCTTCCATTACTGTCTTTGAAATAGCTGGCTACAATTCCATCTACTTCCAAGATAAAGGATTAGATGCCATGGGTATGCGTAGGTAAGTAATTTTATAATTCTAATACCCCTCTGAAGGAAGAGCAACAACTCCAGCAGGACCAGTTTTTCACCTGTTCCAGAACCTTGGTTTGTTTACACTTGCAGTGCAGATATCAGTATCCATTTTTGAGAGGCAACAGTGGGCCAAGGAAGCAAGTGGCCAGGTATTGCATGAAAAAAATCTTCCAATCACAAAACAGTGAACAGCACTCCAAAATGTTCATTTTACTTACCATCACTTCAGTAAAATGATTCTCTGCTAATTAGACACTCCTCAGGCTAATAAAAGTAAAGCCTTATTTCACTCTGAGTAAGTGTATGTAGGAGCACAGCACCATAGCAAGTGCCAGGAGAGAACAAACTAATGTCTAGACTTAGGTTTGTAAAAAGGAACAAATAATGCAAATAAAAAAAAAAAGCATTTACTGTTAAAACTATGCTGTTGTCATCAAATTGGCCTAATTGGTCTTGAAAAAACTCAGAAGACTTGTAGTTTTGCTACAAATGATTAAAAGATGAACTTTGGAAGTTGGTTACAGGTTTGTGATGTTTTTTCACCGTTCTACTTCATTGCCTAGACTTTCCAGAATAAAATGTCAATAGCATTCATGGGCTTTAGTCTAAAACAGGTCCTAGTTGCATGTCATTTTCACTTATAGTGTTTGATCTCGAGTCCTACATTATTGTACATATTAAGTTCAAAGGGACTCTAGATGTAGCAGGACTCACATGCCTAGTAGTTAATATTCAGAAACTTCTCATCAAAGAACAACTGTTTACCCAGCAACTGATTATTTATAAAACAATTTTTTTAAACAGTCAGCAGCTGACTACTGTTTGATTCACATGGACTTACATCTGACCTTTCTAAAGAATTAGAGGCATTATTTTTCCAAGGGTGTAGGCATGAAAGCACCAAGCTCTGTGTTTTCATGAGGAATATACTGTGCTATCAAAAGATGCAGAACATAAACAAGCTGCAAGTAATCATAGCTCAGTTAGAATGAGGTGAGTGCAAGGATACATACAAGTCTTACAGAACAACTCAACACCCCACCCTGCCTGCAAAAAGCTAAGAGGAAAAACCGTAGTGCTCTGATTTTTTCTTTTTAACAACTCATGATGTAAAACTAAGAGCAGGACATTTATCTATAGATAAATTTTGTATAAACAAACTATAGATGTAATGGTGTTGAGGATTATTAACAGTGACTGCCATTCCCTATATTAAAATATAAGGATTTACTTTCCTAAGCTCATTTGGCAGTACTACTGAGCAATGAGTTACCACACTGAAGTTAAGATGCTTTAAGATTTTAGAACTGATAAAATCTCAGCTTAAAAAACCCGCAATACAATGTAAAGTAGACCTGTAACAGCCAAGAGAAAAAATTAAAGGCAGATTCTAAAAATCAGAAGTAAAAAAAAAAAAATCCATCTTAGAAGACTTAAGTCATGGAAGACTTGTCATGTAGGAATTAAAACAATGCTACTTCTTGTCCTTCAGCAGTCTGCTGTCCTCTGAATAGCCTATCCCCGGGCACACACTAGGGATGACAGTAGCTAAAGGACACCACAGCAGCAGACTTTCAGTAGAATGATTCCTTCAGCCCCCAGCCTAAGGGAGAGGGAAGATCAGTGCCCAGAGTGCAGAACAGTCATCACAGCCCCCAGGTCCACCAGGACAGTGCTGGAAATAGAAGCCAAGAAAAACACTGATGGGAAGCATGAGTTTGTTAGAACAAAAATTAGAAAAAGTAAACCAAGGAGAAGGCTCTGCATTTCAACAGCAGACAGACAGACAAGGAAAGCCAGGCCTTCTGAGAAGTTCTGAGGCTGTGGAGCTAAAGCCACTGACTGTGGTGGTATTTTATGCTCTTTTTTATGGGTCAAAATATCAACTCAGAAATGTGGTTTGGAAGTGGCACATCTCTCCCAGTGTAGAGAAGAGCGTGGCACTGCAGCAGCTCTTCAGGCAGTTGTACCTTTCCAACCTGCTCTTGGATTCAGGTTCTGGAGAGGAAGTCCTTCCTCTTTGCCCTTTTGTACAGAGACCATGGGGTGTACCTGTTTCAGGAGACAGGACCACCTGACGTGTAAGATTGCAGATTTGTGCCACGGTATGCTTTGGAGATCAAACAGTTCTTAGCCTGACACGGAATAATCCAAATGAAAACACTTTTTCAGGAGTCTTCATTCCCCCACAAGGAAGGCAAAGAAGACAAGACTACCCCGACAGGTTCTGAAAGCATTGTGTCTCAGCATGATGTAAATACAGCTCCAAGAGGTCAGACACATAATTCTGCTTCTAGCATTTAACTACAGAAGCCAAGAAGTTCTGTGGACCAGTCACAAGATACTCTGTTTTCCCTGAAACATGTAATGCTTCCATTTGACTTTTGAGGTTATTTAACACATCTAACCCCCTAAGAAATGTAGCTGATGAAAAAAAATGATTAATAGGCAATAGCTTTCAAGTAAAAAAAGTGGCAATGAAACACCCTCCCACGCAAGAAAAAAAATGAACCAAACAACAGAACAGCAGCCTAAGTAGGAAGATAATTTCACAGAGATGGAAAAGGCCCATGTGAGAAACACCCTATGCTGACATCTAAGCAATGAGTGGTACTGAACACTCTAATGAGTCATTAGACACTACAAACGTGATTTTAATTAGTGTTCTGCTCTCAATTTCTTACATCAGATTGCAAATCGGCAATTGATTGCATCAGCAGGAGAAGGAAGGAAATGATATTTAAAAGAGAGTTACCCCTCAAAAGAAATGTCCTTTTAAATGAGGCTTGCCAGCCATGAGAACATCTCAATGCCCATCTCTCCTGGCCCCAGTCAAACTTGGGGTGGCAGCTCACCTGTAAAGGTTTGTCAGAGTTGCTGTGAGCTGCACCTGCACACGCAGCAGCAGAATGGCACTGGTGGCACTTTACCAGCTGCCACCTTGGGGAGGCAGACACTGAACAGTGGGGAGGGATTTCATGGTCAAAAAGTTTAGGATTAGGCACAGTTTGGGATTCTAGGGATAGGGTTTCAGTCCCCCACTGATTTAATTGATTTTGTATTACTTTACAGGAGCTGCAGTTTCTGTAAAACTTAAAAATTCCCCATCTGAAGAATAAAATAAAAATACTTACCTTTTCCTACCATTTGTCCAAATGATATTTCTGGGAATTGTTCAGCCCCAAAACTCTCAAAGAGTTTCCAGACTAGAATAGTCCCAACTGTAATTTCTAGAAATTACTGAAATTCAAACAAAAGCTATTAACAGCAGTAGTATTTTCAAGATATTGCCTGAGCAAGCCTTTCTCAATACATTAAGAGAGAGGGGAGAAAGAGCGCATGGGAGAGCACGCACAGAGTAGTGTTTTGAGACAGAGCAAACCTAGAAGCCTTTGCTCTTTTCAGTCTTATCCCTCTGATAAGGGCTCAAATTAAGGATGTGCTGTCACAATCATTTTTCAGTATGGTAAATATAAATAACACCATAAATTGCAGGAGGTTTAATATGAAACATTTAGGACGTTGCATGTCCATCTTTCCTTAAAAAGACCATATGAAGGTATTTCAGAATTTTTTTACTGGATTTGAAAATTTAGACCAAACTTCAGTCTCAAGGCAGCAATAATCCACCAAATCCTAACAGTGGCATAGGCTCCCTGGAAACAATGTATACTGAAAGAGAGGCACCAGACACTGAGAATGTAATGATTTAATAATACTGTATGAAATCAGGTCTCAGTTCACAAGTATACATTAAAAACAAGATGACCACAAAGAACCCAGGAACTTTTAAAATGTCTTATTCATTCATCAGGAATGTGTAGTATTTTACTAAGCAGTCACGCAAATACAGCCAAAACAAAAGGTTTTGCTTGGCAGGCTGAAAAATCCAAATTGTTGAGACAAAGACTACAGAAACACTGTCAAAAGCAACTTGTTTTAAGCACAGCCTGATAAATGAAGGGGTAAGAAAGCCAACTTTAAAAGATTTAGAAGATGGCTTTGTTTTGCTGAATAGATAAAACCAAAATAAATACAGGGCCCAAAGCAGCTGCGGTTTTTGCTCTGTTTCCTGTGCATACCACGGGTGCTTTCAGGATCTTTTCGGAGTCAGAAAGAAATCCTTAGGACATCAGAGGCAAACTGCAAGGGCAAAAAATAGAGCAAAGCACTCAAAACCAATCGAAGTTATTTTAGTCCATACAGAAAGACAATGCCAAAGTTATACAGCATGGAGCTTTGGAGGAAATTCCATTATATACTCTGGTGGTACGAACTCAATCCAGTCTGCCACTGTTATTGGCTAGCTTGAGCAAGCTCCTACTGACAGTGTCTCATATATACCTGGTTTTAAGATCAAAAACAACTAAAGATCAATGCAGATAGCTGAACCCTTACACTTGGACATACAGAATGAAATAAACCTTGAACGTAGCTTCTATTACCACAAGCTGGGTTGGGGGAGGAGGGGAGTTTTTGCTCAAGAACTAATAGTCAACAGTAGTTTTACAGCACAGTGTTTTAAACACAATAGTCCCAAAAAAAAAGAGAAGGCTAATCTCAAAAGCTCAGGGATCACTCTCATTCCAAGGAAGCACTGCCATTTATGCCAGCTTGGTAAAAATAAACACACCAAATTATAGCTTGTAACAAACAATTATAATATCAGGCTGCTAAGGAAGGAAGGAAAAAATTCTCTTCTGCCACTGCTTTCCTATTTAAAACAAAACACCCAACAACTAGGACTTGCACAAAGAAGGATATTGACGACTGTCTCTTAATTACAAATAAAGGAAACTGTTTGTACACCATGTTTTTTATAAGTGGAACATAGGGTTTTTTATTCCTAAATCATTGCTGGGATTAGATCACTTATGCAGCAATAAAATTGGGGAATTCAGACAAGGAGGCATCAACCAGATTATTGAAGGGATTGATGCTTGTCACTTTCCTGTTTTGCTTTTTTCAGTTTGTCAGTTTCAAACACACTTCAAAGGCTTCTCTTTTTAACAAATATTTTCAACAAGGCCTGGAAACTGTTCTACGAGTATCAAGAAAAATAAATCTTTAGATATCCATGTGTCAATTTCAAGTATTTGGAATAAGACCTATTTTCATTAATAGCATGAATTAGAAGTAGATTGCAATTTATTCCCATGCTGCTCAGTGCACACCTCAGTGTGTTAAGCGAGGTGGCAGAAAGCAATATTTTCTGCCTACTACTAAATTAATTTAAAAAAAAAAAGCCCAAATCTAAAACCATAAAGTTTTGGGTTCAGGAAGAGTCGTAGAGAAATTATACTTTGAAGCTCAGGCATGATTCTGGTTTTCCATTTGTATCTTGACATCCGTGCTGAGTTTCACTGAATTTTCACTTCAAACAAACCAAGAAACCTCAAAGGCTAAACTCTGCCAAAATGTCATCTTTCATCTCGTGTAAACCTGAAGCCATAAAYAGAATGCCTTGAATTCATAAACCTGGCTAGAGCTCCAGTTAAAAATGTAACCCACATTTCAAGACATGTTATGTCCGTAAGGGCTCCACCCATGAACCAAATCCCTCCCTCCAGCTCAATCTTTAGTTTTAAAATGTCAGCCTATTTGCAGTGCTAGGAGAACTTGCTGCTTCCTGAGTTTTCCACCTGAGAAGTGTTATCATTCTCTACCAAAAATATTATTTTAAATGCTGTCTAACAGCTTGCTCAGCAACTTACATTGTATTTCTACTTTGTTAGTCTTGTTTGTGGATTTAAAAATAAAAAGGCAAGAAAAGAAATACACATCTAACAGCCAAAAAGAGTGGAGATATTAATGCAAGCGTTAGCTGTGGTATGAACAACTGCAGCCACATCTCACGTTTGTGTTTAAAATGAGAGTACAGAAAGTTTACTTTTGACATAAATGAAGTTATCAAGCCCTTCAACAATGTTCTGCATGAAATGACAGCAATTTACTACACTGTCCTCTGGGTACGTTTGACTGCTATAGAAGTAGGGAATCCACTGCACTAGGCACAGTGAGAAAAAAGTGTCCATACCTTATCAACTAGGATACCCTGTGGCATCAGTGGTACAGCTGAGAGGCTCCAGCCTGGGAGAATTAATGCCCTCCCCTCTCCTCTACACTTCTCATTACCCTCTCGGTTTCCCGCATTAGTTACAGACAAATACTCATTTTGCTGCTTCATTTTTCCAAGTCTCAAAGGTTAAAAAAGAAGAAAAAAAAGCTTATCGGTTTTACTGATTTACACCTCTACTTTCTTCTGCTCTGCAAAAGCCACATTCTCTTCCTTGGGTAAGCCAGAGCACGTTCATGCACATTCAGACAATGACATGCTAAAAACCCAAACCAACAAAAAACTCTGCGTTAAAGGGAGATCAGCGAAAAGAAAGACTTATGGATAGAGCTCATGGAATGGAAAGAGCCTGACAGCCTTAAATAGCAGTGGGAACAGATCTGGCTCAAAGGACATTGAACATGCATTACAACACATCAACCTTCTTGAACAGCTCATTCAGGTTGCCTCACATGGGAGCACTTGAGTAAGGTTACTTTTTCCTCAGGTGGTACCTCATAAAAAATTGCTTTCCAATATTACCTAATAAAAGTACAGCTTAGGGAAGACATCAAAGAGCAAGAACAAAGCAGGATCTCCAGTTTCAGGAAAGGAAGACTCAGCAGTGGAAGGGTTTGGTTGAAAGATTGATATAATATGAAGCACTTGGGAAAAACCAAAAGGAAGAACCCATAGGAACCAACCAACCCACAACCCATAAAGCCAGACAAAGTAGATTCTATACATTTTTGCCAAAGGAAAAGGTCATGCAACTTTCCAGACTACAGCTGTGGCACAGCTTTTACTTGTGGTCAGCAAGGAGGGAGAGGGGAAAGAGGGAAGCATGGTTTGATCAGCTGTAACAATTACTTCTAAAGCAACCTACCCCCCCTCTTTACTTCTCTTCAGGGACCACACGAGCGTTCCCACATCATTCTGTGTTCCTAGATTCATTACAGGAGAAAGGACGAAACCAGTGCATTTGTTCATTTTGGTCTCCCATTTTGAGACACCAGGAGCACAGTAGAAATATCCTTCATCAGCAAGTGATAAACCACAGGCTGGGTTTAAAAACACCTCAGTAAATATTTAAGCATTATAAAGAAAAGACGACTACCAATTAAATAGAAAATCCATTCAAGGGCAGATGTATCTCATCATGGATCACTAGTCAGTGCATTACACGATGCATTATCTCTAGAAAGTTCAAATATTCAGACTTACAAAATCTTATCAAGACAGAGCTTAAAAACAGGATTACAGCTACCACATTCCCAAACCTGAGGTGTTGGGTTTGCACCAAAAAGTGGGGAAGAGACAACACTGCTGTCYTCAACATATTATTTATTTTACCTTATTGTCATTGAGGCCAACAATTTTCTCACAAATTTTCCTTTCTTGGCAGCTTCACCCAAGTATAACCACTTTAAAAACCTCTTCAATATTATACTACAAGCCAGTGGCTGCTTCTTCTAAGAGTCCTGAAAGACAGCAGGGCTTGCCTGAGCTACCAGGCTTCAACTGCAGGAAATCCTCCACTGGCTCCTGAACTATCACAGCTTTTAAGGAAGTTTTAAGGCAAGTGAAGACTGGCACTGTTTCCTCTTGAAATGTGGCACTGTAGGCTGCCAGGACCCAGGAGTCACACCAAGTTACAGGTTAATCAGCTTCTGCAAAGCACAGATGGGGTGTAGCTACAGGCAGCGACCTTGAGCAGGGAGGCCTAAGAGTCTAGGGTCAACTGGATTAATTTTGTATTCACTGTCATTTCCAAATAATTATTCTGCATTAGGCTAAGATTATATTCATAAGCTTGTACATGATTATCTACATAGTTCAAGGGCAAAAAAAAAAAAAAAATAGGGAAMAGGGCAGAAGCAGCCTTCTCTGGCAGATAAAGCCAGAAAACACAAAATCTGAAATGTGTGATTAAATCAACAAGCCTGCCATACCCAGTTGAGAAAGACAATGAGCTGTGGTTTTGCTCCCAGAATTTCTTCAACAAGAAAAACTAAACTTGATTTCCCACCACACATGGTAAAACAATGTTTCCTGACACTGCAGGTTCAGAAAAATGGAGAACTCTGGCTCTGTGTTAGCCATATGAGAATTCCATCATAAAAAATGCTTTAACAGAATAGCAGAGGTAAAGTGAGGTGTAAAAGAAATCCCAAACCAACCCATGACAGAAAAAAAAAAAGTTGTTTTTTAAGGAGTCTTTTGGACAGGAAATAACGTTTCTAGCACAGCCCCAGGATAACATGTTTCACTGCATTTGTCCTAAGACAACATTCTAGTTCATTATAAAAAGATGAAAATTAGACAGGCTTTCAGAAAGAAGCCAGTGAAGTTACTACATACCTGCACCTTTCTCACCCTTTTTCCTCGTTACTTTACTCCTGACTTTAAATGTGAAATGCAGCTATGTTTGTACAGTATCTGAGACACCGGTCTTACTAAACCTGGAAAGTTGATGATAAAGTTTAAAACAAAAAATCAAATAATGTGTAATGAATTGGTTTTACACCAGCACTCAAAGCCAGAACATTAGTTCTTGAAGGACAGTTTGTGTTTCATTGATGTAAATCAAAGAATGCCAGTCCTGTTTTATTTCCRGGATGGCCACTTTGAACAGCTTTCATAGAGTAAAGGTGGCATTAATCTATCAAATATTAAAATGAAGACAACAAATGCAGAAGGAATAGTATAAAATGACAAACCAACATTAAAAAATTGCTGTTTATTTACCTTTGTTTCCCAGGAGAACGGAGACGAGTGTTCATCTTGCCAAGTTATGTCCTGAAATAAAATCCAAGAATGACTAAAAATCAGAAGAGCAGCTTCATCTTCTCAGAAGCATCACACAGATGACATTATGTTACACTGCTGGAACTATAACAACCATTGCTACTGAACTGACTAAAAAGTGAAAGCACTAGTTAAAGATAGCACTGATTATATTTTAAGACTGACTGAAAGCAACTTTTCTGAGGGGAAGGTTATCAATACTATCCCAATTTAATCTACAAAATACATGAAGGTTTAACCTGGTCCAAATTTCCTGAAATGGTTTCTCCACAAATAGTTTTAAAATGTATTATATTTCCAGTTTTCTACTAGGTAATTCTTTGGTAACCATTAGCAACGCACAGGGACAGAAACAGCAAAAGGAGAAGGGGCCTCAGGGAAATAAAGTCCCATTTCCTCCCCTTGGCAGCCCAAAGAGCATGTGCACAACCACGCAATCATGGGGCAGTGAAATAGCTGCATGGCCATCAGGCCAAGCCACAGCTGGATCCAGCTCCAGCAGGACACATCATCATGCAATGTCAGTGAGAGCTGGTCTGAAGTAAGTGTTCAGAGATGTTGAAGGAGCCACACAGCATCCACAGCACAAAATCCCAGTCTGAAATCCATTCTTTCAAGAAGCTGCATTTCAGAAAAAAATCTAAATTGAGAAACTTAAACAATCTCTTCATACATGGCATGCCCTCCAAAGATACATGTTATCCACAGAAAAAAAAAAAAAAAAGGAGAAAAAAAATTGAAAAATGAATGTTGTTCATGTTTGTTGAAGGCTTAAAACAAAATGATTGCATTTTTATTCCTAGTCATGGCTGGGACTCATTGGGACATAGGATGGTGCCACTGGTAGAGTAGTGAGCTGCACCCTCCATACATATCACTGCTTGTGGGCACTGCAGCATCAGGGAAGGAACAGGAACTGGAACACCGTATGGAAAGGGAAAGGCCAGGAGTAACCATGCAGGACATTCACACTCCTGCTGTTCAGAGAATAACAGAGCTGACCATGTTCCAGCAAAACACAGGAACCCCACATTTCACTACAGCTGCTCTCTTCTTATTTCTATCTCAACCTTTCTAGGAATATATTTCTAATACATCTGATAACATTCTCCTGATCTGCCATCTCTTATTTCTCTGCAGGCAGGTTTTTTATGGCCAAGTGCTATGAGATCATGATTAGAAGTATCTTAAACCATCTCYTAAACATAAAAACATATAATTCTCCAACTACTACTCATTGTGAAATACAGGGTTTCTAGCAGCAAAGTATTTGTGGTATATGTGAGGGTGATCCCATGCTCTTAAAAGGAACTGGGCTGATAGAGCTCATCTAAGAGGAACGGCCTGGGCTCTGCTTGATCACGCATTGTGAGCAAAAGGAAATTCGGTACAGCAAATTTTTGCCAAGAACACAAATGTAATTACAGGTTCTCTTAATCCAGGAAACAAATACTCAGATGTACTAACATTTAAAGGGAAAAAAGAAGTGAAAGTCTGCTTTTTAGTATCTATCAGCATTTGCACCCTGGCGTGCTGCTCTCCGCATTAGAATGCCACACCACTCAATGTGTGACGCCTCACCACAGGTGTGTCAAATTATTTCAAATTCCTTTTAGGACAATATCCTTTGCCTCTGAAATGCAGTTGGCACTTCATTTCAAAAGCACACATGACAGGAATCATTGGCCAGAAGGGAAGAGAGATTGGAGAACCTAACCATTGGTTTAACCCTCACACACAAGGCAGGAATGTAACACTTCCATCTCATGGGATCTGTATAAATGCTTGACTTCAACCACAGCAGTAAAGGAAAGAAGTGAAGTCCAGAAAACACTGTAACACTCCTACATGCAATCACAGCACCTTACATTTCCAGAGGTGCAGGCATAGCTGTCAGTGGGTTTTATTTAAGGMGTTGTTGTGGGTTTAAATTCCTCTCCTTTTGTTCACTTTGGGAATTTTTTTTCCTTCCCCCATTTGTTGCTGGGTTACGTAATGGCCCATCATCCTTTTAATTGCTGGGTGTTTAAAAGACAATGATACCTATGGCCACACCCGAATGGTCCGAGACAGCTTTTGTGTGGTGGGGGGGATTGGGAGTTTTGGTTTTTTTGGTTTTTTTTTTTTTCTTTTTCACGGCTTTTTGAGGGGAGAGGGGTTTTCCTGCTGGCGGCGGGGTGGTTTTGCCTCCTGTGGCTGGCCGGAGGATTCCAGCTTCAGGGGGGTGAACTCTGCTCCGTCCCATCTCGCGGCCGCGGGATTCCTGCTCGTCTCTTTTTTGGAGGTCCTGGATTTCTTGCTGTCCAGAAGAGCACTGGTGTTTTCCACTGTGAGTTTTGCAGAGAAACTTTTCTCCATCCACCTCTGCCATCTTGTATTGATCATCCCAGCTGCAGGAGATCTTGGCTAGCCGGGACCCGCACCACCACATCCCCTGCAGTCTCCGAGGAGTCGTCGCGCCCTCCCTGCTCAACCGGGGGCCAGCGGCGCCGCTGCCAACCAATCTATAACCTCGCCAAGAGAGAGACTGTTTCTATAAGGCTGTCACTAGGTTTGGACTGGGCTGTGTCGTTGCAATATTTATTGTTACTTGTTTTCACCTTGTTATATATATATATATATATATTAGTAAAAACTGTTATTCCTTTTTACCCATATTCCTGCCTGAAAGCCCGTGATTTTTTTTTCAAAGCTATAATAATTCGGAGGGAAGGGGGGTCATAGCCACCACTCCAAGGGGGGTCCCTGCCTTCATTAGCAAATACCTGTCTTTCAAACGGGGACAGGAGTTAAAAGGAAGCTCTGTCTTCTTGCCATTTACAGGACAAGCAAACCAGCTGTGGACTAGTTTTAAACTTGGCAATGAGCCTAGTTTATCCTCATCTTGGATCTAAGACATCCAGTTCCTTATTTTCCTCTATTTGAGGCAAGAGAAAACAGCACTGGGAGGGACCCCGACAGCACATCTTTACTCAACGCTCCCTGCACAACTTCAACTCAGTAATGACACTGCTACCGTGAGCGAGCCCTGGTGACAAAAGGCTGATGACAGAGGGATAAAAAAGCAGCAAGGGGAAAGCAGAGTGAAGGTATGAAGCTGTTATGCAGCAGGATACACCATTCCCTGTAGGACAGAGCAAGTCAGCTTCCCACAGCATAGAACCTGATGTCTCCTCAACCATCACTGCCCTTGTTGGCACCGCAACCTGTAACCTCAACCTCCAGCGTAGGTAAGCAAAAAGTTCCTGAAATGAATTAATTTTGGTACTCGTTGTTAAAAATTCTGGTCAGAGATAAACCCTAAAATTTTCATAGATTATGAAAAAATCATTCCAAGAGATGGAAGTAATAGACACTTGTTAGGCAGTAGTTCCCTAAAAGAAGAGGACCATATTTATCTTTTCTTTTTCTTAAAAGGATGGCTCATTGTATCTTGGGCCACACAGCCCAGCACACCTCAGAGCCAGTAACTTTGAGGAGCTCTGTCCATATTCAAGAGCTCTTCTGTGGGATATAGCAAAGAATAAAATAGGATAAGACATGGTGGGAAGATACAAACCCTCAAGGAGTGTATGCCTGTGGTTATCTGAAGTGTACTTGAGGCTAGGATGAAGGAGACAGTTGACAAGTTCTGTCCATTTGTCAGGGAAGGAAAGGAAGTTTGTGGACTCCACCTCTTGTGCCCTAACACAAAGGACATGCAGAGGACCAAGTGAGAAGATAGAACAACACAGTTCAAAAGTATCCTATCTAAACCGCCTGATTCATGTTTATCGCCAACAAAATCTGAGAAATAACTTTGTTTTTTTTGTAGAATAAACAGGCTTTTGAATGCTTGAAGAAACTGGGAGCAAAAGAATCAGCTATTTCAATAATAACTAAAGTGAATTATGAATGGAAATTTGAAAGAAAAAGGCTTCAAGGATACTTATGATCAACAGAGATTAGAAAAAATCCATATCTGGTCAGCATTTGTTTTCAGCATACAACAATGGCTTCTTCCAGAAAAAAGGCAAATAAATAATCTTTTGTTCGTCAGGGTTAAAAAAAGAACCTATTTATAAGAAACAGGACCTCATGCAATGTATTTCAAAGCTGAAAAAGACGAGTGAGAAAGAGGGGCAAAAATCCAGTCATACACTTGACTTCAATAACCAGCTACAAAATGCATAAAAAAGAATCACAAATTACATTTGCTGTAAGAAGGCAGCTTGTTGCAAAACAACATCTGAGTTTCAAAATGTAAGACACTGGTAGAAATATGCCTGTATATCTGAGCATTGTTCAGCATAGCTGACAGTAACTGGCTAAGTCACAAAGCCACCAACAAATGCATCTTAGAAGTGCTATCAGAACGAGACTTGTTGGTTACTGGGGTTTTACTGCACTCAAAAGCTGCCTTTCATTTTAAGGTGTTTAAAAAGCTCAAATCTTTAAAAGGCCCACTTAAAAGCTTTTTCTGTACTGAACTATTTGTTGCTTTAAAGCAATTTTAAGTACGGAGGTAAAAGATGCTTTGCTTGCTGCCGAAGTTCTTAAGGCTAAACAAAACAAACACCATCTCTGCCTTCAGGCAGGTCAAGCTTTCCTATTAAAACACAACAAATGAAGGTAACCTCACTCTCTTACCTGTCTTTCCTCCACAAAAAGGGTTTACTGCTTCCTAAAGCATATGGCATTTTCTCCAATGAAAATGTTAGTTATTTCATGTCCAGCTCTTTTACTGTTCAAATACTGGATATACATTTAAAGAAAAAAAAAAAAAACCCCTAAAAAAAAGAAAGGAAAATCAGACCTTGATTCCATGTGTATATCACATGCTTATGGACAAAGAGGGACAGCATTAATGAACAGTGAGAATTTGTTGTAAACTGAATATCTAAACTATCTTTTACTGAACCAGAGAGAACCCAGTGGCGTCAACTGACATCAAATCATCTGCATTATCAAAGGTTGGCCACTGCACCAGGCAGGGTAGGCTCACATAACTGCTGGTTTTCCACCTATCTCCCTCATAGTTTAAGGCATATTTAAAAAATAATCCTTCTATATAACATTCATATTCAATCTCCGCTTGTATTTCCAGATTTCTCTCTGCTCAGTTAAACTTAATTTCTACCACTATGAATTTCTACCACCACTTCATTAGAATGAAGAAATTATGAATGGAGAAATACCAGCAAATGGCAGCTTGTTGGGAAAAGGAAGCTCTGTTGCAGCCACCAAAAGCCCTTGGTCAGGAGGCCTAAGCTGTCTCGACACAGAAAATTATGGTGAAACAACAAGGATTCTCCTGGTGCTGGGCTTATGTGTGATAATAACAAGTCAATTTTCAGTGAACAGGACAAAACTTATTTTATGAGAGTGTGAAGTGACCCTGATAGCTAATTCTCTTTCGAAAATGTGTTCACAGTTCCAGTTGCAGAGCCTTTGCTATTAATTCTGTTACTGGTGATGCTGCAGTGAGGATAAGATGGAAGAGAAGGAGCAGGGGCACTCAGCTGACTCTATGCATTTGCTAGAACTCACACCTGATGCTGCAGTGCTCCAGCATTACAAAATGACTGGATCATGGCTACAGGATGCCATGGTGCCATTACTGCACATCTATTTTCTGTAACACCCTTCCCACACAGCCAACATACTCCAAGGTGTTCTGAACACGTAAGAGATGTTTATAGTTTGAGAACTTACAGTCCTGGGCTGAGTTCAGGAGAAAAATTGGTTAGAAGAGATACAAGGGAAATGGTGGGGGTGAGAAAGAGGGAAGCAACTGTTCAGAGATACAAGACCGCTACATATATCGTCTGGACCACCTTATCATAACAGTCAAATGCGTGAAAATGGGACTGAAATAGTGAGAGGCTCAACCAGTAAATCAGTTTCTTTAGCATTCATCTTTGGTTTGCTTTCTACCATGTTCTCCAAAGAACATGAGGTGAAAGAGATCAAATTTCTATGCTTAAGCAAGCACAGGTAGATCACTACAGATTTCAACATCAGTTAACAGGGAAGATGAGCTGTGGCTGGAAACATGAAACTTCTGGAGGAGGTGTATCAGCAAGAACATCATCAGGCCAAAACACTCTCACCAAAAGTGCTGCAACATCAACAAGTGATTCTGAGGTATGCAGACTGCTCTCCGTTTCCTTGCCTTAGGATACCACACACCAATAGACAGGGACAGCAGCCAGGACCAATGTGATTGTGCCGAGCGAGGGCTGGGTGACCACGATGCCTGCAGCAGCTGTCTCACAGAGCCAGCAGGAGCACAGCTCCCTGAGCTGTCTGACCAGCATATGAGATAACAGAGCTCTGCAGGCCAAGCGTATGCCAACCTGGAAAGTTGAACCCAACTGGCAAGAGACCGGTGGCAGCCGTTCTGCAACAGCAAGACAAGGAGGAACAATTTGTCAGCCAGGGCAAATGTCCAACAATCAGGCTGAATGCCAGCAACGGAGCCAGGGTAGAGGAAGCTATCAGATGAAGAGCCAGGAAAGGCTCCAAGGCTCAATAATACAGTTGGAAGAACTAAAATGGAAATGGAGAATGCCAAAATGAGTGGAATCTCTTTTCTTCAGAGAAACAATTTATATTAACTTCTGCTTAGAAGTCAAAGAGGAAGTCAGCTGAGGCAGATGCTTCCAAAATTAAACACGTTGTATCAAGTATTTCCATGAACATTGCCTTCTTTGGTTGATGGCTAATATTATGCATATTGTAACTGCATTAGGGGAGAAGAGGGGAAAGAAAAGAACTTGCCCAGTTTCAGGTGGACTCTCTAGATGCTTTGTCAAGTGGGAATTATTATTTCCATACACTGCAGCACAACAGCCTACAACATACTTGCTTTCCTTCCAGGCCCACATAATTCAAAGCAGAAAGCACAGCAGAGCTCTCCAAGAGTGGGAAAACTGAACATAATTACTTTCCACACTCATTAACCTAAATTCTTTCACAACTTATTTCGGATTTAAGTTTCTTTTCAAGGTTGTTTGCACAACCAAATCTGTTGTCTTGTGTCTTTGTACATCTCTTTTCTACCATTACTATCAAATATTTATCTAGAATTTTGGGTATCATGGACTAAAGAGAAGTGAGCTACACATTATGCTCTCTAACTTTCGATAAGATGTGTGTGCAGCACAGTACTACACCTTCCTGACAGGTGAAACACAGGCAGCAGTCTCATGGCACAAAGCTGGTCTGGAAGCATGATGCCCAGTGTCATATGCCTAAGAAGCCTCATATGCCTCTTAGAAATCCCAATGCAGGATATTGGAGAAAAGGCTAAAACTAGCACTGATCTTTAAATTGGATTCATGATTACAAATGCAGAAGCAGATTTTGTTTTTTTCTGGTAAAGCCATAGGTCACTTACAGTTATTATAAGGACATAGTAAAAGAAACCGACTCTGTAATCATATGAAGATGTAAAAGAATAGAAAACAAAGGGAATCAATACACAAAATAAGAGACACAGTATCTGAAGAGCACTCTCAGGTCTCCTCATGCATTGTTAGACCTTCCTCTTCAAGGGTGCACCCTCGATAACATGATCCACTGCTCCAGACCGGGAACTCTTAAGGATTTCCAGGTCTGCCACACTTCACCATTAGATAGATGACCCTCAGAAGGTTCAAAATCCATACTTTCTACCATCTATCTTTCCACACCCTTGTTTTTCCTGGCATGTAACATGGCACAGACTGCATTTTTTTAAGGTGTCAAACATGCCATGAATGTTTTCAGTGTTGTATTTTTAACTGTGTCTAAAACTAGAAACGAAAAGGAAGAGATTTAATTCAGTGTAAACATTCCCTACAGTCCATTTTCAGCAAGGGGCTATGTCCAGCGCCAGCCATGGTCATGCCTCGCCGTCGGGGGAGCCGAGACGGTCCTCTTCGAGTCTCCTTTCTGCAAAATCCACTTCAGCGCTATCGGTGCTGCCGCCTTCCCTGCCTGCTCCTATAGTGTGACCCAGTGCCTCTCGCGCGGTGTAACATTCTGCCCTCCCGAACAGCCAGGGAGCGGGGAAAGGAATAAAGCTCATCACCGGGGTAACTCGCCCCGTTGCCGACGGCGCGGAACGCCCGAGACCCCGGGGAGCCGAGCGCCGGCGGCACCGGCGGACGGGAGCCGCAGCCCCGCAGCCGGGGAAGGTCGCGGCCGCCGCGCCCGTGCGGCGGTGTCGGTGACGCGGAGGGCCGCTCACGCCCGGATTCCGCCGGCGCCCCTTCCCCCGCGCCCCGCCCTGCCCGGTACCTCGTCGCCGAAGCGCACCACCTTCTGCCCCGTGTTGAGACGCAGGCTGGGATAGGAAGAAGGCGACGCGGGCGGTCGGGCACCGCGGTGCGCGGCGTAGCGGGCCTGGACGTGCGGCTCCACCAGGCACTTGTCGATGATCTCGTCCTGCTGGCGGGGCGGCAGCCGCTCCCACTCGGGCCCGTAGCGCTCGCGGATCCGTTCCTTCTCCGCCATGATCTTGCGCGCCATGGGGCTCAACGAGGAGAAGTAGCTGAACCGCTTGCGCTCCCGCTCGTCCAGCGGCCGGTTCCCGTTCATCACCGCCGTGCGGGAGGCGGCGATCGCCGCCGCCATGGAGGCCATGGCCAGCCTGCCGCCGCCAGTCCCGCACTCGCACGGCGGGAATGGGAACGGGAAGAGAACCGCCTCCTCCGCTCCGTTCCCACAGACACCGCCTCCCCTCGGTTCATATAAAGCCGGGCGGTGGGTCCCCGCCCCCGACACGCCCAGCGCCCGCGGCTGCCCCTGCCCCCCTGCCACTCCCTGCGCGGGGAGCCGGCCCTTCTCCAGCGCCCTCGGGAAGAGGGAGGGAAGGGGGACGCCGCCTCCCGGGCTTGCTTCGGTCTCGTGAGGGGCTGACCGGGCCCCGCGGCCCTCAAATGCTCACTGCCTGTAGCGCTCGTCTCCCACAGCCCTTCCCTGTCTGTCCCGAGGAGGTAAGCTGCAGTGTTCCCACGCTGCCGGGGCCAGGAGCACCAGGAAAGGACTTGCCTCAGCTGGCAGAGGAACACTGTGCCCAAGAACTGCCTTTCCTAACTCCTAAGTAAGTCGTACGTGTTTCTTCACACGACAGAAGGTCCAGCAACTGCTGTCAGAAGAGACAGGATGTCTGGGACAGGTGATTTTGTCCAGCTCACGAGTTTAGGAGCAAAATGGTCCGAAGCCTCTGTATTAATTTGATAATAAAGTTGCAGCCTAAGTGTAACAAGTAGATGCAGTAGGCATTAGTTACATTGGCAAGAGATTTCCTAGACGCTCAAATAATTAGCTTTTCTGGTCTCTTCCTTTGCTCTATAAACGCTCTCTTTTCCTGTAACAAGTCTTAATTTCGGCAAAGGATTCACCAAGGTTATCATGCACAAACTCCCAAAAGCTGTCCAAAGTCTCCTGGGGTGCAGTGGGGGTAGCACAGCTCCTTTTCACAGACCAAAACAAAACAAAATGCAAGGTTACCTAAGATAGGCAAATGTATTAGAAGATTTATGTGAGACTAATAGCCTATTTTGACTATTGGCCTAGGTAATTACAGGGGAATTTTATTATCTTCAAAATATAGAATAAAGTAGCACAAATACTGAGGTTCAGATCAACGTTTTTTCATTGCTTAGCCTATTTTTTTGCTCATTCTGCTTTCTTTAGTATCATTCTAAATAGATAAATGATTGAGGCTGCAATACATTAACGTTCCCATTTAAGAGTTCCACAGAGGATGGAAAATGATAGATTTCTCCACATATTTGGTGCTTAGGAGGTAATTAGTTCCCCAAGTCATCACACCAGCCCAGTTATATAATCCTGTTTTGTTTGTTAAACTTGTTTGAGAACACTTGACTCGAGCTTGTGTTCTTTGTCATCTGCATCATGCCCAGGGACACAAGGCTTTGAAACACACAGGCACTCACACACTCCTAGACGTGTAACACAAGTTACACTTAACCCTCCCTTGATCTCCCATTGATCAACTTTTTTGTCTGCCATCAGGGGCTGAGTATGAAGTCAGTCACAGGAGCAAGAAATGAGGACAGGGAAACCCAGACAACTGTACCTTGTTTGTTTGCCCAGGCAGTTCTTTTCTTCCCAGTCCCCCTTCTCCACTCCCTCTGGTGTAATCCCTAAAACAAAACCCCTCCCTTTATATGGTTCCAAGGACTGTCTGGTTAAGTGCCAATGCCAATTCCCCTTTCTCAATGAATAATACAAAGGTATAACAAAACTTACAGGCTTAGAAGAAATATCACAACATTAGAATACTATCAAGGTATAAAGCTAGGCATATCTTCCAGGCTGCTGTTTTTCCATGAAAACAACAATTCCTTTCTTTTGTAATGAAATCTAGGAGAGGTTTCTTACACTTCTGACCTTTTAAACAGAAGAAGCAAATAGTGGTTATTTCTAGTGGGGTAGAAGAAGGTACTTAAGCAACAGACTGTTGGGAAAATACCTCTGTCACAAATGGAATAGCAACCCAATTCTTTCAATGAAAATTCACAAGCCTCCTTTATCCTTACCATGGAAAGAAATACCTACTTTTGTCCTTTACAGAAATTCGGGTAAGAAAGTTTAAAATTCATGTTCATTAATACTAAATAGGTGGTCAAATCTGCTTTTATTATGGTTTGCTAATGACCCTTAGGTGTTCATAGGAAATTATTTTTTTTTTCCTGGTAAATTTTACTTACTCAAAATCATACCTATCCTTCCAAAAGCACTGCAGCATTACAAAGTGTGTTAGCACTCACCAAAGGCAAACAACTTGGATTTCAAACAGCTGTTTTCCCGGTTTTCTAGATTTCCTTGTATTTTGGGCACTGACCTGTCACACATCCCTCACCAGATACATGTACCTGAACTTAATAAGCTGTCTTGGTTTGAGACAATGTTTTCAGAGAAAAAAATTAGGGAGTAAATGTTTCCTCTGAAGTGAAAAATTTGGTAATTTTTTTCCCACCAACATGAAATAGATGTTTAGGCAAAAGTGAAGAAAAAAATTAGTTTATTAACAAAACACAGTGCCCACAGGACAGATAAAAAAAAAAAACCTGTTAGATATTTAAAACTCAGGAACACACGCTGCTCCCGCCCCCCACAACCGGTTTGCCCATGTGGTGCAGAGAAAAGATGGAGGCTCCCCTCCCCAGGGAAAAAAGAAATAAAACAAAAAAAAAGTCCATGTGACCGCTCTGGCAACACTGGCAACCTGGTGGCAGTCCTCACTGTGGATGTAACAGAGGGCTTGGTGTGTTTTTCTGTCGCTGGCTTGGCTTCTTAGGAGTCCGGGACGAGACGGAGTGGCGTGGCTTGTCCCCACCCACTGCTGAATTGCTCCAGAAGCAAAATCAAAGCAGCCGCAGAGGGGGTGGCAGTCCTCCAAAAAACTGTTTGTCCAACCTAACAAACCCGAGCTAGCTAAACAGCAACAATGTAACTCTGCTGCACCCAGCAAGCAAGGACTCCCGCAGCACCCATGCTGAGGTCCCAAAAGCCCCCGGCTGTGTGGCAGCCTCGGCTTTTAAACTGCCCACGCCGCCCCTGCCCCTTCTTCCGGGTTGCATTTAAAGGCACAGGCACCTTTTGGGCATACAAGCTGACGGAATATAGGAATACAGGACTGGCACAACATAAACCCAAGACAGGCCACCCCTTATTCCATATCCGTAGGCTTGAAGCCCAAACTAAAGACACACAAATATATATACATATATACAAATAGTGGCAGTGACATTCAGCAAGCAGTAATTACAGGCATCCCAACATTACAAGCGCTTTTCACTCAAAATCAAATTCCCCTGAGGTACACGAGTTTCTCCATCCTCCTGCATTACCCACCATGTTCAACCTGGTCCTTGAGAAAAGGCAATCCCACGGATGGGTTTCTCTTAGCTCGAGGCAGAATTGATCCAGACATTCTTGCCTAACAGAGCTTTGAGATGTTCTGCTGGGACCCTGTCCCCATCTACTGTATGCAGGGGTTCCGACTAGGCAGGGCCTGCTCGGTTGGTGGAGCCTTGGGTGTTTACCATTCAGGTAGCTTTTGCTAGATGCTGTTCCCAGTTTTTGAAAGTACCCCTTCCCAGTGCCTTCAGGGTGTTTTTTAAGAGTCAGTTGCATCGTTCCACTTTGCCAGCAGCAGGTGCATGGTAAGGGATATGGTACACCCACTCAATGCCATGTTCCCTAGCCCAGGTGTTTATAAGGCTGTTCTTGAAATGAGTCCTGCTGTCAGACTCAATTCTCTCTGGGGTACCATGCCTCCAAAGGATCTGTTTTTCAAGGCCTAGGATGGTGCTACAGGCAGTGACATGAGACATAGGATAGGTCTCTAACCATCCACTGGTGGCTTCTACCATTGTGAGCACGTAGCGCTTGCCATGACGAGTCTGGGGCAGTGTGATGTAATCTACCTGCCAGGCCTCTCCGTACTTGTACTTGTCCTACTTTGCCCAATACCACAGAGGCTTCACCTGCTTGGCCTGCTTGATGGCAGTGCCTGTCTCACAGTTATGGATAACCTGGGAAATACTGTCCATGGTTAGATCCACCCCTCGGTCTCGTGCCCACTTATATGTGGCATCTCTGCCCTGGTGGCCTGAGGCATCATGGGCCCATTGAGCTAGGAACAACTCCCCCTTGTGTTGCCAATCCAGGTCTATTTGGGATACCTCCATCTTTGCAGCCTGATCGACCTGCTTTTTGTTCTGGTGCTCATTAGTCCGGCTCTTGGGGACATGGGCATCTACATGGTGGACTTTCACAGGTAATTTCTCCACTCAGGCAGCAACATCTTTCCACTCTTCAGCAGCCCAGATTGGTTTTCCCATAAACAAAATTGGCCTTTTCCCATCTGTCCAGCCACCCCCACAGAGCACTGGCCACCATCCATGAAACAGTGTAGAGCTTTGGCCACTTTTCCCTCTCAGCAATGTCCATGGCCAGCTGGATAGATTTGAGTTCAACTAATTTACTTGAGCCACTTTCTCCTTCTGTGGCCTGTGCAACCTGTCGTGTGGGGCTCCATTTGGCTGCTTTCCACTTCCGGTTCATCCCTACAATCTGACAGGAGCTGTCAGTGAAGACAGCATAGCGTTTATCCTCTGCTGGCAGTTGGTTGTATAGTGGAGCTTCCTCAGCATGTGTCACTTGCTCATATTCCTCCTCGTTGGCAAGACCAAAGTCTTCGCCTTCAGCCAATTTGTAATTATTTCCAGGATCCCAGGGCGATTCGGGTTTCCTATATGGGCGTGTTGAATAATGAGAGAAATCCATTTGCCCCAAGTAGCATCGGTGGCGTGGTGGGTAGAGGGGACCTTTGCTTTGAACATCCACCCCAGCACTGGTAATCGGGGTGTCAGGAGGAGTTGTGCTTCTGTCCCAATGACCTCTGAAGCAGCTTGGACTCCCTCACAGGCTGCCAAGATCTCCTTCTCTGTTGGGGTGTAGTTGGCCTCAGACCCTCTGTAGCTTCGGCCCCAAGAATCCCAGTAGCCAGCCTCGAGTTTCACCAGGCACCTTTTGCCAAAGGCTCCAGGACAGGCCGCTGCTCCCAGCTGCAGAGTAGAGCACATTCTTCACTTTTGGTTCTGTCCTGACTGGGCCGAGGGCTACCGCAGGAGCGATTTGCTGCTTGATCTGGGCAAACGCTTGCTGCTGTTCTGGGTCCCAGTGGAAATCATTGTTCTTCTGGATCACCAGGTACAGAGGGCTCACGATCTGGCTGTATTCGGGGATGTGCATCCTCCAAAAGCCTATGGAACCTAGGAAAGCTTGTGTTTCCTTTTTGCTAGTTGGTGACATAGACGTGATCTTGTTGATGACCTCGGTGGGGATCTGATGCTGTCCATCTTGCTACTTTACCCCCAGGAACCGTATCTCTTGAGGAGGTCCCTTCACTTTGTTCTTCTTTATGGCAAAGCCAGCTTCCAGGAGAATCTGGATGATCTTTTCTTCTTTCTCAAATACTTCTGTTGCTATGCTCCCCCACACAACGATGTCATCCATATACTGAASATGTTCTGGAGCCTTGCCCTTTTCCAGTGTGGCCTGGATCAGCCCATGGCAGATGGTAGGGCTGTGCTTCCACCCCTGGGGCAGCCGGTCCAGGTGTACTGTATGCCCCTCCAGGTGAAAGCAAACTGTGGCCTGCACTCTGCTGCCAGAGAAATGGAGAAGAATGGGTTGGCGATGTCAATGGTGGTGTATCACTTCGCTGCTTTGGGCTCCAGCTTGTACTGGAGCTCCAGCATGTCTGGCATGGCAGTGCACAGCGATGGAGTCACTTCATTTACACCACGATAGTCCACAGTCAATCTCCATTCTCCTTTAGATTTGAGCACAGGCCAGATGAGGCTGTTGAAGGGTGAGTGGGCCTTGCTGACCACCCCTTGGCTCTCTAGCTCTTGGATCACGTTATGGATGGGAATCACAGCATCTCGGTTTGTTCTGTACTGCCAGTGGTGCACTGTCAAGGTGGCAACTGGAACGTGCTGGTCTTCCACGTTGAGGAGTCCAGCTGCAGGATTTTTGGACAGCCCAGGCAAGGTGCTTAATTGCTTGATGCCATCTGTCTCTACAGCAGCTATTTCGAAGGCCTACTTGAATGCCTTTGGATCTTTGAAATACCCACCAGAGAAACTCTATTCCCAGGATGCATGGGGCCTCTGGACCAGTCACAATGGGATGCTTCCTCCACTCCTTTCCAGTCAGGCTCACCTCAGCTTCCACCAGAGTCAGGTCTTGTGGTCCTCCCGTCACGCTAGCAATAGAAACAGATTCTGTCCCCACATGTCGCGATGGAATTAGTGTGTACTGTGCACCAGTGTCGATCAAAGCCTCGTATTCCTGTGGTTCTGCTATGCCAGGGCAACGAATCCACACAGTCCAAGAGGAACGGTTTTCCCTGGACTCTACCTGGCTAGAGGCAGGGCCCCTCTAGCACTGGCTGCCATTCCTTCCTTGTGCATACATTGCAGATGTTCCTTCCAGGGGGTTGGACATGTCATTCTGCCTTGTGTTATGCTGGGCAGCTTGGTTATGGGAAACCAAGAGAAATGGGAATGAGAAGTAGCTCTTCTGGTGGAGCTTCCTCTCTGAGTGTTGCCATTCTTCAATTCACCTAGCAGTGTGCTGCTAGGGCAGAGGTGGGTTTACCATCCCACCTTCTCATGTTTTCCCCATGCTCACACAGGAAGAACCAGAGGTTTGCTCGTGGAGTGTACCCTCTTTCTCTGGCTGGGGGACGTCTGCTCCTGGTGACAAGGCCTCTGGTCTGGACCAATGCAATTTGGAGAAGGCCTTCTTTTAATCAGTGTAGCTCCAGTACAGTGCATGCAAACTTTGAAACATTCCAGACCTACTTTCACACATACCAGTACCAGGATTAAAAACAGTGAACAAAATGTCTGCTTCATACAATATTACTTCCTTGTGCCTACAAATCTGGTAATGTACTGTAAGTTAAGGCAACAATTCTTTATTTTAAGGGCCTGTTCTTAGAGAGGAAGAGTTACTATAGATTTGTTTCAAATGCAAGGAAAGCAGGTTCTCTCCCTACCCTTGTATTTTCAACATACAATCCTAGAATATGAACATTCATGAAAAAAATTACCATAGCTACATACGCACCCCTGGGATGATTTGAATTGGGAGCACATTTTTGAAGTGTGTCTCCTCATTTTCTCCACTTACCACATTTCGGTTCACAGTGCAGAGAGATAAGTGTTGTTTCATCCAATAGGTAAGTCTAAACTGAATATGCATTGCTAATATTCACCCTAAATGCAACAAGCAGCCAGTTCATAAACTGGACAGGCAGACAAAAGTAAAACCTCCAAAAGGCCTGTAATGTGGGAAATGAGCTACTCACACTGGGTGGATACGCTTCCCAATGAAGATACATTATGCATCCACTTCCTGGGATTCATTTTTATACCTCCATGAAAATCCTTCATACAGAAACTCTCAGGTCTCTAGCTACCACAGCTATCCTGTTCTGCAAATAAGGTGACAAATAGTGAAATTTAACTTTAAATCAACAGAGCCTTTCATATAGTGGTTGTCACTATTCACCACAGCATCTAATTTACCTTGTGGCACTTCCAGCCCCTGTACTTAAACACAAAGAGCCCACTTTGAAGCCAATAAATACTTCTGTGGTATAACCAATAAAAGACCCTCCATTCCATAAATTCACTCCATTTTCAATCCCACTGAAGTAAGTCACCTGTATCAACATTTTTGATGCTTTGCTGCATTCCTTTCTTCATTGAAGAATGGACTTACTGCACTGCCCTGTAATCAGAGAGAAGAAACCATACCACTATTATTGGTACACTTAGGCGATATGCAGGATGTTTCCCCCTCGTCCTTGGTAAGTAACTTACTCTATAGCATATTCCATGTTACATGGCTAGCACAGGTATTTGCAATTGCCCAACACAGCTCAAACCTCTGGAAGACTGAAAGAAGCTAGGTAAATAATATTTGTGTAGATGACAGCAACAGAATCAAGTTCAAAACATCAGTATTACAGAAGTTGACAGCTGTATCTAAAACAGAATAGTTCTGTAGATTATCTCAAAAATAGATATTCAGGCAGAAAAAAAAGTTCATCAAAGCCACTAAGGAAACCAGGCATTTGACCAGACATGGCTTACTGTTCCTGAAATCACTTAACCTGATAAAAAGATCTAAAGTCATGGAGCGGAAGCTAAAATGAGTATAATTCAGTAAGGACTATAACAGAAATAACATCACCAATCAGAAACTGGTTCATGGCACTGTCCATATCATTTGGACGGCAGTAGCCCTGCTCTACAGGAAACCTGCCTTTCCAGAACGCTGCCAAGTTTGTCCATCAAGAACAACTCAAGGAATCCTAACTAGCACTCCCAATATACTTAAATCCTGTCAATCTGTTGATAACTTTTGCCAACCACTACCACTAATGGCTACTTGGAAAGGAAGATTGTTGTGTTTCTGACATTTACTTGCCAAGAGTCTAACTCTAAATATGTAATTTGTTTGGTTTTGTTTCCAAATGATGTTACCGTGAACCCCATTATTTTAAGATGACTTCGGCTCCTTCAGTGGACTGCACTACATGAAATGCCTGTGTATTCTCCAGTTATTAACACATGGTACACTTAAAAGTTTTTGGTGAAGAAGAGGTTTCGAGAATAAAAAAAAGTAGTATAGCATTATTTCCAATGCAGATTACTTTTTAAAAAATCAATATTCACATCCAGTATGTTCAGTTTGTAACTGTGATCAAGATTCTTACTGCTCTTCAGTTCAGCCTCTGAATAACTGTATTTCTGTTAGTGTGCCTTATTATGAAAAATCAGTTGTTCTACATCTTTTTTCCTTTTCAATATTATTGGTCACAGAAAGGTTTCTTCTACTTAAGTGCTAAGTAGTCAAGTAAGTTGTTCTATTAAAAAAAAAAAACCAAAACCAAAATCAAACAGTTTTGACCATGATTTGCCGTTCAAAATAATTTATGAAGCGGTACCTCTTGGCCTTTTATTTGTATAAATTATACAACAACTATAGGTTTTTTTAGACAATGAGGTGAGTCTGTATTTAGTACTTCAATCATTGTTCTCAGGGTTGGAAAAGTCTCTGATACTGATGGTAGGCTCTTGTAAGAAGGTGAAATACTGAAAGAGAAAAAGAGAAGTTATTTTTTTATGGGTTTTATGATTTACCTGCAAGTTAACACATCAACCTCTACTTCTCTTCATCCCCTCCTCCAAGAAATTTGGGGCCTCTGCCAAGAATCATCCTCGTGCAATGCTACAGGCTTGGGGCAGAGTGGCTGGAAAGCTTCTGGGCAGAGAAGTACCTGTGGGTGCTGGCTGACAACAGCTGAATATGAGCCAGCAGTGTGGCCAGGAAAACCAATGGCATCCTGGCCCCTATCAGCAATAATGTGGCCAGCAGGATGAGGACGGTGATTGTCCCCCTGTACAYGGCACTGCTGAGGCCACACCTCAAGACCTGCACCCAGTTTTAGGCTCCTAACTGCAAGAAGGGTATTGAGATACCAGAGTGTGTCCAGGAAAGGACAGTGGAGCTGGGAAAGGGTCTGGCGCACAAGTTTAATGATGAGCAGCCTGAGGGAGCTGGGGTTGTTTAGCCTGGAGAAAAGGAGGCTCAGGGGGGGCCTTCTTGCTCTCTACAATTGCCTGAAAGGAGGCTGTAGCTAGGTGGGGGTTGGTCTCCTCTCTCAGGTAACAAGTGACATGACCAGAAGAAATGGCTTTAAGTTGTGCCAGGGAAGGTTTAGATTGGATATTAGGAAATACTTCTTCATTGGAGGGGTGAAAACATTGGAGTAAGCTGAAGGAAGTGGTGGAATCACCATCCCTGGAAGTGTTCAAAGGGTGTGTGGAGGAAGCACCCAGGGACATGGTTTAATGGTGAACACAGAGGTGCTGGATTGGCAGCATTAGTGGTTTTACTCAATGATCTTAAAGCTTTCTTTCCAACCTTAATGATTCCGTAATTCTCAGAATCTGTTGTTCATAACCAACTCTTGCTTTGCATGACTCCTCACCATACAGAATGAAAAAAATGAAGAGCACATAGAGGAGCTTTCAAAAGCAGCAGAAGTTAAAGAAGTATTGCTTTAAGTCTTCCAGCCTTATTTACCATTTCCACTATTATTTGTCTAACACAGATAAATTAGCCACTCAGGCTAATTACTTCCATATTATTACATCAAGTCCTTTGGGCTGTAGTTCTTCAGATGTTTTTCTCAGCCTTAAACAAAACCAGCTTTAGCGTTTTCTCCACTCTGGCTCATTTAATCTCCTATTATGGATCTCTAATTTGACTCAACAATACTGCAGGTAGTACTATGCCACAAAATTGTCTTGATGAAAAAGAAATTGTTTTGGCAAGGTTATTCCTAATACAAATGAGTTCCCTGATCTGGTTTGATATGGATTCCTGTAAGTTTCAGCAGTATCACTGAGGGAGTCAGAAACACATGGGTAGCACTGAAATGGCTTAATCTGACTTTACTCCCAAGAGGGAAGTTTCTCTTTGGTGAAGGTATGTCTTAAAAATAACAAAACAACAAACGCATAAAACTAAAACCAGCATGAACAGAGAATTAATAAAGAAGAGTATAAAACTGAGAGAATCACAGCAAAACATTGTGGGAACCATAAATATTTTCTATGTCCAAGACAAGCAAGTCTGAATATTTGTGCAGACTACTTCTAATACAAAACACAACTTGCTACACCTGTAGTTTAGAAATTTCTCTCCTTAATGAATACTGAATTTGACTTATTTACAAGTAGAATTTTAGCTTGAATTTGACAAAGATGTCTTACTGGCCTTCTTCATTTAGGAATGAATTTTATAGTCTAGTGAAATTCCCTAGGCTGAGAACACCTGATAATGATGATGAACAGAGTAATCAGTATGAGATAGCTGGCTTCAAGAGCAGCTGCAGAGCTCCACAGACTCTAGGAATAACTCAGGTTGGACCAAACCACAGGAGGTCTGTGCCCTAAGATCCTGCTCAAAGCAAGGTGAATCGAGAACTCAAATCAAGGTGTCAGGGCTTTATCCTACCAAGCCTTGAAAATCTCCTGGATGCAGTATTTTAGGGGTAGTCTAAAGTGCTGAGTGCACCCTTAATCTGATTACCCAAGCATCTTTTTAATCCATCTGGGTGTCATTCTTTTGCTCAGAGCATAATGTGCTATCTTGATATGAGAGTACTGTGGGACTTCTTGCTGAAGTAAAAATAAACAACGCTTGATTGCTCTCGTCATCAAATCTAGACTTGGTTTTTATCACAGAAAACAATCATTGGGTCACACAACATTTGGTGAACTGACATTGATTGTTTTCTATGACCTTTTCCTTCATATAAACTGAAATGCTTTCATAAAGGACTCATTCCATGATTTTTCCCAGGGATCAAAATTAGGTCCCTGACCAGCCTACTGTTTCCATGGGTTTCCTTTTGGCCTTCCTGAAGGCAAAATCAAGATTTCCTTTCCTGCAGTCACCAGGAATGTCCCGTGACGTGTAACACGTTTCTAAGATTATAGACAGCCCTCAAAGGACCTTGGCTCAGAACCCTTTACATGTCTTGATCTTGCCTTGAAGAATACTAGAACTGATGTTTAGATACTGGCCTGATGTTTAGATTTTGTATGGGGAATAACCACTAAGGAACTAGTCAAATGAACCAGATTCATAATATTAATTCTTTGTCAATGTATGCAGTATTCAAGAATAAATTCATATGAAAATCAAAATTTTAAAGCATTGCACAAAAGTCACGCATCTAGACTAAGTAATGTAATTCTCCATACTCAAAATGTCCATCCCCTTCGAAAACATTCATTCTCAAAATCAAAACTAAAGGATAAGCAAATTACTTTGGATACATAGTTTGAAGAGATCACAAGAATTTTTAAAAAGGGTCAAAAAATTCCCCTTGCTTTGTTTACTCACTGTCAGATCTACTAATGATAAGTCATAATATAAAAAGATAAATTTGACCCACTAGATAAAATGAATAAAATATTAACCCAAATAATTCCCTCAGAGGATAATACTCACATAACTGAATGTCTAGACTACTAACTACTCTGTCAGACCAGATACACACTACTGTGTGTGTAAATACAAATCTTGTCTCATCAATTCCTAAACAGTCYTAAAAAATACACTGAATCCTTTATTAAACTCGTAATTTCTAAGTAACATTTCTTATTATAGGTTTGAATTTTACATATAGGCTTTCATCTGAAGAAAAAGATTTACCTTTTTAGATTCATCCAGCTCCTTGCTATTTTGCTAAAAGCTTCAGACCCCGGTGCAGTCATTGCTTCAAAATCAACCAGCTGAAAATGCAACAAAATGAAAAAAAAAAAAGATTAAGAAATTACAAGATTTTAAATTTCTCTTACTTCTGAAAGGGCTCTGAGAGCATGCTACCTATATTCTTGGTACGGCAGGGGTAAGCTTACTAACCAGTCTCTGCCCAGACTACTTTGTCCTTCACCATCAGTTTGAAGCATTCAGGCCAGGCACAAATTCTCTGTGGGGTTTGTACACCCCACCACAACTAATACTGTAAGTAACACTGGACATGGCTACTGACTGACCTGCCAGACAACAACAGGACTCCTGACTAGTCTGCACTTTTGAATTCAGAGCAGCCTGAAAATGCATGCTGTCATACGCCTGGGATCAGCTTAGCTCTTCTAAGGAATCTGACAAAACACAAACCCCAGTTTCATTCAACTGCAAAAAACAATTTCTTACACAGTGTGAAAACTTGCCTAAAAAACAAGTTTATTTGTATTCAAGCACTCTGTCTCAGGAAAAATTCTCAAAAGTAAAGATGCCTCTAATGTTGCCATAAGTCAGAAATCCTGCTTAGTAGTAATCTTGAAACTCTGCTTGCCTGCATAAAATCAGTCAGCAAAATACTACTCTTATCAAGTTGTAAGAAAATCAAGTCCTAAGAAACCCCACGTTTTACCTTAGCTTGAACTCCCACAGAACGGGGAAGATATGAGCTTAATGGCATACTGAAAAGGAAGTTTTCTTGCTGCAAAGCAATGGCATTTTGCTCTTAAAAGCTCCTAGAGTTCATTGTACTCAAAGGAGTACATTGTTTTCATGGCTTTCTAGAACAAAAGGAAAGTAACCCTTTCTTCAGTTATTCATGCAAGATATTTTCTTTAACAGCTTGGATTCTCACTGGAATTTTATTGATTCTATTGACAATAGAGACAGAAGTGTTCTCACTCCTTTCATGCTGAAAAGGAACCACAGCTAACAACTCAATTGTTGAAGAAAAGGAAATCCTTTATTGAGCAAGTTGGTATAATATTCAAATTTAGCCACTTTRTTGAGTAAGATGGTCTAATATTCAGATGTAGTCACTTAAACACTAGGAATTACTTTAAATCCGGTAGAACACAGGAGAAGAAGAAATCAAGAGAAGTTCCAAATGTATTTGTATTTGTACTTACCAAGCCCTAAAATCTCTACAATACACAGAGTATAGACAGAAAATTTCTACTGTGTGCCAGAAGAGTCACAAATTCTTCCCCAGTATTCTCAGAACCCTTCTCAAAGCAATGAGAAAAGAGCAGCTCAGCACACTAGAAATGAGTCAGTGACATATCTGTAATTCCTGTGGGTCCAAACTTCTACAATTTGACTAATCCAAATTATTGCACATATCATCTCCAAATTCACCTGCCGTCAGAACCGCAATGGAATTGTCAGCACTCTCAGGCTGCAAAGCATCATAGTATGCAGCTAGCCCATCCCCAGCAAACAAGCATCAACTGCTCATTCTTACAGCTCTTTCCCCACATTTACATGTATTACTTTGTCCATCAAGACTGAACTGGTGTACTTTGATATTTTGATACTTGCCTTTCCTTTAGGGATTTTTCCTGATACTTCTTTTCCACTTGCCATTAGTGCTCCCATTATCACTGAATAAGCTATCACACTAAAAGAATAAAATTAAAAACAACAAATGCAGTAAAAGTCTTTCCATAATGCTATTTTAGACTACAAAACACACAGAACATAGTATTGTTTCATAGAAGGCTAGTAAAGAGTCCCGTGATAGTTATCTTAGAAGAAAAAAACCAAGCACAAAACAATTAAAAAGTGAAATCACTGTTACTTTTCAACATCACTAGAATGAAGTAATGAACCTATGGAGTTTAACTACTGTTTCTATATTAGTCAGAACCATATTTTCAGACTTTGGAGTTCTCAAGACTCCACAGAGCTGAAAATAAAGCAAACTCCTGTTCCCAAGAAGATTAGCTGTAGCCCAGAAGAGTTTGTGAACTCTACTGCAACAGAGCTAGAGGAACCGTAAAGCTGTTCAGTTACTTAATTTTGAACCTAATTTTTTTTTTTTTAACTGTGACTCTCAGGCAGAATTTCTTGTAATTTTGACATTCTGTAAGATAAAGGCAAAATGATTACAAAAACACAAAATCTCATGGTCTGTTTTTTGGGTTTTTTTTGGGTTGTTTTTTTTTTTTTTTTTTTCATTTCTTGTAATTTTGACATTCTGTAAGATAAAGGCAAAATGATTACAAAAACACAAAATCTCATGGTCTGTTTTTTGGGTTTTTTTTGGGTTTTTTTTTTTTTTTTTTCCACTGAACTGTGTCTAGCAGTAAGATTAATGATATTAAGTGCTTTGTGGAACAGAGATCCGTAATAGTCTTAGATATAACCAGGTTTGCATTAAACTAGAATTCCAGTTGAAGAGTTCTGTGACATATGGAACTTTATCCTACAGTTTCATTTGGTGATCCTAACAGCTGCAATAATTTACTAAAATAATATTTAGTGCATTTTATTAAATTATCTCAAAATATATTTAATCTCAAATACACATTTCAGAAAAGCTTCTTAAGTCAAATTACAGTGTAACGCAATATGGGTTAGAAAATCAAGCACTACAATTTAAAAATGRCACTTCTCAATGTGTGAGCTGCTGTCTATAAATATGGACTACTCATTACTTTAAATATATATGCAGCTATGAATAGTTACCATCAGAAATTACAAACAAGTTTTTAAATCAGTGCTAAGTCAGTTCCCATTGTCACGGGAGCACAAAACGACTGTGAAGAACACACAGCTCTACCCAGAGCTTTTTTTGTATAAAGAAATATATTAAGATACTGCAACACATGGACATGCATGCAACCAAGGTAACAGACAAGATGAATACAAACACTAACCTAGATCCTCTTGAAAGTGGCATTAAATTATAGAAGTAATAAACTAATGACAGGATCAAGTTGCAAACAGCATCTACTTCCTAAGAGGAAGAAAAAGTGAATTAAAGAAAATTTAAATAGACAGGTATCTTATAAAGGTACACAGTGCAAAGTCTTACATTATTGCAACTGTTTTTTGTTTAAGAACCATTTCAAAGTAGAAATGTCAAACTGTGAAGTTGGAGTCTGATTAACAGATATTTAAGCAAACTACTCTGCTGTATCTTCAACATTGAGGCAAAGCACAGTTTATCTACACCGTGTTAAAGGATTAAAAAGAAAAAGCACAAGGTCAAATGTAGTCATTTTCCTTGCACATCAAATCAACACAAACACAATACTAGTGTTTCTCACAAATTCATGTTACTCATCTTATTTGAAACCACCACGAGCCAAATCCTAAACAGTACTTATAGGGATGATGACAAAGGTGAACACAGACCCATGACAAAAATGCAGAAAAAACCATACTGTGATACTGAGACCTCGCCTGAATGCTCTCTAGTACTGAAGGCAAAGCATAGCAAATTTTGAAGTAACAGATAGAATTTAAGCAACTTCTAATGGTATTTGTCATAATTGGCTTAAAGTAACTTTATTACTTAAGAACTCTGTCAACAAGTATTAGAACAGTGACTGCTAAACAGAGAGTATAAAAACAAAATAGGATTTTATCAAGGAATTAGTAACTTCCACTAGAACAGCCTTACCCCCAGCTCTGCAGACAGAATTAGAATTTTTCCTTTAGCTGTTAGATCCTTATATAGTGCATCTATTTCTGCATGATACAGCTGTGTTCTCTCTTCTGTTGTCTGAGTTTCTACAGAAAACAGTATGTTCCCCACTCTGTTAGGCAGATGGAAAAAAAAAAGGAGGTATGAAATTTTTTTGAACAAAACTTGATGCATATCCAGGTTAAATCACAAATGTTCTACAGTTACACATCACCTTTTTCCTATCCACATTACTTTCCATTTCATTTAGAAAACCCAAAAATCACCGAATGAAAAACGCTACATCACATTCTGTGATGTAGAAAGGATGTAGAAAGACTGCCACCTAATCACAGATAAAGTATTTCCATTGAAGAATACCTGACAAGCATTACTGTTTCACTTAAACTGTGGTTAAAATATAAGAAATACTAAATTTTAAAATATCTTCACAGACTTAAGTTTTTTTATAGAATGTAGAGTATAGTTTTCTTCATTTCTAAATTACCAAATGTTTTGGTATAAAGCATAGTTACTAACCATGCATCAAAACAGACTGAACAAAGTTTGTACAGAACAAAGTTAGTCTATTTTACTAAGTTAGTCTATTTACCAAAATATTTTCCTCAAGTGAGGTCTTATATTTAATACCATTTCACTGTACATAGGGGTATGATTTAAAATGTGAAATAAAAAACCAAGAGATAACTTAGCATTTTAGCATGGAAATTTGGGAAGAATTCTAATGGATAGAATTTGAAATTAATAAAAGGTTTTTATTTAATAGTAGAACAGCACTCAGAGCTTCAGACTTGCTTTGAGAAAGCAAGTGAGAAATTTACTTTCTCACCCAGAGAATGACCCAATCCTCGACTATATTCTCACACATTAAGGTACCATTTAAATTTTCACTTGCAGACAGAAGGTCTGCAGCATCTCAAGCACAAAAAAAGGCCAAAATCTCAAATAGAAGAGAGTCTCTTCTATTCCTAGACCACAGAAATTTCCATTGCATTCAGGACTTCTCAGCCAACATGAAAGACAAAGTCTCACAAGAAGAAATATATTTTGTTATGTAAAAAGACTGAGGTAATTGATATTTTTCCCCTTTAGGCATTTTATAGTCTAAGATGGAAAACAAAGTCTCTTTTCACTTTTGTGCTATATGTTAAAAAAATCAATTCAACCAGGCGTACTCCATCAGTGTTATCTATATTCCCTTTTTGCCAAAAACACAATAGGAATCAAATCCTCGAATGAATAAACTTCAATTATTCACAAAAATGCCACTAATGAATAACAAAACCATTTTTCTGCAAACAGAAATGGCATTTCAGACAATTAATTGCTAATACTTCATCATTACTTAATCTACCCTAGCCCCTGAAAATAGCAAACGTACCTATCTCCTGTTATAGCAATTGTGAATCCATCATATTCTTTCCCTTGATCCTTGAGGCTGGGGACTTTTGTGTTCACAGTAAACCCATCTCTGGTTTTACTGTTAAACTGCTTTCAAAAGAAAAAAAGTAATATTAGAGGTAGCAGAGACAGACTGCCAGCCTTGCTTTGAAACACCAAAAATACACCTAGTACAAATGAAAATGGATAAACTTAAGGAACGAACAAAGTTACTGTCAGTTACATTATTTCATTCATCCTTTATTTCCTTCTGAATAGAAACCATAAATACTGAATGAGGCATATTGGCATTCAACTTTATAACTAAATAGTGAATAAAAAGCGCTGTTTATGAAAAGCAATTGTACAAAGTAGTTCAAGTCTTACTGATCTTTCCCCAAGCTGCATGTTGATAGTAACCTTCTGGTGCAACAATGTAAATGCAAAAGCAGGAATTTGAGACCCCATTTTATGTTTACACTAAGAAGTGCCTGCATTAGCCCTGTGAATTGTGAATTCCAGAACACAACTCAAAGTAACAGTTTCTTAATTGAGATCCAGGTTCAACTCATGTTTATCCTCACAAGGAAAATAACTCTATGTTTAAGAATTTTACAAAGCTACATTATCTAAGAGTAACTCTGTAACCACAGAGTTGTATAAACCAGTCAAACCCCATTTAAGCAAATCCAAAAGCCCAGGTTTCCACATATAGCATTCCCACCAAAAAAAATTAAAATATCACTATTAGGAAGACATTCATTTCATATAGGCAGTAATAATGAGTAGTATGCACCAGTGCTTATTCAGGCAGTTATTTATTTTAACACAGAACCTATGATACAGGATGTTTTAAGAGAATCTGCATTTATTTTAAAGGAACAAAAAGCCTCTAATGAGACAGCATTCCACTTTGATACAGTTTGGAATGGGATGCAGGACACTAAAACCAGACTGAAATGTACAGGTTATGGAAACTGGGAATTTGCTGCCAGTTGAGATGTTTACTTTGAAATAGAAGTCCACTATGTTTATATATTTTCATAATTTTCTTGGAGTAACCTGCATTTTTAACTCCACTAGTAGCACTTTTTCTGGCCTACAATTAAAAAGTATTAGATGCTCCACACCCTGTACTTGTACATTTGCACGTCAATAGGGAACACTTAGTTGTCCATTCATCCCAACATCTACTATCTCTTCAGCCCAAGCTTTTGCTTAGGTTCAGTTCATATCCACTTGGCTTCATCTTTCAAGGCCAAGAACAAGACAGTAATACAAAAAGATTTTGGGCCTCCGAACTTAGGGTGTCTTCAAAGAATATATATTCACAACACATTATAAAAACCCATAGAAAAATTCAGCACTTGAGCCACATAGCTTCTGCAAAGGTATTTGTAGTGCATGAGTGAGCACTACTAGCAAGCACATATCCAAACCCAGACAGCCTGTCAGGAGTAGCAGCAATGCAGCTTCAGAGAACTCTGCTCTATGGCAACCCGGCTGCTTTGCTTAGATATGAAATTCCAGTGTGGACACAGAAGACAAGAAAGCAATGCATTTGTCTCTGTTTAGAACAACTGTTTCTTCCCAAATTTATCCTGCTCTAATTTTAATGGTGTACAATCCTTTAAAAAGGACCTAATTTGTAATACTGTTTCCCCAAACCCCAATAGCTACACACTGCTCTTATCCCATATTAATTTGGAAGAATGGAGGGAGAAGGGGAACATCTTTTATTTAAACCCAACTCATGCCTTACTCCTTAAGAGTATTAATCACTTGCAGGTTGTATATCCAAAGCCTTTCTGTTTCTACAAAGAACACCACCATCAGGAAGAAAACCTGCAAGTTTCCCTTTTTTGGCAAGTCTTCCAAAGCTCAAGAATGTTATCCAGGATTTCATTTTAGCTATCCATCACTAAGCACGACTACTCCCCCCATTTCCCTCTGCCAGCCCCACCACATACTGACCTGCACCAATGAACCTAAAGCAAAAAAAAGCTTCTATATCTTTGATCTTTCAGGCACATCAATCCATTTTTTCCTTCTTATTGTACAGATGTAGAGTGAGCCCTTTATGGCAGATCTGATCAGAAAACTTCTCGGTTAAGAAAGCTGGCTTCAAAGAATTACATTCAACATTTTGTTTTCCCATTATTTTCTTATCAATTCACAGTTAGGCTAAGGATTTCAAATATACATCACCCATTTGCACGTGTCAAAATGAAGGTCCAACCCTACATACGCAGATTTGGAGTAACCCAAGCTAGCATTTCCAGTTATTCATTTTAAGTTTATACACAATGGTTTTGAGGAACTGGATGTCTCCCAGGATGTATTTAATTATTTTTACCATATATTAAAGTTTTTCTTTAATTTACCTTCATTATGGGAAGAAGATCTTCTACTTTATGTACCTTTTCCAAAGCTTCTCGAACCTCTAGCAGTCCTTTTGGATTATTAGCACTGGAAAAAAAATAAATATGAAATGTAACAGTTGAACACATGTAGCATTTCTGGAAATTCACACACCATTAGCCTAATCAGCCACAGTGAAGTAAGTTACTGAAAGTAAATTATTTCTTTTTCTGAAAATTAATTCCTTTATACTTTTCCACACACTCTCCTGTATTTCAAAAAGCAATTTTCTCCCATACCAGCTCAGCTTATTTTTTTCAACTTCAAACCTCAGCTTCAGTATTCAGATTTATCTTACTCTAATTAAGTATCTTACTCTTGCTATTGGCCACTCTAAAGCATCAAACAGTATTTGTGTGAGTGTGTGTGGGCAGGGGGTCCTAGATAAAAAAAATTGGAAGTAGAAGAGAGTTAGCATTAGAAATATTCTTCACAAAATAGAGGCATCTCTGTAGCTTCAAAGGCAAGTAAATACTTCAGATGCAGGCATAGCTGGACCATGAAGAAACCTGTTGAATTACTGCTCTAATAATTAATTACCCTATACTCAGATTTTAAGAACAGAATTATTTTTAAAATCACAGCACAAATTGCTCTGGTTTAAGGTCAAATGCTACCAGGCTTACTCTGAACAAACTTCCTAGCAACACAGGACAAACTGCCAGTTACTACAGAACTATGAACTTTCAGCAACTACCGTAAATTTTCTAAAATGTTTTCAACTGTTATAAGGATATTCTGTACTTTCATTTTTGATATTTAAGTAGCATAATGAGACTAAAAAGCAGAACTCAGTATTTAATATAAGTTACCATGTCAAATGTAAGTTTAAAGCTAGAAGACATTTTTAGTTTTTTAATGTTATCAGAATACTGAGCTACAGGATTCAGTACAAATACCAACATCAATTTCAATATTACTTTTAGTCACATTTTTTCATTCCAGAGTCTACAACGTCTTCAGTTTCAGGACAACGTCTACCAACCCATCTATGCAACAGGAAGTAAAAATTCCCTGCTCATTTAAAACTACTTGTCAAACACCTGTTTCAGTGAAAATTACCTGCCATATCTTCTTTTCCCTTTTTTTTCCTCATTTTTACTTCTTAATAAATGAACCTCAATAGTCAGAAAACTGTACTTGATTCCAAAAGGGGGAAACCCAACATCTTTAAGAATCATATGCTTAGAAAGAATAGAGATCAAATTGTGACAGAACCAAGGCTACAAATTCAAAAGAGTTATTTGTTTCCAGGTACACTGTAATTCACAGTGATTTTTTTCCTATTAGTTTAAGTTTCTTTATGTGGCAATGAATAGGATTTACATTTCCAATAGGAATTAAAACAATTATATATACTAAGGAAACCAGAACTTACTAATATTAAGGAAAAAAAAGTCTCAGACTTTCTGAAATCAATATTGTGCAAATTTCAGATCACTATTACCAGGGGAGCAAAGCAGGAAAAAAAATTTAGGAATTTACCCATGATAAACAAGGATCCTGTCTTTGATAAAATGAAGTATTTTCTCAAAGTATTCCAGGTACCGCATGTTAATGACCTGTCCCCTACAAAGAAAATAAACGTTTTTTTCAAGTCTTGTTTTTCAACCCAACATTTCAAACAACACAAGTATTACTCATTAATATTTCACATAATTTTATTCAGTTGTACTGTAAATTAAAGGAATGAACCACATAGGGTTTATCTACATGGTGAATTGCCAATGACCCAATTTAAATATAGATTACATAGAGAACTTGCTAAAACTCATGTATCATTAGAATTGTTGTTCTCTAATAACCTACATTCTTTGCATACTTCCCCATTTTCAACGTGCCTGATTCCAGTAAATCTTACCTATATGATAATGACACATTTGTACAAGGATATAATCTTTCCTAGACTCACAGATACAACAGAACTAGAAAAGATTTCTCAATATGCACATTTAGAGAACCAACACTATCCAGTGTATATATTTGGCAATATACATGCTGATCTGCTCTGACTGTCCACATATATTTTTCTTTATTCACCTATGTTCCTCTCCATTGAAATAATTTTGCTTTGAATCCCAACAGTTACAAGTAGTAACTGAAAAACAAAAACATTTAAAAGGTGTTGATATTTCTCTTGGACCACTAAGGAAAAAAAAATGTATTAAAATGTGATAGAAACTTGTTAGGATTATAACCACTCTGAGAGGAAAAATTACATACCATTACTGCAATTGTAGGAGTCCTTCCTCATCTCCCAGTCTACAAAACAAGATTTTATAAAGCAAGTGTTATCGCTCTCTGAGGAAGCAAAACCACTGTCAATCACAGGAAGCTGTGTACACCTAACTTTTTCTTTCCACTTTTAGTGATTTCTGGCAGCTTAAGCCCCTGTCTAATGTCTTACTTGATAGTCTCACACCTTAGGAGGCCTAGTCTCAGAAAACCAGCAGAATCAGCCCTCAAAAACTGAACAGAATTAGAACACACACATACACATATCAGCACACAGGAAAGGGAGGCAGGGAAAGCAGAAGGATGAAGACAAATCTAAAATACATTATTGGCCCTTGTTGTACGTCCCATCATTTTCCATCTGTATTTTTAAAAACATCTGTACAACAGGCAGTAACATGCCAGTATAAGAAACTGGATTCTCCTTCAGTATCATCTTGGAAAATACATCCAAGCAGATCTATCATTCTGTAAGGTCTAGAAGTTATATGACCAAGAAAGACTTTTGGTGGTGGTCAAAAGTGATTTCTGTTTATTCCCACTCCTTCTCCTTGTTTAGTAAACACTACCAGCAAAAATTCAAAAGTTGCAGTGTTCCAGAGTTTGTCTGTTTTTTTTTTGTTTTTTTTTTTTTTCAAGCAGAAGACGGCATCATATAATTTATGTTTAGTTGATCACAAATCCTTGCTTTGTCTATGAAAACAACTGAGGTGTTCCAAAACATTTTCTCTATTTTAAATCAAACTTACTAGCTTTGATCACTTAAGCCAGAAAGGAGATAAACCAAATCCACCCTTGTCTATAGAGCAGCAAAGAAAGTGACAGCTGACACACTTGCATCTTGAGAACATTAAGATCTGAAAATCAAAAACTGTGAAGTGCAAGATGTTCCTTATATATCTTTTAAAAAAGGTTCTCAAATCAACACAAAATGAGAAAAAAAGGTTTTGGTTTTCCAAACATTTTGCAATTCTGGAAAAGAAAAAAAAAATCAGCAGACACTGAATGCTAATGCCTCCAAGACAAGACTCATTTGACATGAATCACTGAACAATAATGGACTTCCAATGCAAAGAATTCAAGGAAAGAAAAACATTATGGTAACATATAGCTAAGCCAAATGTTTCTGCCCACAGAAATTCCTGGTTTACCAGACAAAATAAAACCTAGAGAAGAGCTTGAGCTCTGCATGACTAGAGCTGTTACAAATACAGGAAGAACACCCAACTGCTGTTGCTACACTTCTTGTTTGCCTGAACAACATTTATCCTAATATACATAATAATAATCAGAACTGCTATTTGTCAGCCTAAATCTATTGTTGTATCTGGTTTTCAGGTAGCCATGCTATTGTAGAAAGTATTTAGCCTTAGTCATATGACAATAACTTTCAAATCATAACTCAAATACAAAACAAAGTCTATCTTCTTGAAGGACAGTTAAAGGATCATAAAGCCATCCCAATTATCCAGAAAAGGGAGTTAGCTCTGTGCCCTATTAGTATCTTCAATCAGCAGCTATTTTACAAGCTGAGTAATCTAAAAGGGAAATTAGACAGATGGGTATAATTGGTTAAAAGAAATTCTCACTTAGGAATCACAGTGAACTGGAACATGTTTCAAAGCAAAAATAAATTTTAAAAAACAACCATTACCACTTAATATATTCATTTATTTTATCCCTCATGTCATGTGAAATCACCAGGATGGAATTCACAAGCAAAGCAAATCACAACAGAAAGCTGATCAAAGAAAGTGGCTATTACTTAAGATTGGAGAATGATCAAACCAGAACAGGTTTCTAGAGTCAAAAAGAATGCAATCACTATCCAGTACTAAAGTATGATCAGCTCCTAACGCAGCAGTATTTAGGCTGCTTCAAATCTATTGTTTCTTAAAAAAAAGTGTCTTATCAGTATTTCTCAGAGAACCACTACCTACCTAGCTATCAGATAAGAAAAACCAAAGTGCTGATGGGATCCCCAAAAGCCAATGCTGAACCAAAACAAAAGGTTAGAATCAGGTTCATCGTGGGCCTACGATTCTGAATGCTCACGAAGCTTATTTCAGACTTTTATAAAATGACTGAAACAGCTGTAACAGTACATTGTGAGTTTTGCTAGCACTCTCTGATGAAAGGAAAACAAGTAAAATACTCTGGACACTGCAAAACAAGAATTCCTGACACAGAGATCCTATAAAAGGACATATTTCCCCAGATTAAATGTCCAATATTATCCTCAAGATGTTAATTAAGTGTTACATGAATGCCCTTCTGCCAACAAAGATCACCTAGAAATTAGGCTTTTACTCTCCCATTTAAAAGTAAAATGACGAGGAAACAGGTGAAGCAAAGCATGGAATGCATTTCTGTTTCAATGTACAAATGGTTGTGGTTTCTGCTGCACTCTACACACAAGAAGAGAGAAATGCAGCAATAGCAAAGATGGAAACAGCTTGGAGCTCAAATGGCTTGAGGGGAAGAGAGAAGCCTAAGCGTAAAATTGTTCAAGAAGCAGCACATCTTTCAAGGTAACTGATTTGCACTGAAGTTTAATGCTGCATTAACCACTCCATGAAGTAAAGCACAGGCTGCTAGCGTCCATTTCACAGAGCAGAAGGAAGAGTGAGGACAAATCCTCATTAGCCCCTGCATACAAACAATAGAACATCACTCTTTCTTTCTTCCTGAAATAATTCTTGAGAAGGCTTGTTTCCCTTATCCTCCTTTTTTGGTAGAGCTTCTCAAAGAATAAAGATATATATATAAAGGCAGGATGACAGATCAAAGATTCAGTATTTCCCGTGAGGGGGTGGAATAACATGAAAACCTGGCTACATATTTACTTACACAAACACACTCTGCTCCTGTGATTGACAGTGATGTTGCCACATCGAGTCTATCACACTTGTACCACTTCAGAGGAGGTAGCACTGTCATGACTACAATACAGCTTTGCAGCATGGGAGAAGATGGAACGTACAACAGTGGTTGAATCTTTTAAATTTCACCTTTATTTGAAAGTGCAACTGTTACCTTTCACAGGTTACTTATTTTGTCATTTTTGCTTTACTCTGAACTGCTTTGAAAATGATTGTAAGAACTATGCTCTTCCTCTCCATTGTCAATTGGTATTAAAGCTAAAAGAACAGCATTGTTTCAATATTGATGCCACTACCTTTGAGAGGCAGCATTTGTAAAAATTACAACTATGATGAACTTAATCAAATTTTTACATTTAAGGTAATCTGGAAAATAAAAACAGCACATGAAAAATATGCGTAATTCTTGATCCTTGTTAGATACTGCTGTAACTTAGTTGTGCAACTGAAATACAGGAAATTTCAAGAGGAAAACTGTGCACAAATCCCAAATGTTCCATTAGAAAACATAAATACTAAAGTAAAACAAAAAGCCCATATACATTCAATACTGTAAAATGCTGTTTCACAAAGAGCTGGTAATTTTTGGTACAATCCATTAATGTGTGTGGGAATGCAGTTTAGTAAAACTTTCATACCTGATCAAGTTAATGTGATTATTGAAACCTCTGGTCAGGCTCTGGGCAGGCATTTGGTCCAACCAAAGCACAGGCTGGTCAGGGTCAGCTATCCTACAAAGACAAAGGACATTAATATTGGCACACATTTCAATCCGTATTTTTTAATACAGCTTTAATCAGACAGACAGAACAATTTGAGGCAAAAACTAGAATTCACAGATAACAAAAAAGAACTTCTAATTGAAACACAGGGGTTTTTATTATAAAAACCGTAAAAGTTAAACATTTGATATTTCTGAAGTTTAAAACTATTAGGTTTTGTTCGTCTTAGCTGCAATGGATCCTTTGGTCTTTCAAACTTTGCTTCTACTGGAAAATGCTATTCCAAATTTTTCCCTCCATTACAGAAGAAGAAAAGTGCAGTATTTTCAGAAGTGTGCTCCTTGTATATACATCATAATTTTCTTTTATCAGAACCTTTCATCTTACAGAATGGCAACTAGTGTTCATTTTCTTCTCCATGACTCCAGTCCTTTGGGTAGCTGGAGTACTCGTCATTATTAAAACCAGTACAGGCTTGCTCTCCCTTCTCTTTGACCAATACCTTCGCCACTTCACAGCAATATCAAACATATCTCTCCACTGCATTAGTCTGGTTTTCCCATTCATCCGAACTTTGGAGTTCGCCCAAGTCCGCTGCACAGCTTGCATTACTTCTAGAGAGGCCAATCCCATTGCTGAGGCGAGGCAGGAGGAAAGAGGTACCAAAAACAGAAACAGAAAACCAATTAGAGACAATACTCAGTTTTGCACAGATAGGAAAATTGAAGCAGGAAAGTAATGTATTCACTGGAAAAGAACTGACAACATCAAAAACTCTGGGAGATCATGATTTCCAGTCCACAGCTAGGTCAAGAAACTGATGAGATGATGATTATTTTAAATTTAAATTTTCTATCTGATTTGAAAGAAACAAGAGCATAAAACTGATTTGCAGATAGCAAAGATATAGCATTTAATTATCACTACATTGACTTCCCCCTCCCCTCAAATTTACAGAGAATTTTCAGTATACCTCTATGTATTCTTTTATTTGGAAGAAATCCTGGTGTCTCATACTGCATCATGGAACCCAGATGATCTGCTACACAAATGAGCTCTTGTACATCAGGCTTATAGCTTTCAAAATTCTGAAATAACACATCTCTTACAGAGGAGAAAAACATGCGTCAGACACAGCCTGGCTATAAAAGTCCTGAAAATATTCGACAAACAAACCTGTTTTAAAAATCAATACTATTTGTGTGAGAAACACTTATACGTAGGATAAAGAACATTCATTCCTCCTCCTAGTCCACTGAACATACACAGTATGTGGTATTTACACTTGATATCTCAAATGAATTCAGTCTTACTGAATTCAATGGCAGATATTATTGTCACTACCAGCATTTCATCTCAGACTTGCTCATAGTAAGTGATACTAAATAAAGTTCACAGATAATAACTATTCTTAGCTATTACATTCACCCCGATTAATTAAGTAAGAAAAGGAAGTCTTATTCCATTAACTTTTGTAAAAACGACTTCTGCTCAAAAGGTGGATTCTATGCCATATACACAAAAGCTATACATTTTTAAGCAATTTTTTTACATAGACAAAGTGAATGCATGACAATATATCTAGTAACTGCTTTACATCAGGAGAAATTGCTATCTTTGCTTGAGCTACATAAAGACTGTTCTAGTAAATCGCCTGCTATTTTGACTGAAGTCATGCTCCTCACAAAGGTACTCCTAAGTTACTCCAGAGAACATCTTTAACCAGTGAAACCAAGCTGCCATAAAAATATATAAAGTATCTAGAAATTTTATCTATAACAAAATAAAAACCTACAACACAACAGGAAACTGTAATAAGAGCACTATGTAACACTACACTGAGCATCTCAAACTCCTTAACAGTAATTTAAAAAAAAAAGAAGAGTTAACCAGTAAGGCCACAGAACATGAAACAATATGTAAATATTATTATGTGAAGGGAGAAGTGAAGAACATCATCCTAAGTTTCATTCGTCCTCCTATGAGATACACCAACTCTTACGATGTACAAAAGAACTTACACGCTCAGTGGAATTGCACGTCAATATAATATTAAATATTTATGCTGTTAGAATGCCTCAGAACGGCACTTTGAAAGTCAAAGTGAAAAAAAGAACACCCATATTTAGAATAAGTTTTAAAATATAGAAATTCTCACTTTATATGTGGCTGTAAACCTGGCTGTTCTTCGTAATTTTCTGTAAGAAAAGGAAGATTTTTGGCCCAGTGGTCCTTGAAAGTTCCAGGAAGATCTATATCAGTATTATACTCTGTAAGAGGGGTATCCAAATGTGCATGCAAATATCTGGAATACTCTGGAGGAAAGAAATAAAATTAAGTGTGTTTGCATAATCAGTTTACTTATGCCATGATACAAAAACAGTAACCAGATTGTATGCCTGAGTTAAACAACACAATTTTAATAAGTCATTATTTCTAAATAATTTTGCTATTAGCCAATTTCCAAGACAGAAAAAAGTCTTTCAACTAAGTATCCCAAAAGTCCTTACCATTATACAGAAATGCATATTCCATTTTTGTCCTAGTTTTTTACTGTGTGAACACCAAATCAGTGTACTTTTTTTCAACAATGTTCATGAAAATGTTTACTAGTTTATTTTAAATGACCATAACTACAAGAAAGCTTGCATTTTTAGGGTCCTTGAAGTATTTCAAGAAGATATTTAAATAAAAAATTCCAACTTACCTCGGAGGTATTTCACTTTAAGATACTCTGGACTGGCCTTCTGGCCTGGTAGTGGATCATTTAACATAACTTTGGTCTGAGCTTTTATGCCTTCATAAAACTGTCCCATTGCAACATGGCTGAGACCTTTCATATACTGGCACACTTCATTGTATGGTTCTAGCTGTAAACATCTCTAGGAGATTCAAGGAACAAAGCACCCATAAATCAAGACACAGAATGAGTATCTTCAAATAATCCAACCTGTCTGGTCAGAAGACATGTGATTTACTGATTATTAAGATCCACTTCCACCAGGGTTTTCTTTCAAATGCTGCTGAGCACCTGAACTGCTAGCAAATGTAAGAAAAAGTATTTTCGGCTTTATTATAGGAGGAAAAAACTGAAAACCCAAACAGTGCTAGTGCAAATACGCTTTGCACACTTTTGCTCTAACAATATTAGCTCAACATTAGCTGGGCAAAATTAGACAAAATATGCTCCTGACAATATAACAAGTAATTTTGGGTTAGTTATAAATACATATCTTTTCTGTAATTTCCCCCATTCATCTCTTCATTACTTCATGTATTACTACACTTCTATGTTAGTCAGCTATTTACTGCATGTTAAAAATACAGCGAATTCCTGTTCATGATTAAGAAATGAATGCTCCAATTCTTCCAGCAATTAAATGTCTTTAGAAGTGCATCTTCATCTCAAAAGTTGAAATATCTTTTCAGTTACACCAGTATCTAGAAACTGGGTTACAGAAGGTGAATATGCAATAATGTACATTAAATGTTCTCCTTAGGATAAGCACAGACTCGTTTGGAAAGGGATCTTATTTCATTCCTTGTTTTAAGAATATGGGCACACAAGTAACATCTGCCTTTTTGGTTCCATCTACAAAATTAGGCAATTATTTAATGTCAACAGATATAGGCAAGATTTTGGCAACATGAAAATTTTTGCAAGCTCAATGAACCAGAACATATGTTGCACTTTTCAAAAGAAAATACTCCAGAAAAATTAGATAAACATTTTAACTAATTTTAAGCTTAAAATTAAAGACTTGTACATTTCATCTTTCATCAGATATGAAAAAAAAACTAGGTTTCAATCAAAGTTAAGCATTAGCAAGAACACCATTACCAGTTTAAAAAGAAAACAACAACATTTCAGTCAGAGCTTGGTTTAACAAACACATACAACAGTTAAAGAAACCATCTCAGTTTTAGCAAAATTCCATTTAGAATTATAAACTGTTAAGTTATATATATTTTTAAGACAGACTTCACAACAAATACTTCTAGCTCAAATGCACACACACATTCAGAATGAAAAATTTCAAAATTTTTCCATTTTATTGCAGTTTTTGACTGCAAGTCCTTATTAAAACATTTCAATTTCGTATTTACTTAGGGCCTGCTTACCTTAAAATTCTTTAGTGCTTCATCTAAGCTGCCATGATGATAAAGAATCATTCCTTTGAGCTGTAACGTCTGAACATGATTTTGATTCAGCAGTAAAGCCTTCTGGAAGCTCTCTGTAGCAGCATCAAAGTTGCCAAGCTCTCTAGGTGATTCCATAAAGCAAAATGTGAAAAATAGAGAAGGCAACAGCGACAACAAAATTCCTTGATAAAGGTTGCTTTAAGGTGTCCAAAGGATATATCATTGAAGAGAAACACAGTAGTAGTGGAAAATTTTCATAACAAAAGCAGTAACAATTCCTCTGCGGTAATAACAGAACTGCTGCACAGAATTTGCTGCTCCCAGAAATATGCAATACAATCCCACAAGACCACTAATCTTCACAATCCTCAGCAGACATTAAACTGTAAAAACATGTGTCTATGGTATTTCTTCAGAAACTAAAGTAAACAAAATTTCTACAAGAAGTATTCTTGGAAAACACTACATTTGAGAGGTTTTTTAAACTTCTATGTACAAACATGTACTTAGAATTTTAATTAATATGCACTTTAAATTTTAAAAATTTACTAACAATTACTTAAATGCTGAGTAAGAAGAAAGCGTTTGCTGCTTAAAAACTGAAACTAACTAAAAATTTATTGACCAAAATTACTCCATGTGCAGGCCAGCAGTACATGTAAACAGACAGTAAAAATAGTCACAGACAAACTCATGGAAAATTAAAATAGAAAATAGTATACAACTAAATATATCTTAATTTTTTAAATCCAGTATACTGATCTTTATGTTTAAGATTACAAAATTTCCACATCGAATTATACTAATCAAAATTAATCCAAACAAGAGAAACACTAGAAAAAACAAACAAGATTTACTAGTTTTAACTATATTTGCCAAAAAGAATTTTTAGCAGAATAATGATTAACTACGCTCTCTAGTTTTAAATAGATGCATGAACACCAAAGCCATGTTACTTGAAGAAGGATTTAATCAGCAACATGCTTGTGTTGTATTCAACATTGCCATAATTTAAAAATTATTTAGCATACATAAATCTTATCGAAAACTTCCATTTCACTAACCTTTGAGTCTGGGAGACTCAGAGAAATACTAGAGACTGAATCGAAAATACAAAGCAAACACAGAAATTATTGATATTGAACACATCCTGACATAGACATACCACCTGCAGGAGCTACCAAATACCACACTTGCTTCTGCACGATTTTGTAACAAGTGTGTAAAACTTAGAGGGCATTTTAAAGAACAAGACCAGATGAAAAAATGAAAAAAAAACAACTCCTTCTGAGTTTTAAAGTACCTGTAGGCTTGTCCAAGACTTTTATAAGCATCTATGAAGTTTGCTTTCTGCTTCAGAGCTTCTTTGAAGGATTCAATGGCTTCCTACAGAAAGGGACCAACAGAAAAAATTGTCACTTACTACATTCATTAAATTTCAGCATCCTCAGTAGTTACTAGCTATGGTTTTACAACTGCATATCAAAACCTTTGGAAGGAACAAACAAGGCATGAATTTATTATAAAGTCTATACAGGTAAAATTATTACATAATAAATGAATTACTGAAAAGTTCTTTACAGTACTGACAGATTCAGCTGGAATTCCTTTGTCTAATATGCTTTGGGAATAAGCAATCCTTTCAGCATTTTAATAGAGCTCAAAGATGAAATCCCTTCAGAATCTGCTTTTCAAAGCTCAGTCTGGTCCCTAAGGCAAAGCATTCCCTCCTTCCAGTCTTCCTTCTTCATTCATAATATACCTCTTCATTTTTGGAGGTCAAAAGACTCCTCCAAATCTGCACTCTGCCTTTAATTGTCTTTTTGCATTCTTTGTTACTTGCACACTTAGGAAACTCTCTCGAGGGATTACAAAGCAATCATCTTCACACAATAGCATGTACAGTTGCTATTACTGCTGTGAGGAATACAATGTAATAAAAATAAAAGGGAACAATACAAGCATATGGTTAAAGAAATATTCCTCTTCAAAGAGCCTGATTAAGAACTCAGCTTCTCAAACTAGAACGGCTACACAAACTGGCATATTCAATACTGAGACTTAGAATTAAAGATGGAAAAAACAACTACTTTATACTACTAAGGAATGCCTGAGAAGTATCTTGAAGTCTACAGTGCAATAAATTAGATGCTGTTAGGAAAGAATCACTGGTATATTCAGTCAACTTATAAATCTTTACTTAGAAAAACTATTAAATACATTCTAAGCACTACGACATGCACAAAAATATTGGACAATCACCTACAACTACTGATGGGCTCAAATCCTATAGATAAGTTTTAAAACTAAGATGATTATTCCCAAAAGCAGTGATCCAAATCAATCTCTTTTTACCCAAAAATGAACAAAGCAACCCTCAACCCAAATCTTCAATTTTCAGCAAACCTTGTAAAACTTAAAAGATGACATGCACAGCTTTCCTTTAAAAGGCAACCTGAACCTGACTGGAAGCTAAGGTGTACCTGGAGATTAAAAACCACTCAAGTCACAATCTCTCTGAACATGAATGCTAGAGAGGGAAGATCCTTCCTTTGAGGAAAGAAATTGGGGGGAAGGAGGTGGTGGTGCAGAAATGTGTTAATCGGTGTATCAGAAAGATACACAGCTTCTACTCTACAAACCGAGACAGCATTCATTATTGTCAACTGTATTATCACCATCACTTTCTGGGGTCTCTGAAATTCAGAAATTCAGACTATTATTTGCAAGTATCTCTTCAGACTGCAATAAGATATAGATAATGAAAGTTCAGTGACAGTCTGATGTTGTCACAGCATACTGGGAGACTGGAAAAATATACCTGCTTGGGTACTGAAAAGGTGAAGAAGCAGACAGCAAAAAAAAATAGACATAAAAAAACCCAGAGATCGTCTATGAAAGATATTGAGCTGAAATGTGGGAGTCCTGGGTTGTCTCCAGGTTCTGTCAGGAATTCTTCACACAAAGCCCTTAGTGAACCGCAAACTATCAGAAGTTAAAAAAGCTCCCACTGTTGGAATTCAGAAATTACACCATTGTATCTTCATTTTTCAAACTGAGGGTTTTAGACAACTTGTCTAATTATTCTCCCCTCTGAAAAATGGCAGCAGTATCTCTAAAGACAAACAAGAAAGAGGGGAAATACTACTACACCTAAAACACAGAGAAGTTTTGAGTCACAAAATGGAGAAAACTTAAGACAGACGTGATGAACTTACTACCCTGCTGATTTTAAAAACTGGAGGAGCAACTGTGTTCCCTCAATTTAGATATCAGCCTTTCAGAATCAACAAATAACTGAAATAAACATGCATAAATGCAGGGCTCCAGAAGCACTTTACTTGATTATCCGCTGGCTCATTCGAGGAAGAATTTACTATTATTTTCTTCTTCTTCCCCTTCCCAGAACCTAGGAAATCTCCATTTCATTTTGAAATTTTAAACATAACCATACAAATACTAGCAGAGGTGCCAAATACAAACATCTTTCAAAGCATTCCTTAAACTACATCACTGATTTACTGAGTTTCAGCAAGACCTGCATTATTTACATGTCGTATCACTGAATCCTTTTGCTTGCACTCTTTTGCCTCAAACATCTTCCTTATGTGATAGAAAACACATATATCAACATCTTTATTTCCACTATTTTATGAAAATAACTTCAAATAGAGGGTATTGTTCTACATGAACTATTGTTCAATATAGCTTACCTTCAAAAGTCCTCTGTGAAAGAAGGTTAAGCCTTTATAAAGCATAGCTATAGGCTGATTTTTGTTCAGTTCCAGTGAGTGCTGAAAATCTTCATGGGCTGTTGCATAATCCTATGACAAAGAAGATTTTAAATGACAGAGGAAGCACAATACAAATGAAGAGGAATACATACTTTTATTTTCATAGAAGTAAACTACAGTATTTTGCTAAATGAATGAAGTCAATCTTAGGTTTAAGCAGCAGTCATTATCAATCAGAACAAAGAATACACAATACACTTGCAACTTTTACTGTAGGAAGTGCTACATAAAATACAGGAAAGTAAATGGATAAATGGCAGGAAGCAAACAGCGAAATCAGAAGAATTAAGTAGGAAATCAGCTATCTAGGATTCACACAATCTTTGAAGATAAAGCTACTTGTTTTATTTAAAAGCATTAAGAGCAATACACAGAAATTACATGGCAAAATGGGATGTTGGCATTTTTGCAGGGTTTTTTTTGTTTTTCTGAGCGGTGTTTTGTCTTAAGCATTTAGAGCCATTACTGCCTTGGCCCTAAGTATCTTCCTTTTTTTAGACTGGTGTTTATCAACACTAATTAAATGCAGCCATAGGTTATAAATCAAGTCAAAGTCTTTATCCACATCCTACTCCTCAAAAGAATCTGGGGTGTACATGCAAGGTAGTTGTCCTCTGATTCTCTGCATTACATAGATTTGCAAATGAAATACTGAGAGAATACCTCTGAACTGTCAGAAAACCAGACACAGGAGAATCAGGGCTCTTGTTATTATATTGTTTTGGGTTTTTAAAACTAAATAGGAAAGAAGCTCTTGAACAAAAGTAACCACTAGCACAAAAGCTAACAAAATAATCAATGAAGTCCCCACAACCAGAGCCAAACAGAATTGCCAAAATCCACTAACCTCAGATATGAAGTAAAGGGTACCTCTGTGCCTGTAGAGCCTTGCTGATGGTTGTAGCTGAATAGCTTTGGTGAGATCAGATAGTGCCTCACTGATTCGTCCTAGTGGGGACAATATCTAAGAGTATAAAACCAAAGTACAGGTTAAAGCAGAAAGACTGAATAGATTTATAAGTGAAATATGAAGATTATTCCTTTCCATGTTCAGTTCTAATAAAATAATTCTATTTGCTAGAATAGGCTGGAAAGTTCCACTATAAATTTCAGTACTTATTGCTTTTAAACCCCTCAGAAAGAATGAATCTGAAAGAATTTTTCTCAAAACTATCAGTGTACACGAACATCACCAATAACATTTGCAGAAATCCAGCCTTCCAAATTAAAAACAAGTTGGTCAAAGCAAAATACTCAATTTCAAGCTATTTAAACATATTCATATGAAAATGTAATTATTCTCCTAAGCCTTATTTGAAAAAACATTCCCCCAATGGAAAATGGTCCATTTTCCAATTATTTGAATGCCTTTCAYATTTTTTGATCAAGGTTCACAAATGTACTACGAGATCATTACAAACATTAAAATTGTGAATATTATGGCAGTTACAATTTTAGGGTATGCTGACTTTAATATTTGTACTTTTGATTTGACTACAAAGCTGGTTCTTGGCATCCATTTTCTGTTATTTAGTTCACAAAACAAAACTTGATTTTCAAAATAAAAAATATATGTGGGTTGGAATGATCTTTAAATTACATGCACAAATATAAAACCAAAATATTTCATTTTTTATATATTTGGTATTTTAACAACTAGTACTAACAAGAAATTTACTAAGGTGACAATAAGTGCAAACAGTTAAGGCTCAAGTGATTTTTTGATGCATCTTATAAAAAAGCCCTAAACACAAATGATCTAGCTATAAAATATGTCAAAACTGAACACTGAAACAGAATATATGCCATTCTATTGGCTATAGTAACTCTACTTGGTCTAAGTCTTATTTTAAAACTAAATTGCACAAATTACAATGTTTGAGAGGAAATATGTACACTTTAAAATAAAGGACGAATGTTCAGAGAACACCAAGTTTTGGTCATTACATCAATTAAGTACAATTGGAAACACTGTATAATTGCAATTTCTCCAAAAATCTAAAAAGACACAAAAATGCTCACTTCTGCTCGTTGTTCAAATACTTCAGGATGATCTGGTTCCAGACTTATCACCCTACTGAGCTCAAACAGAGCAAGTTCAGCATTTTTCATATCCTGAAACGGAGAAAAATAAACAAGGTGAACAACTGTGCATATTTAGACTAATATACTCTCAAGATGAAGGACAGCTAGATTGGCTAAGAGTATGGAAAAGCCCTTCACACCTTTGCTAGTAACATCAAGATGCAGCATTCTGCAAACAGCTGGGAAAAAACACCTGTCTTCTACAAACAAGTAAAACAAACTTTGCTTGTATACATATTCTTTGTGTTGTACCTCTAATCATTTATTAATGATCATTTATTAATAATCATTTATTAATATAACTCTGTGAATATAATATATATAATTATATAATGTATGTATTATATATTATATATTATATAATTACATATGAATAATTAATATATAGTTAATAATAATTTATTAAATAATCATTTATTAATATAACTCTGTGAATAAACACTAGGTTTTTGGCTCTAGAGGTACGTTCCTTGGCAGCAAAGCTGGCTCAAGCTCCCACATGAAAACACACATTCACACTCACGGCCACCAGTGTTGCCATCAGCACTGTCTGCAACTTCATCCAACTAGCACCGATAAATGGGTTGATGTCAGCAACACCTTGCAATTTAAATTTTTTAATTGTTCTCAGTGAAGTATAGGATGGAAGTACTTACTTAATTAGAAAACAAATCAAAGATTATACAGCAACTTCTGTATTAGATTTCATTGACCTTCTTCTTCTTTCTCAAAGCAAATAAATTTTGTGCTTAATATCATTCTTTGTGTCTTGAAGGTGTCACTTACAAAAACTTTCATCAAGTGAAACTGTATCAGCACCTAGCTGAACTGAGAGAACAAACTCCTGATGATGTTAAAAACACGCAAGCAATACAGACTTCAAGCTCTTGTCAGCACCCCTGAAGAAATAAATATTCTGCACAAAGAATATTTTCAAGGAGTTATTCAAGTTTCTTTCTTCTAGAGTTCTAGCAACTATTCAATCATATTTCAACAGGCCACAAACTCAAACTACAATGATGTCCTGGTTTTACTCGGTCTGGTTTTTCCTGGTGGGGGGATGGGATCGGGAAAACACAAAGATGGTTCCTTTGACAGAGTTCTAGAAGCTTTCTCCTTCTTCTCCAGCAAAAGCCTTGCCCCCTATGTTTTAGAATCAATCCATTGTGGCTCTGAGGTTGATGTACAGGCTGCTGGTCAGGCCTGGGCCAATTGCACAAGCCAGTTACACCTCTGTGATGATGTATGGTCTTGTACTTAAGAATTCAAAACAAGATAGATTGCGGCCACCATTAGTTTTTTAGGTTGTTAGTATCACGCACTGGGGAAAGACAGAGGAGGAGGGTGAGGAGATGTATGGAAAAACAAATGGAGACCCAAGATCACAGTAAGGAGAAGATAGGTACTGCTGCTGAGGTGCTCGAACATGGAGAAAACAAGCTGTTCTCGAAAGGACTATTTCTTCAATGGGAGATCTATATAGAAAATAGAGGCCCTGCACCCAAGATAAAATCCTGGCTTTTGTGGACTGGACTGATCAGAAGCCAAAAAGGGGGAAGAGACTTGTCCCCCCTCACGTCTGAAGCAAGTTGATGCTTAGAAGAAATTGTGTTCTTTGGGGGAAGAGGTTATTCCCCCCTCTACCCGCCTGAAGGGAGTGGATGCTTAGAAGAAGATGTACTCTGCCAGGAGATTTGAGTGGCCTTGGAGGACTGTTTTCCTTTCTCCCACAAGGTAAAGAATCCTATGCCCTCAGCAGTTATACACTGGCTGTCTCTTGGGAAAAGAACTTCCACAGCTTGGAGCTGTAAGCACTCTTCTCCTATGATGCTGGACGATAATCGTAATGAGTAGTTTGATCTATGTGTAAACTTTCATCCCTGCCCCACTTGCACACGGGAAGGCATGGAGGGGTGGGGAAGTGCAACCTGGGAGAGGTTCCTGGAAAGAATAACAGGTGTCTTAAAATGTTAGTTTTTATTTCTTCTCCTTGTAAGTTTTTCCCTATCTCTGTTCCCCTCCCTGGTGCAGTAGTTTTTTAGTAGTTTCTAGTAATAAATCTACTTTGCAACTTAAGTTATTCAGCCTGTCTGATCATTTTCTAGAGCATATATGTATCTATCTCTCAATTATGTTATGTTATCTAAAAGCCGTAAATTTTAGCATTAATTGGGCTTTTGCTCTCCCTTCTGCCTCTCCGGTGGGGGGTAGGGAACGTCGTTGGGTCCTTTGGCTTTCAGTCAAGCTCAAACCACGACAAAGGACTCATAAATTTACTTCTGCTAAAGAAGTTGTTTGAGCAGTAACTGTAAGTATTTCAACTAAGTAATTTAACTTTGACATTTTTTTTAACAAATTAAAGGTGGTATACTTACCAAGAGGCACAAGCAATCAAAAAGCAATATGAAGTCTACTGTATTGGAAGAGCTGACAATGTTTCCAAGTTGCAGTAAAAGATATTTTCATTTCCAAATACAGATTAGATGTGGAGATGAATTCAGTGGGACTTCATAAACCTGTCTCTCAGAGGTAAGACTCTGCCTGTTATCTTAATAGACAATTCTTTCAGGAAGCTGCAGCTCACAGCCTCACTATCTACTACTCTCAGAAGTGCCTGTCTTCTTTGGCACTCTTATGTCATGCTGCTTTACTTCCACAGTCTCACAAAGCAAATGTACCCATGGCTTGAGTAGTGTGATCTACTAGATCCCTTTATGTTATACAGTGCACCTGCCAAGGGAGTGACTCATCATGGAAGCAGGACAGCACAAAGACTTGTTGGATATTAATTCAAATAATTATCTACTCACATGAAGTCCTTTTTTTCCATATGCTATCCCTCGTCCATAAATTGCACTAACCAGCTCTGGTTCTTCCTGTTAAATAATTAAAATATTAATTTGTGGTGTGGGGTTTTTGGCTTCTTCAAAATGTATTTAATTCCAGTTGATCTAAAGTAGTAAGCAATGAACAATCACAGCTGCCAGGCAAAGAAATTTATTGTCTTACAGTCTATAGTTTCATATGCTCACAATTTCCAATTCAATTTAATGGAATTGTTCGGGAGTATTTTCTGGTAAAAGAGACAAAGTGCAGTTATTGCACAAGTGACCACCGCCCAGAAGCTATTACACGGTATACATTAGAAAGGACTACAATACACAGTATTCATTAGAATACTCTGCTACCCAAACTGCATGGGTTGTTACCTTACTGGTAATTACATAAGTTCTTTTGTCTCATGTCACTGAGATGATAAAAACCATACAATTAGGACACCCAAAGCTTACTTTCTATGTAATTTAAATCTGAGTTTTAAAATTAATTTTTGAAATCAGACACTATGACATCCTGATGAAATTTGTATTTAGACAGCAACTAAAACCAGAAGTATTCTGGTTCTGCAAAATTTAAGCCAAATTTCCTTGGGTTAGATTTAATTTCGTTCTAAGAGTATGCTTATGTTTGGATGGAAAAAAAATGAACAAAAAGCAGAATAATTACACTCATTGTAAAATCCTTACTTTAGTATTTATTTTATTAAAAGCCATATGTGGCAATGGATAATTTAATCAAGTTTTTTCTTGGGGTCCAAGCAGAAAACTTACCTGCAGCATTGTCGAAAAATGTCGTATAGCTTCATCATACAAGCCGTTGCCAATCAACATGTAAGCAATTGCTAACAAAACATTAAAAAGGTAAATTAAAAAAAAATCTGAGTTGTTTTAATATTAAGTATTACCAAATTGTACAATGTTCAAGTTGCTACACTGCAGTGAAGATTAAAATAGTCACAGGATTCCCAAACCGCCACCAAAATGACATGACTTCCCTCAACCATTACCTAGCATTCATTAATTAGTCAATTCATACTGTGCTCTTCAGAGCTGTTTTGGGGTTTTGCTATTTGTTTGTGGTTTTTTTTCTTAATTTTCACAAATTCTCCAGGGAAGAGCCCATGTTTCCTTCTAAAATAATTAGAATCAGGAAAGGTACTATGATCCAAATACCATAGCTCTAGATGCTTTCTCAGTTAAAAGTACACCTGGCTATCACTAACATTTTTTGACAATTCCATTAGGGAACTCCTACTTGTTTATACACATGTTGCTAACTTTATCAGCTAACAGTAAGTTTCTCCTTCATTTGAATTTACTAGAAATACCTCAACTAAACTGATTTCATTATTCACAAAAACGAAACTGAAAAACAATTGAGTCTTTACCTATGCTACAATTATGAAAAGCTTTAAAATTCTAGCACGTCTCCCATTTTGGAATAGAAGCCAAGTGTTTGAAAATGAAATAGACTGTTAGAAATATGTTCCTGTAATCTCCACAAGATATAAAACTACAGTCAAATCACAGGACTGGAAAGCTGTAGCTAAGCTTGCATGACTGAAGTTCAGTTCTGACAGACGAATATCTCAAGATTGTCTCATTTTGCAGTTTTAATCTCTCAGAGTTTTTAACTGTGGCCTAAGCTCTGTCTACACTGCCAACAAATCCCAGTATCTTGAAGACCACAGCTATGAAAGTTACAGAGAACTCTTCCCCAGGCAGTTTGTTCAAACAGCTGGCAGTTGAATTAAGAACAAGATTTCACCTTTCCCCACTTATAATGAATTTAGTAGTCATCCAAACAGAACGGAAGAGGCGCCTCTTAGCTTAACTATTTATTAAAACATGAGAAGAGACAAATAAGCCAGTTAAAGGTATTTTTAATAGGACACAGACACTTATCTTTCATGCAGGCAGAGCCATATTGTCTTGGCAGTGTTGCTAAGTATGGCTCATTAAAGAAGGAAAACAGTTAAATGAAAGAGAAATAAGAATGTATTTAATTCAGAGCTTGTCTCATATTCAGAGCATTTATATTATAAAGAAGGAAATATCTGTGTGCAATATAAGCTTTTTTCTCAACACATAAAAAGCTTCACTTGGCACAAATGCATAGTATTGCCAAAAAAGGGAAGAAATGGGCAGAGTAGAGGACAGGATGAAGAGCTTTTGAATTTTCCTCATTTCATTCTTCTCCAAGACTATACAATTATTAGTATCATCTTTAGGGTTCCAATCCCAGAACACAGAAAAGCTGGCATGTAAAATATAATCAACTCAACCATTCCAGTATTAAGGAAAAAAGTGGAGGAAGCAAGACAATGATGACTTATATTGTCACTCAATTGTCTTGCTCATAACAACTGCATTTTGTTTATAAAAGATGCTTGGCAAAATGCGGGAGGTCATGAACTATGTCTGTAAAACTACGGTAAGTGGTTGACAGCTAGTGGTTGATACACTCCCAGTTTCTTTTTAAATGATGTATTTTTTTCTTAATCTTTAATATTACAAAATTACTAGTAACTATATCATAATGAAAAATCTAATGGTTAACAATGGTGCATTAGACAAAATATTTCAGTACCAACATTGCTTTGGAAGGCTGCCTATATTCTGTATTACTTTTCCTCAGAAGACTTAAAAGTAACACACAAAAACAAGAAGGATGCAGGCTTCTCACACCATGACATCCTTAGACTAAAGTGGGTACCTAGGTGCCAGCCTACATGCCAAATATGAGGACAGAGACATTTCCAAGTCTACAGAATAGATACTAAAAATATCAGATATTTTTTAGCTGAACAGAAGTCTGGTATTCTTTGTGGGATTCTACAATCGTGCTAAGTAATCTAGGAATATAAAAAAACTACTAAGCCCCCAAACTTTCCTTCATAAATCCATGACATTATGTCAACAAAAAACTACTTAATTAAGTTCACTAGAGGGGAATAAAATCTCCCTTTGCTTTTATATAAAAGATGGCCTGCTGCCTTCTTTGACATACATCCTCAACAATCTCTTTGCTGCCTCATAATACCTCTGCATTTAAGGAAGCAGGGCAATTCCTTTCTCAGGTCCTTTGAGAAAAGTATTTCCTGTTCATTTATTTGCCTTCACATTTTTTTGTGCTTAGTGTGCTTTGAAAAAATATCAAGTAGTAGCCTAGCACATAATTCAGAAAGCCTTCCTGCTGCTTATAAGTGTTGGTGGGAGGAGCGTGGAGAGATGAAGCAGATCCAAGATCTATGCTTTATAGAAAGCGTATAACATTGGTAACATTTTCTGGATGTTTAAACAGTTTCAGTCAAAAGTAATGACAGAAAATGGGGAACAGAAAGTAGCTGAGCATGTTAAAAGGGACTTAATCGGAATTATTTTTGAACATCTGCTTAAGCAGACATGGTGAAGAATTTTAGTGAAGAAAGCAGGAAAGATTGTTAGCAACAGAGATATTTGCTTTATACAACCAGAGAAAACTTGCTGTTTCTCCATATTTATTAAGATCTGAAGTTAACATACCACTTCAATCATTAATTTTCAAAACATTCAGTGCTAATAATTTGCACATCATTCACCCACACAAACCTTATATAAAGCATCTTACCTAATTCTTCATTTGTGTTGTCATTATCAGTAGCAAATGGAAATCGTTTTTGCTCTGCAAGCAACTTTGCTTGATTCTGTAAAACATCACATTTTTAAGTGCTCAGCAAACAACACAGAACTCACAGAAAATCCATGTCTTAAATCCTTAAGAGATTGCCTTACACCACAAGCCTCTCTTCAGTCATATGCTGCTGCTTTCCACTCTTAACTTAAGGGTAACTAAACCTCAGAAAGAACATCGTCAGCATTTCACCAGTGGCTGATGTCTCTGTAGTGTATCTGCTTAAGATGAAGTTTCGGAAGTCTTTTTAAGACATTTTGCAAGTCATTTACTTCATTTGAAAGTTAATACTCTTTACCCCATAATTCCTTTGTCTCCTGCAAAGGGAAGGGGACCACAGAAGATTAAAACACTGAAAATAAACACTGAGAAGAATATCACTCCATCAATATTAAAAAGTTTAACTTCAAAATGCCATACTAAAGAGCCTGCCCTTTTAACACAGACATTCTATCAATCCTATATTTTGTTCAAACTGTAGCCTTATCTAGGAAATCTGTTCCCTAAATAACACATCTCTAGGAACCAATATTGTCAAACACAGCCCTCAGAAATATAGAAATATTCAACTCTGTTTATTTTCCCATGTATTTTCCATAGACAATTGTAAGCCTACCAGAGTAGTTTTTGTTAGAAAAATACAAGATGTTCATTTAAATCAACAGGTCCTTCAATTTTTCCAGAAACAAGTGGGAAAAAGAACATCTCCCTCCTTTCAATTCTCTTCTTTCAATTCAACTAAATATCTAATTTCCTCTACCATTCTCCTTTCAGGTTGTTTTGCCTGTCCAAAGAAAAGCAGCCACATTACCTGCGTCCATGACACTCATATATCTACAAAGAGCAAAAGTAACTGGTCAAATCCCATTTCACAATGTCTGCCCTGTGTTTCTAATGATAAAGAGAACGTTTGGTCTGCCCTAAAAACTTGAGTATTTTGTAGCGCATGAATGATTAGCAAATGGATTTTACAAACCTTTTCTTAAATTGCAATTAAGGGTGATACAAGAGCTCTACATTACATCATAACACTCTGCAAATTGTTACTCCACCTCTACAGAGTGCAGCAGTTATTTCAGTTATAGAAAAAAGCTATTTAAAAAACAGCACAAAAACGAGCAGGGTTCAAACAGCAGGTTCAAGAAAACTAAATTTCCATTACAATCCATATGCATTTACAAACACAATCTTTTTATATCATCAATGGTCTTTGTGCAATTTCTAGAAAAAAAAAATTTTCAGAATTTTTCAGGTTAACACTTAAGTACAAAACACTGTTCTTTTATAATTGTCTTAAAATTAGGAAAAACAAAACATTTTTAGTAACGTACAACCTTTCTTCCTTTTTGGTGGATTTATCAAAAAAGAGGTCTACACATCTTTGTCTGCAGACATAAGATATAGCAAGATTCCATACTGGGTACCGGAAAATAAGCTACAAGCAAAAGAATCAAGCATTACAGTAATTTCCCTTGGATTACTGAGCTGCATGTGACAGCAAGAGAAGTACCACTATCTCATCTGTAGTGTTATTACAGAGAAACAGAACAGTTGGGGTGGCAGAGAAAGTGGTTTCACACTTCCCCAACAAACTCTGAATTCAGGTACAGGTTACATATCCTGCAACTCTACACCCAAAAAACTGTCAGTCATTCTGCCTTCAAGAAATGAGAAAATTTTCATCACAGCACAATACCTAAAAGGTTTAACTGTTGCTCTCTTTAAAATAACCTTTTTTTTTTTAAATGGGGAAATTTCTTCCCAACAAATACACATTTCACTGCATTAGAAAGAATTGCTGGTACTATTGGACTAGACTAGATAGAAGACCTGACCAATATATGATGATGTCAAAGGAAAGTATTCAAGTTAAATAATTGGCTTGGTGGATTTGCAGTATCGTAGTTTAAATTCCAAATACCACCTTTGGAGAAGTTGCTGCCGATTATAATATAGTTTCCAAGCTCCCTCACAGCCAATAATTTCTAAAAATTTGCCAATGCTTCTTTGCATATTTACATGGAAATCATCTGAAGATTTTCAACACCTGTACTTTACTGAACTGAAGACCCAACATCAAACCTGTGTTCTGACGTAGGCTGAAGATTATATTTGTTTAAGAACAAAGGCTAAGAGTAGTGTTGCAAGCAAATGCAAATTCCAAAATAATCCTCTTGAAGTCTCTCTACCAGGAAATATTCTTCTTTTATTAGAATATTATTCACATGCCAAATCTGTATTATATTTGGTGAAATACCATCTGAACCTCTCTTATCTCTGCACAATGTTATTTATGTAGCAACTACAAGTCATTATTCCTACTCTTACACGTTTTGTCTAAACCTCACGAATTTAATCTGGGTAGAAAATAAAGCACCTCCCCCTTTCCCCCTTTTACAGGCATAGCCCCTGCACCACTAAAAAAAAACAATCAGTTGACTTATTGAGGTGAAGATTAGCTCCCTGTGACAACATCAGCTACAATTAATTGACAGCCATAGAGACTCATGATAGAGCAGTACAAAGTAATTTTTGCACTTTCATGTTCAATTTGAGTTCATTCATACTTAAGCCTTTTGGGCACCTATGCCTACTGATTAAGAGATTCTACTTGCCGTTATTTTCCTAAGCTTCATTATAACTAGTTATGCAGCTGAAGTGATCTGGGACTTCAACAATCTATTAAAATAGCTTCGTACATTATATTCTTGAAAACATACCAGAATATTTTCTGTGTTCAGAGAAAGCACAGATTCACAAGACAATGACCCTCCTACATCACAATCCGATTCATGGAAGTGCAAAAATGATGAATCTGGGTGAAAAGAGAAAAAATACCTTTAGGAACTCATAGAGGAACATATATGTTCTATTAGCACATCTTACATTTCCTCATGTTCAGCTGAAGTTTCCCCACTGGGCACCCCACATGAAGCACATTTTCCCCTCAGCATTATATCCACACAGCCAGGTAAGCAATAGTTCATATGACAGTTTTATATAATTAGTTTTATCCCTACTTATGCTTATGCTTTTGGCTAAAAATAGATGAAAAAAAACCTAGAAAAATGAGAAAGAGGTAAAAAAGGAGGAAGGTAGAAGCAAATAACAAAAGCTTGGGATAGGCATGTCCCCTTTCAGTATTACAATTCCATTTTCATGCCCAAGAAATAACAGATAAAATTATCACTCCAGTCCCAGAGAGGAAAATAAATAGAACAGACTATACAAAAGTAGGGAAAAAGCTGTTGGAAATCCAGGAAACAGAGGTATGAAGACTGTAAGAAACAGCCAGAATAGTGAACTGTAATTGACAGGACATATAAAAAGATATGCTTCTAAGAATGTCATTACAAACAGTGTAAGATTGATTCATTCTATAAAAAGTCAAACAAAGCTTGCTGGCATAGTAAAGTTTAAGATACCGAACAAACAAAAAAGTAATAAACCAGCAACACCCCCTCAGACTGATAGACTGCACAGGGCACTATTTCCTCTATATGGTGCTTTTAATTCCTATTCCAACAGAATTGTTAACTTTTGAATCCTTAGATCCTAAAGGTTCTACTACCTTTAAATATTTCAAGAGTAAACAAGAAAAAGCAAACATACAGTATTACGTCTTTGAATCCATGTCACTATCAAATTTTATCACCTCCCTTGATGTTTGTAAATCTAAACGTGATGCTAAGTTTGAAAGGCTGGGGTGCAGCGTGTGCTCTTTTATTTTGACTTAAGGACTACAGTTAGTTAATTCCCTATATTTCACAAACACAGAGCTAAAAGAGAAAAAGAAACAGTCTTCTTATAAAGAGAAGTCAAATAGCATCTAAAATCATTCCCTGGAAATAGGAACTTGGATCTATGTTGAGCCACAAATGACAACCAGTGGGAGAAGTTTCACAACCAAAGTAAGAGTGGTAAAAAGCAGAAGGTCAAAGTTTAAAATCAGAAAGTCCTGTGAGAAGAGTGGCAAACCACTCATGGTTTCCAAAAAGAGCATTGCCAGCATGAGGTTTCAGCCCTGCCCTTTGTTCTTTTCATTAGCCAAGCCCTCTGTGCTATGGCAGTGTAATTACCACATTATTCTTTCCTGTTGGTGCTCGTAAATCACTGACTTAACTGTTTTGCCTGCAGACTCACTGAGAAATTTTCTTTTCAGAAACCAAAACAAAGAGGTGCAGGCACGGCCTACCTCTGGAATAATTTTATGCACAACAAGGATTTAGTGAAGCAATTTTTTTATAAGGTGCTAGGGAATAAGACAGCCAAGCCACAAGCTTGACACAAGCTACAGCAGGGAAAGGATCCTCAAATCTTGCAGTTCCTGAGGAAACAAACTGCTTTATTCATATGGAAAAATGGATCTGCCTTTGTCTGCAACTCAGATACAACCAAAATTGTATCACATTAACAACTTCATGAAAAGCCAGAAACACCAACCAGAGAAATTACTTTGAACCTTGCAGTAGGCTACAAGAAAAACTATTTGTGACCAAAAAATTCTCAGCTTCTGCACAAGCTGTACTAAAACACAGACCAAGAGCTTAAGCGAATTTTTCAACTGGCAATTAATTTAGTCCTAATATTTAAATAGCAAGGAATGAATTGGAATACAGCTATTTCAAGGTAGGTATGTTGTCCTGTAAACAAGAGCTATCTTATTATCAGTGCATGCAAGATACCTGAGGTAACTCATGATTTAAGCAGAATTCCTTCTTTCAATCCTAGTTGCACTGGTTTCTTTAAAAGAACATCTGCCATTGAATCAAAATCTAACCTTCCAAATACACCTCTGAAAGAGAATCCTGAGTCAATCATTCATATCAGGTCCAGTAATAATGTAATCAAGTACTTTGCCATTCATTAACTTGTAGGGTGCACAAATTTTTATCTCAACACTGGGTGAAAGTCTTCTTGTTTTATGCTTAAGCTTGAATAATTTGTAGCAATGGTTATCTGAGATAAGTTACACAACCTGATTTAGTGTTTACGCACTAAGGTTCTCAGCCACTGTAGCCACAAACACACAAAAGTGGTGATAAAAACTAATCAAAGAACTTTAAATGTGAAGACAAAAGCCCATACATAGAGCAGGGTGAAGATAAGAAAATACACAGATGCAGGAAACTCGTAAGAAGTTACTTACACAAAGTCTGTAAGTCAAGTAGATAACTCTGGCTTTATGTTAGTTAGGGACCATGGTAATTGTTGATATGACCACACGCTTTACAAAATAAAGAGACGAAAAAAAATCACAAAATCATGCTGACAGATAAGTCATGACACATCACTGGTTATTCTCTTCTACATAATTTAGTGCCACATTCCAAGGAATTGATATACTTTTTTCTTCATCTGTATTATGTGTACGTTGTGGTTCAGACTGGCATTTTTGTCTGGCTCATTCATAGCATGCTCAAGATCAATGATCACAACAGATTAAGCCACATGATCCATATGCAAAAGATACTCAAGTACATAAAAATAGTTTTACTATGCCCGTATTACATGCCATCAATTAATTTTAAAAAGAGCAGATGTGCTGCCTAAACTTGGCACTCATAATGAGAAGCATCCAGTTGGCCACCAAAATACAAATTGTAGCTGAAAATAAATCAAGCCAACTCACTGAATCACAGAATTGATAGGGTTGGAAGAAACCGATGGAGATCATCCAGTCCAACTCTCCCTGTCAAGGCACGGTCACCTCGAGCAAGTGACACAGGGGCATGCACCTTAAACAGTGCTCTACCACCCTCCACATAAAGTTCTTCTTCAAGCTGAAGTGGAACTACCTTGTGCTTTAGTTTACGGCCACTGCTCCTTGTCCAGTCTCTGGGCATCACTGAAAAGTCTGGCACCATCCTCTTAACACTCGCCTCTGAGAAACTTGTATACATCAATGAGAAGCCCTCTCAGTCTTTTTTTATTCTCCGAAGAAGCCCAGCTCCCGCAGTCTCTCTTCGTAAGAAAGATACTCCAGACGTCCGGACCCTCTCCAACAGCTCCTTAACTTATACTGAGGAACTCAATAATGTGACCTCAAGGTGCTAGCACGTTCCCATACTACTGAGTGCAGGAATTAGAAAGCGTACATCCAGGTGATGCGCAAGGCAGGTGAATGGGGCAGCAGCGGTCTTCCCGTGTGATACCGAGGGCCTGCCCATCCCGGGGTGAGAGCTTTCCCTCGGCTCGCTGCTACAGCCTTTGGCTCAGCGCCACACAGCGGCGCGGGGCGGCTCGGGGGTGCAGCTCACACGCGAAATGCCACCCTGTGAGTCAGCTAAGCGGCAGGAGGGCGCACAGCTGAGGGGCCGCCGGCAACCCGCATCCCCCTACCGCCCACCACCACCGCCCCCGGCCGCCGGCCCAGCGGCCTCGTCACCGCCGCGCGGGGGCTGCGGGCGGTCATCGCGGCGACGCCCCCGACTCACCGCACTCGGCCGAGTACTGCTCCGCCCACTCCCCCAGTGTGCCGTGGCGCTGCCGGTGCCGCTCCTGCTGGAACAGGGACAGCGCCGGGTAGCGCTCGGTGAGGGCGAGCGCAGCCCGGGCCAGCAGGGCCAGCGCGGTCAGCGGCACCCACAAACCCCACGCCAACGCGCCGGCAGGTGCCATCTTCACAGCACGCAGGCGCGCCGCCCCGGCCGGGAACACAGGGTGCCTCCACTACCCCTCCCACGGGGCTGCCGCCGTACTGCCCCCTGGGACATGGAGTTCTCTACCGGCGCGGTCCAGCGGACGGCCGAAGCAAGAAAACCACAACTCCCGGGATGCAGTGCGACTAGGTCTGGCTCTCTGCTCTCCCGAACGCGGAAATGAGGAGGCGGTTTGGAAGCGCTGACAGGACTGGGACGTGCTCTGGCGCGGCATGGCGGCGCTCAGCGCCTACCGCTGCATCGAGTGCAACGGGGAGGCGACGGAGCTGTACCGAGACTACCAGCGCGGGGTGCTCCGTATCTCCATCTGCGTGAGTCGAGGCGGCGGGCAGTGGATGAGGGAGGCGAGGCATTAACGTGGGAAGCTTTGACATCCGCCGATGGCAGCGGTAGCAGCGGCGCGCGGCACGTGGTGGTGGGCCCGGTGGCACGCGGGTGCCTGAGCCCCTTGGAGCGCCCCCTGCTGTCGATGTCGGGCCATGTCCGAGCGTTGTGGCTGCTTTCCCTGGATCCAGGTTTCTTACGAGGAAAGGCTGAGAGAGTTGGGCCTGTTCAGTCTCTCTCGAGAAGATAGGAGTGAGAGGGGGCCTCATCATTGTGTATAAATATCTAAAGGGTGGTTGTCAAGAGGATGGAGGCAGGTTCCTTTTGGTGGTGCCAAGCAGTAGGACAAGAGGCAATGAGCAGAAACTGATGCATAGGAAATTCCACCTAGATATGAGGAAAAACTTCTTCACTGCGTAGGTGACTGAGTACTAGAACAGATTGTCCAGAGATGTTGCGGAGTTTCCCTCACTGGAGATGTTCAAAAACTATACCGTATACAATCCTGTGCCATGTGCTTGAGCAGGCAGCTTGGACCAGACAACCCCATATGGTCTCTTCCAACCTGACACATACTGTGATTCTGTAGTTTTCCATCTGCCCTGCTTCCCAATTAATTTCCTCCAGTTCCTCGAGTGCTCCTGTGTGGTAGAGCTGTTCTGACTGGCCTGTGTCCTTCTGCACAGGGCACTGCAGTGGGTTTGCTGCTGTTGTGCTCGCCCTACCTCTTATTGAAGGGTGGATCTTTGGTTGAACACAGCTCCCGTGCTATTGGACATAAATGTCAGGGTCTGAGTGATGATTATTCAAAGGGCAATGGCAGGCTGAACATGAGCCAGCAGTACCCTGGCAGCGAGGAGGGACAACCCTGTCCTGGGGTGCATCAGGCACAGCATCGCCAGCTGGGCAAGGGAGGGGATTGTCCCGTTCTGTTCTGACCTGGGGCAGCCTCACCGCGAGTCTTGTGTGCAGTTTTGAGCAAAATAGTATAAGGAATATGTAAAGCTATTTGAGAGCATCTAAAGGAGGACTACAAAGATGATGAAGGACCTGGACAGGAAGCTGTATGAGGAGTGGCTGAGGTCACTTGGTCTGTTCAGCCTGGAGAAGAGCCTGAGGGGAGACCTCATTGAAGTTCACAGCTTCCTTGTTGCTTATTAATCTGGTGATGATGAGCAGATCTAAGGCAACCTGGGAGCCAGTAGATGGCACTCGTTCCCCTTAGCTTTTAACCATTTGAGAACCAAGTATGTTGGTCTTTTAGAGCTGTGACATGCCACGTGTAATCAAAGACCTATGTCCCAGTTACTGAATTAATTATAAATGACAAATTCATATAAAAAAAGAGTAAAGCACTGAGTAAAAGAAAGAAGAATCAATTCCACATTTCTAGCAATTTGGGATTCTGTCCACCTCTCTCCATACAGTCCCAGATCTGTAATATTTTTCACTTACTCCTAGCAGTATTTTTCCTCTGGCTGTGTTGTGGGTTGTCGTCGTTTAGTTTCAGATCTAGTTGTTCTTAAGTGGTGTGTGTCCTATCGTCTCAAAACTTTCCCTCAATTTCTGGCCACCTAGTAGGTGCTGAGAGAAAGAATGGTCCACATGAGGAACAGGAAATAAGCAACACTTGAGTAAGAAACACATTAGCTCATGGTGTATAAAGTGGAGATAAGAATGTTAAAAGCTGCCAAGATCAAAAGATTCTTTCAGTTGAACTGATGTGACCTCAGGTTTATCCACATATGGCAGGAAAGCCCTACTGTTGTCTCCAGCTACCAAGGCTTCATGGTTTCTAATAGAGCAGTTCTTGTTTTACTTTTTCCTTTTAATCTGCAAGGATAGTTTTGTCACTTTACCATCTCTCTGCAGGCATTCTATTCCATGCAGGCAAAGCTGCGCACTGGCAAGAGACCTGGAAAGTTGTTCATCATCATGCTTCTGACAACAAAAAATAGTCAAGTACCGAATGTCATTTGGTACCTTCCAGACTTTCATGAGTAGTGATATGAGTTTGTCAGTGTTATGAGTCTTCTTGATGATGAAACCTGAAAATGATAGCCCAAAAGTCCACTTAAAAATATATTAAGATCCCATTTACCAGTGTGAAATATATCAGTTATGTATAGAACTTAGAGCGTAGCCTTCTAAAAGCTTAAGAAAAGCTAAAGGTATTTAAGAAAAATTGAAGGTCTTAAGTTAGATTAGAAGGTGTGATCACTCAACCTGAGCACATTTTTCATCTGTCTTTGTGTGTCGGAGCATTGAGTACTGCTATTCCACTGTGCCACTAAGAGAGAAGTGAAAAATTCATAGAAAGATTGTATATTAATTCTTAAAGTGAGGCAAATGAATATAATCTAAATAATTTTTTTTTTGTTAAAAAACAATTGTGTTTTATTCCCATTTTCATGTAGTACCTGGAAATACTGACACTTTAAGGAAGAGAACCAACCAATAACCCAACATTTGTTCCATACAGTAAATAAAACAGAGGGCCTCAGAAAACTGGGAACAAGCAGATCTTGTCAAGATCATCACGGTTTTATACTGATCAACAGACTTTCCCCAATGCTATTTTAAAGTTATCCTTGATACATTAATAAATCTGCATCTAAAAAATCTTTGTCATTTTCAGGGCAACCCTATAGTTCAGCACTTTTTGGGAACATTATCTCAAGATTGAAGAAGTTCTCCCAACAGCAACTTCCATCTAGCCCTACATTTATTTTAGGATGTGCTTAACCTGATCTGGGTATACTTTTGAGGTGGAAGATTTAAATCTGAATGCCTAAGCGAAATACCATGATATTTTATTTTGTTATTAATTTGTTGAAAGAAGGATGATTTTTTTTCCAGAGGCAAATACCGGAAGCTTCCATTAAGGAACATGTGTTTCCAGCCCACATTATTAGAGTACAATTTCGGAAATTCAGGGTAATGTTGCTTTAGTTTAGTTCCCGCAGCATTTGTTATTGCTCTTTATATAATTAAAAGTTTCTTTGAACTCCATATTGTAATTTTAATGTGGGCAAGCATTAAAGACCTTACAAGTGTTACTAACCACTCGGGGGTTAAATTTGCAGTGGATGCTGAAAAAATTAAAGAAACTTCCTTCTAGAAAAACATAGAAGTCCACACAGTACCATGACACTTGGGTAGGGTCGTGTCTTTTCTTACTAACTCTGCTAGGTGGCTAACTGCCACAAATTCCTTAAGTTCTGTACCTTTTTTTAAAATTAGTTTTGTTCAATTAAGACTATTTTCAGTTGAAGCCTAGGCCATACATCTGGCATTGCACGTTCCTTCTTGCTCAAGTTTCACATTTAGTTGATGAATCTTTTTCTCATCCTGCATATGCTTTGCTGTGGAAGTACCATTACAAGAGACAGGTCGACCTCTTCAATATGCTTTTTTTTCAGTGTGATAACAGGGGAGGGTGTGGGGATGTATGGGCAGGTTAGGATTGCTTCCAATGGAGGTGATGTTTGGCAGCCACTTTGCAGCTCAAGGGTCTGGTTTTAGGCCTAATCTGTGAACAAACTGATGTTTTCCCTACTCCGAGTGAGAAGTGATGGTGAAAGTAAGCTGCCTAGGTGGCTCTTTTTAGAGAAGGTTTTTATTAATGAATTTGAAATCTTAAAATGTGATTGATCTGTAAATTACAGCAAATCTTCACTGAATATATTACAACCCACCATTAAGAACAGTAAGAAAAAAATACTGTTCAAATAACATTGCTAATACAGTAGTAATGCTGGGCTGGGGGTGGGAACACATCTGGCTAACCTAGAATAAATTCTGCAAAGTGCAATGAATACAGAAGGACATTAGAAAACTTCACTTATTCAGAAACAGAGGGAAAGCATGCAGACATTTTTAAAATTAGATTTTCAATTTCATATAGGTGGCTATGCTTAAAAATAAAATGTTAAAAATGTTCCAGACCATAACCAAGGGAAAGAAATTACTGATTGCAATATGTAGAGCTCAGTGAGGATCCCGCTTGTGTTTTATAAGAAAGCCAAATTGCCTGAGCAGTGCACACTTCGTTTAGCTTTTCTGCAATTAAAAAATAATTGAAAAGCTCTTTTATTGCAGGAAGGGAGAGAAATTAAATGCTTTGAATACAAAGCATTTATGTGGTGTGGTAAAGAATCTGTCAAGAGTACAAAGATCATCCTGGAAAATAAAATATGCTAATTTTTTATAACTATTTACAGATCAACTCACTACTGGAAAATGTATTATACAGAAAAAAATTACAAAACAATATTTTAATTTGTTTTCTGAAATGGAATGCATCTGAAACTGGGTTGTTTTGGTTTTCAGTCTACTATGACACTTGACTGCATCCCTAATAAAGAGTCCTTTCCTGAAAGCACCGCTAATGTGTTTTATTATTTAAGGGTGCAGTTGGGATTGAAGGCACTCTCACAAGAGTCTGAGTTAATTTGCCATATGAACCTATATAAATGGACCTATATTCATGTTAAAGTTATGTAAATGTTCTTACAATTAGCTGTATATGTAGTCCAGAAAAAAATATAGCTTAATTTTGCCAAACTCCAAACCCTGGAGTAAGGAATACTAAAATGAAACTGTTTCATTAATAATTCTAAGGCCTGGAGATTTGCAGAAGTATGCCTGATGTGGTTTTCATGGTATTTTTAGATCAGGATGAAGTTTTGTTCTTCAGTGTGTATTTTTATCTTCTGCCATGTCCTATGGCTTTCTCTTCAAGAATTCTTTTCCCTTCCACAAACCCCATCCCAAAATATTTTTTTTTCAAATAAGTAATGTTTTAATATTGGAGCAATTGCTCCAAAAAATTAATGTTCATATACTTTAGGAACTTTCTCTTCAGAGACAGAAGGTATTTTCTCAAATATCTGTACACTGTATTGTATTGGGCACACATTTGTGAACACTGCAGGTTGAGTATTTTTGATAAACAAAGAAGAGTTATGTCTTTTGGGTCGTGTTTTATAAAAGACTGATAATCATGCAGGCAGAATTAACATAAGTGTGCTTTTTTGGTCATATTAATACAACTGAGATGTTAAAATGTATGTTACCTTCCTTAAACATTTTGCATTGCTTTGATCGAAAGGGATCTGATATACTACACTATGAAGACGATTGTACTAGCTTTTGAAGATCTATTTTTCTTCTTTAATCTGCCTTTGCTAATTAGTTTTAATTTTTTTAAGATAACTAAGTAAACTTTCAAGTTACCAAAATGGAAGATTTATTTTTAAGCAACAGACAAGCATAGTCAAATTTTCCTAAATGTTTAATTAGCCAAACAGTTCCTAAAGTAATATCCATTTAAATTTGTTAGAATATTGATACACTTTTAACATCCTTTGTTTAGGGGAGAACAGTATCTGTTGGACTTTTGTGTGTCTGTATCAAACAGTTGTAATTTTCCCTAAATTTACCAAATCAGAAGATGTGTAAATAGAATTCATAATGAGAAACTTGACTTTTCTCTTCTGCAATGTAATCTGAAAGTATATTTTAATCAAAGTAGTGTCTGTTTTTTCAAGAAAAAATTCCAGTTACTTGTTTCTGATGTCAATTACATATTTAAGGCAGCAATTGAAAAATGGCTAAAAGCATAGAGAAATCCAGTTACTTCTTTTTATTGCTTTAGAACTGGTTGTGATAACTGAGGCAGTTCTTTAAGAAAGCCCAAAGAAGATGAAAAAGCTCAGGTTTCTTACAGATCTGCCTTCTTCACTCAAGCTGCCCATGCTATTGACTTAAGCTGTGCAGAACAGCAACTGGGAATGAGACGTGACCACCAGTATTGTAGTTCACTCTAAACTGCCTACTGACTAAAATCTTAAAAATAAGTGTGCAAGCAGTTCTCCACAGCTGAGCTGCTCATACCAGTCTTCTCTGAAAGTGTCAGTGATTATCAGTGCCCACAAAGTTACATCCCTTTAACTAGCTAAAGCTATCTAGTGAAACATGTATCTCCCTAAACTGCATCAATCGTTGCTTGCACTGATTTTACTGAAGTCAGGCTTTAGTCACAGGTTTCCCTTCCTAGGCATTTAAGGTTGATGTCAGATGTTTTAGTTGTATAGCTGGAAAAATTGACAAAAAAAGCCAGGTGAAGAGAAAAATTCTTCCTAAGAGGGCATATGAATTCTGTAGTATACTGATGGTGTGATAATCACCATCTAATTAGTCTGTAGCAGTGCACACACAGGTCTCTTGCAGCAAAGGTTATTTACGGGTCTCACAAATCCCTGGATGAACTCATTCTGGCTCGGTCACTGTCTGGATGAGCAGAGAGGACTCTTCCTTCTTGCAACAGAGATACAAATAAAGTATAATAAAGTATATTAGGAATATAAAATATATTAGAAATACGGTTCTCCTCTAGCTCTAGAAGACAGAAATACTAAATTTAATATTATTTTCACAGCTGCAGATTTGGTATTTGGCTGCCAGAAGCTCGGGGGCAGAAGACACTACCATTTGTGTATTCATTTGTAGCAGTTGCCTTATATATCTGCAATAAATTTCTGTATTGTTGTCTTTGCCTGGATGTTTGGTCTGATAAGTTTTCTTTATCTAAAATTCATGTCAGCTGTCAGTGAAAATTTTTCAATACCTCTTGACTGCAAATTTTTTGATCAGTGTTCGATTGGGGTCCTTCAACTGAAAATACCATTCTTTACTCTGAAAGAATTTTGGTCCTCATCAAGAAATGTTCTGTTGAATTTGAGAGTGTAATAAAACTAGGAGTATGCAGGATATCCTTCATCTAACCTTTATGACACCTGTTGTGTTGAATAATCTTACTGGACTTGTCCAGTACTTGTATGAATAAACCTATTAAAAAAAACTGCACTTGTCTGGTGCTATGTCAACCCAGAGATTTGACATATGCAATTTACCACCCATAAGACTATCTGTTCATGATTTCCCAGTAAGAAAGAAAGAAAGCAAGACACTGCCTCTAATTAAAGTAGCAATTTCTTTTTCACACTACTAAATCCTGTAACTGTGGTCTTATGTTAATTATGTCCTTTTTTCCATCTCACTAGCTTTAATTTTAGACCTATCAAACTCTTGGTTAATTGAGTGAGTTTTTAATTCATTACTTCTAACCTGTGTACTGTCATATACAGTGCTTTCCAGATGAGTAAGTTTTTCCTTGAGCTGGACCAAGAAACACTGATTAGAGGTTGCAGCATTCCCTAGACAATATTCAGTTTATGCATTTGGTTGGATGTTTTCCTTTACATTGGTGTTGGACTTTTGATTCATTTTGCTGGTGAAATTTGGCATTCTCAGATTCTACAAAAATAATTCTGTTAAATAGCAAGGCACTGTTAACTTTGGACAATGTCCTAGTTTTGGCTGATTTGATTTTATGCCTAGTAGCTGGTACAGTGCTGTGCTTTGGATTCGGGATGAGAATAATGTTGATAACACTCTCATGTTTTAGTTGTTGCTATTAGTGCTTATGCCAAGTCAACCACTTTTCAGTTTCCCGTGCCCTGCCAGTCAGCAGGTGCACCAGGAACTGGGAGGGAACACAGCCAGGACAGCTGACCCAAACTGGCCAGGACAGCTGACCCAAACTGGCCAAAGGGATATTCCATAGCCCATAGAGTGTCATGCCCAGTAAATAAACTGGGGGGACTTGGCCAGGAGGGGGCGATCACTACTCAGGCATGGGATGGGCATTGGTCAGCTGGCGATAAGAAATGGACCACTTGTTTCTCTTGGGCTTTATCCCTCTCTCTCTCTCTCTCACTATCTTCCATTTCATTACTATTATATTTTACTTTATTTCGGTTATTAAACCGTTCACAACCCATGGGTTTTACCTTTTTCTGGGTCTCGTCCTGATCCCAGTGCAGGGTTAATGAGCAGCAGTGTGGTACTTAGTTGGTCTTTGTATGACAGACACAGTGAATCTCTATAAAATTTCAAAACCTTTATGTTTGGTCCTGGGAGTTTGTCTGTAGGTGTGTGTTGTCTGATGCTGCATTTTTGACTGTTCCAGCATTTCAGAAAGTGGTGTGCCAACATACTTCTTCTGGCAGTGCACAGCCATGCACTCATTAACATGGAAATAGAGATAATTTCTATGACTGTCGTGTTCTCAGCATGGCAGCTAATGTGAAGGTCCAGTGGAGCAAGATTAGGTGAGGACAGGTTAGAGGAAACAAGTAGCCAGACTGGAGGATTAGCAGCAGGAGAAAGCTGACCTGCAGGCGAGCACCCTTCTGCAAGTGCACTTGTTTGAGCTGAAGTGATTGCTGGTGCTCTTCTGCTGCTCCTCAGCTCTCTGTTAGAAGTTATTTCTCCTTCAGGTCTGCTACATGAGCCTTTTGTAAAATGGGTATTTAACCCTCCTGTTATTTATATATATATAACAGTCTTTTATTAGCCCTAACTCAAATCAAGGAGTGATGAGCCATGCAGGTAAGTCAGTAAAGCTGGAGAGGATTGATGACAAGCAGGTCCCAGTGGTTTGGGTGAAATAACCTCTCTAGCAGACACAGCAGGAACCAGCAGATGTATTAGAGAAGTGATGGTCTAGTGTCCTGCCACTGTTCAATGACAACTGACTCTTTGGCTGTAGATCTGTGTGAAAGCTACATTATCAGTATTCTGTTACAGTGAATATACTGGTATTTGTTCAATGGTGTTGAAACATCCAGACAAGTTAACAGTATGGAAGAACAATGCAACAGCAACAGCAAAAACAACTTACTGTGGTCTTGAAAGGAAGAAAAAGGTAGAATAGGATGATAAAGCATCTCTGAAAAGAAGGAAGTGATAGAAAAAATTAATTTTCTTTCAAAAAAAGAAAATCCAAAATACCCAAAATAATCCAAATAAAATACCCAGTAGATGATGCATAGTCAGTTAACCTTTAGTACAATATTGGTCCATTTCTTGAATCTTGGAAGGATAGTTTGGTTTTTTGCATCTGTGGAGCACGAAATGATAACTAAATCCATTCTTGTGTAGTTCATTATTGATATTAATCTGAAGCCCATAAAAATTGATAACATATCTCTGTTTTATAAGGGAACCTGTGTGTCAACTGTAGTATCAAGGGAGAGCAAACAATTTTTCAATGGTATTGACAATAAAGATGACATTAGGGAAAGACCAGTAATAATTGAATTGCTAGTTTGTCTTTATCCAGTTGTACTAAGATTAGGGGAAAAATTCATAAACTCTTCCTTTCTGTTTTTTTTTCCCTAATTTTTCTTATTTTGTGACTTTCAGAAATCCTGCCAGAAACCTGTGGATAAATACATTGAATATGATCCTGTTATCATCTTGATTAATGCTATTTTATGTAAAGCACAAGCATACAGGCACATTCTTTTCAATACAAAGATAAATGTAAGTTGATATGACCGTACTTTGTGACTTCTTTTGTTAAAAATACATTTAGATTTGGTAAGTTGACTGTAATAGCTGTAAAATTTTAGAGACTGTTTTTCTCCAGCCCTTCCACAGATTTCAGCAAGCTCAACCAGTTAGATCATGAATAGAACACATGGAATCTCAAACTTCCAGTGGGACTAAGACAGTTTCTGTCTTCACAGAAGTGATGCCACAATACCAGCAAATACACAGTCTTCTTACATGTTAAAGAGAAAGAATTGCATAGAACTGTTCATGCAGTTTTCTACACCCTCTAATCTGCCTATCATATTAATTGATACTAAAAGAATGATGTGCTAAATTGCACTGTAACAGAAAGATCTAATTGAAAATTAATTTCAAAAATTAAATTTCAGTTGGAAACAATTCTTTTTGAAAAGAGCATTAGGAGCATAACATACCAAATTAATAACACTATGCCAATTAAACCTGCTGTACTAATTTCTGATGAGTTTCTTCTTGTGTAATTACCCATGCCCTTAAAGCTAGAGCAAAAGATGGTGGCTTTCACTTGAAGTTGTGATGCAGAATTACGTAGTTGGTCTGACTAGGCTAGGCTGAAGTATAGAGGCATCTCTTTTTAGCATTGTGTATTTTTATTACAAGGACTGATTTCCCAAGAGAGGGAAGCTAATCTAGGGTAAACTCTGTGAGCATAAGTGTAGGCTGTGTTCATGTTGATATCTTTTAGCCTGTCCAGTTGAAGCATATATTGTATATAAATATATTTGTATACAAATACATTTGCCTCATCTTTCAAGTCTAACTAAATATTTTTTATTAATTCGATGCTTCTGGAGACTGGTAATCATCTTTTCTGTGATGGGCTATGCTGAAGGGCTATGCTGTCTATGAAAACTACATCTATTCAAATAAATCAAGTTGAAATTTAAATTGGTGATGCCTGTGCTTGTGTGTACAGTTTGCACAACTTGCCTCTAATGGAAAAAGTAGAATCCATGCACAGAAATTGTAAATCTGTATACAGTCACAAATCACCTCACATGCACTGGCTTATAGACTGTTTAATGTGGAAGAATGCTGACTGCTTTCACAATATAATTTTTGCAGTCACTTCAGAGGACATTTTAAAGTTGGGTTTTTTTTATATTGCTCCCTTTATTTTTGGTACCTCACTTATATAAACTAAGAAATACATGGTATAACTACACTACCAGTTTCTTCTAATGGAGATTGCCCCAGGGAAAAAGAGAAACAAGAGTACTTAAACCAATTTGCTGAATGGAGTAGTTGCCCTTAAACTGAAATTTTAGATAGTATAATTCTACTAGCTTTGGCACAATTTTGATTTTTCATTTCTAGCTGAACAGACTTCCAAATTTTAAAATAGTGCAGATCAGGCTTTAGAAACCACAGTTATATACCTTCTTATGTACAGAACTGCTCATGCAGTTTTGTACATGTTGTACTTTGACTATCATGTTAACTGATGTTAAAAGGATGATGTGCTAAACTAGTGGCTCAACAGAAGTAATTTTGCCTATATTCTAAACAAAAATAATACACCTATAGATTTTTTTGTGTGTAGAGCTGTTGAAATGGATTTAAAATACTGATTCCATACTAATGCTTTAATATATGCTGATTTAATATTAATCTTTTTATTATCCTTTCATGTCCCAGATTCATGGGAAGCTTTGTGTATTTTGTTTGCTCTGTGAAGCTTATATCAGGTGGTTGGAACTACAGGATTCAAGCCAAAATACAGATCCCGATGACTTAATCAGATATGCCAAAGAATGGGATTTTTATAGAATGTTTGGCATAGCTTCTTTAGGTAAGATTGATGATACATATTATCCACTTTTTAAGCATTGAAGAACTTCACCAGCCTTTCAAGCACTGCAAAAATTGATACAGAATGGATGTGATGTCCAACCCAGTGGAGTTACACAATTACACACATACTGTCTAATTTGCCTGCATTTAATGCAAATACCTATTTTGATCCTCATTACAGTCCAGACTGATGTGTTCAGCATTAGATATGAAGAGACTGAAAAGTGGCAATATTCAGAAATCTTCGCCTGAATCTGTTGACAAAGTTTGAAGATCAATGTAGAGTTCAGCCTTACTCCATGACTTCAAGGTTTATTATTTATTAAGGTGATACAACCTTCCTAAAGTAAAACAATTGGGAAAAGCTGTATCTGTTTTGGGTTGCTTTTTTAAACAAAAATGCCAAAGTACAGACCAGTGTCATCACCAGTAAAGAGTAAACACTTCTGTGCTCTAAGACTACACTTGAAGGCATGGGAGGGGTTTTGTTCTGTGTTGGTTAAAACATTTTTCTCATACTTTTTCAGATAATAGTGTTTAAATCAAAGTTGCGCACTAAAATTAGTATTTTTCTTAGACACTCAGAGCTTAATTTAAATAATTTATTGTCTAATGTTGCTCTTAAGTAGGTTTTTACAATGTCAGTAAAAATATTGAGCTCATTTTTCAGTAGTGACTCATCTATTACAGTTATTGTGGGAGTTTCTTTTATGTCTGCRTTAATGCCAGCATATTACAGGAATGGTAACTTCTTTCTTCAAAAAGGAGTCTAGTAGTTCAATGTCTTTTTCCCCCTTAGTGTTCTTTGTCATGCTGGATGAGAAGGGTGTATTGCTGGTGACCTTTTGCAAAGAAGACAAGTATTGATTCGTTTTACAGGCTAACAGTCAGTTAAAAAAAATTCTCCTTTTGCTAAAATGTAAAAGTGAAGGGGTTCTTTTGCTTAGCTTCCTGTGCTATATGGAGTCAGAAATCACAATATAATCCTACAGATAGAATTCTGTGATAGAATTATTCTGAATGTTATGACACTGAATTGATTTCAGTAATATTTGGTTATTAAAATGAACAGGGAGATTGAGAATGTATTTGCACATGGCTTTTAGAAAGTGGCTCCATTACATTTGGGACATGTCATATTACTGAAATTCAGAACTGGACTCGATTTTTGGCACTGCATTCTCTCTTTCCAACTCCTCTTATTTTGTTTTAGAACAAACTTCGTTTTTCATTGGCATTTTTATTACCTTGTGGTGGATGACACCTGAGATGCTGCAAAAAAAGTCTGACTTCATTTTACTTCTCAAAGCACTGCTGTTGTCCACCTATGGAAATCTTCTGCTAATTCCAGCTGTTATTTGGGAACATGACTACACACCTTTGTGCCTTGCATTTATAAAAATGTTTGTCTTGATATCCAACTCTCAGGCAATTAGAGGTATATTTTTGCTTTTTTTTATTACTGCATTATGTGTGTAGACTATGTGTGAGAATCTGCTGATGCTACAGAAGTCATTATCTTTTTAATCTGTATATTTCAGATACTGACTGAAATAGCTCTAGCTTAAAACAGTTATTTAAACTTTAATAGAAAGTGATTGAAACAATTAAGAAAAAAAAATTAAAAAGCACCTCTTATCTCATCATCATCTCTTTGTATATACTGTATTACATCCACCAGATCCATCTGTTACAATTTGAGATAACTCATCATGGATCCTTGAAACATAAAATGGAATTATTTTGAGTTTCTGAAAAATAAGAATTCCATGTTAATTTTATTTATGACTTTGGAATACAGACTTTTAACAGATTTGTGTTGATTCCTTATACATACAAATTAATAGGAATTCTCACATGATTTACATGTTTCTATGATCTTCTTAAATGGTATGGGATAAATTTGTTTTGTTTTCTTTTGCAGTTACATTGAACCTGAACCGAATACTTCCTTGGTTTGCCATCTTCTCTGGATTAATTCTGGAAAATGGTGTGGTCTTCTTGTTCCAGAAAATGGGATGGGATGTTTGAAATATCAGCCCAGAGATGAAGAAATACTAAGAACACTGTGATAATTTTCTAAGATTGATCTCTGCCAGCAGGCTCCAAAACCACTCTTTTCATAGGGATAAAGAAGGTGACAGATAAAAAAAACTTCAGAAGTTTGGCTCTTCACTGTGCTGAACCATAAAACTTCAACCTTAGGTTGTTTATTTTCCCATTAAAAATATGAATGTGTCACTATCCTAACAGTTTTATAAATCTGGCTGCTTAGCTGTGGCTGTAAGAAGAAAGGTACACTAAAAAAAAAAAAAACAGCACTGCTACCAATCACTGCATTTTGGCAGAAAAAGGAGGATGAATTGTTCCCTTAAGAGGAAGGGATTCAATGGAAAAATGTAAAACCCAAATTTTTATTTCCACAAAACCTGATTTTCAAAGAGAAAAGTGAACATGTGCAAATAGTTTATTAGAGAAAAGGCAAGTATTCCAGAGTAAAACTACAGTGGGAAAACCAAGATGCATTCTCTGGAATGTTTATGTAATAATCCAAAATAATAAAATAGCTAGTTCTAGAGTAATCTCTAGGAATGATAGGTTTAAACTGGCTTGAAATTTTATGTGAGCTCATAAATACTTGAAATTTTATGTGATTTTATAAATGCTGCTGCTTTGTTCTGAAAGCTGACAAGAGAGTGAAAGGACTCTGTTCCCCGACATGTGTGGTTGTTTAGGATGCTGTTTCTTCTGCATTTAATGTTAAGTCACATACCCCACATCCAGTTCTCATCTGGCTGCACAATTTAGTGGAAGCAAAACCTGAAATATGAGGCCATTCAGCAACAGACTAGTACTTTAAAAAACAAACGAAGAAGCAAACAAAAATGTTGATGCCTAAATTAGTGAAGAAACGTGGAAGTTCTGCACCTTTTTCCTCAACAGGTAAAGAGAGAGCTAAAGGACCCACAAAGGAGCTGACAGAATCAGTTTCTACAAGACAGTAATGACACAAACCTACTTGTTTTGTGTAGACCAGTTTCCATTTGTTCCATCCAATGTTTAACTCTCCTACTTCAGTTCTGGAAGGCTGTACTACCCACAGGGATTACTTCCATTCTTTGTTTTCCTCGGATGCTGTCTCATGTCTGTACTTTCCAGAAGGAATCAAAAAATGTTCTGCAACATCTTCAAGTTAATTCCCTACAGTTTTAGAGTAAGTTCTAGTTTATGACCACAGAAGACATGAAACATTTGTCTGATGCAACTGCCCATGCTATGCAAGTTGATCAGAAAAGTAAATGGTTGCTGAAGCTCTATTATTAGATCCAAGGCTGACAGCACTTTTGTCATATGTGTTACAGTTTGCAATTTTCTGAGCATGTCAGAGAAAGCAAAAAACCCCAAACTGCAACATTTTTAAGTATGCAAGACTCTTGATTTGATTGGTAATAAATTAATTTCCCCAAGTTGAGTCTGTTTTGTCCATGACAGTAACTGGTGAGTGAATTCTCCACATCGTGACCAATGAGCCTTTCCTTACATTTTCTCTCCAGTGCTAAGCTGGGGAGTGTCGGAGGCGCTTTGTTGGGCATCTGATGTCCAGACAGGGTCAACCCTCCCCCACAGCTCTGAATGTCTCTTCAGAGAAATGTGTATGAGTGCCAGTTTTGGTTTTTTAATGTAACAACAGTGCTTTGGTTTATTCTAATAACATTAGATTTTTTTTTTTATATTCATCATATGTGTCAGTTATATATACCCCCCACAAAAGGGGGTTTTTGGTTTTTTTCAGATATTTGGTCTGGCACTGGTTTCAGTATAAAGGCTGAGTGGAGCCCATTTAAGTGTAACTAATGAAAGTTATTATATATAAACATGATCTCATCAGCAGCAAAACTGTAAATACAATGTATATAAATTTTGTTGGGACAGTTTTCTTAAAGTTTATTTTGAATTTTTAAAAAATTATTTCAGGTATTTTCTGAGTTTTTTTCAGAAGACCTAGAGTTGGCATGATTGCATTGTGAAAGAAGCGCTGTTTACCTGTTGTGTCACGTACACTGATAACCTATCAGTTATGCACTCTGTAATGCTGCCAGGAGACACCACTGCCCTTACACAACTTTGAAGCAAAAGAAGACAATTAAGAGCTACAGAGCTGTGGGACAAAAGCAGGTGTGCTACAGGTTCTCAGTCTTCAGAAGCATTATAATAATGTAGGGCATTCATTTTTTGGTGTTAGAGCTACTCACCAGAACTAACATGAAAAACACACCAGTATTTCATAAATCTAGGGGAAGCTTAAGGACACCTCTCCTGGGCAGGGAGGCAGGCGTGCGTGCATTTTTTTATGCTTTTGAAAAAGCATTACATATGGTGCTTTAGAGAGAACCAAGACTATTTTAACCTTCTGCCTGTTTAAAAGCATCAACTCTCTTGATTTTACTCCTTTTTGTATTTTGAACTCACCTTTTTTCCATAAACTTTTTGTAATGAAACCGGTATCTGTGCTGGAAGATGGATGATAAATAGTCTGCCCTTTCTGTATATTATCAGTTGTTTCCTTAAGTTACAGGACAAGATTTACATGAATTAAAAATACAGCAGTCAGCAAATGAACCTATAAGAAACTCTTGAGTTTTCATTGGAATCAAAAGGGGTATCGTGGCTTGTGGAAAATTCATGGGCCTATAGAGCAGATTCCAGAATTCTGTTGCATGAAATGAACCAGGGAAGAACCACGGGTGTTACTGAGACTTGGATTGAGCAATGGTTTAGTGATTACGTAGTGGGAGCTGAGAACTTCAGCTGGGTCCATAGGTCATGTAACATTTAGAAATTAGTGTATGCAAAACTGGAGAATTACAGTAAAAGCTAAGGAGGATTAAAAGAGAAGGTAGGAGTCTGGCAGACTTAATTAAGATGACCAAGGCAATACCATCTCAAGAAAAATATGAAAGAAAATATGCAGTATAGGTGTTGCTGTATCACTAAGCAAATACAACATTTTACTCACAAGTTCACAAATTATTAACATGAAGGAAGAGTAGTATTTATTGTAGACATTTCTGTATTAGTCTAAGTGACAATAGGACATAGCAAAGGATGTCTTCCAAGCAGTAAAGTCAATGGGTTTCCCTAGAAAAGATCCAAGTAATCTCCTTACTTCAATGGTTTGCACTCCAACCTTGAAAATACACTTTTATAAAGCAGAGCTACCAATTGTACGGGGATAGAATTAGTCACTGAATAGAAAGAGCTGTGCAACAGCAGAACTCCCTTCATTCTGCATTAGTGTGTGCTGCATTAGGCTTTGCTGTTGCAGGCAAGAGCTCCTACCCATGTGACCATACAGACAAGGGAGCCCTTTCTTCCACACAAGTCCTATCTCAGAGGCATATAAGCTGCCATTTGTTACCCCAGTCTTCACTGAACTGAAAGTAAACTAGCACATCTGCACTGGAAAACTGTTCCCTGATTTTTCATAAAACAAACAGGCCCTTGTTCCTCAGGGGCTTGCCTGCTTTTGCATTCCATGAGCCCTCCCCAAAAGGGTGGTGTTAAGCACTGCAGTGCCATCTGGAGTTGATAAGGAAACCACTATTGATTTCAATACTGGAAGGTACATTCAGGCACTCTTACATACGTGCTGTAAAATCACAAATTCAAGTTGTTAAAAATGAACATCCATCTTCAGTTTGGAGAGATGTGAGAATGAAAGTAGTGATGCAAAACAGATAACAAAACATTCGTTTTGGTGACAGTATCAAGGCCAATTCATGGTCAAACCATGAAAGCTATAAAATACAAATTATTTCAGGACAATATCTCTTCAAGACCTGAATAGTCCCACAAGCTGGGATTATTCTGAGTCTTGTTGAGCTCTGCAAAAATTCACGTGGCATTTCCTTCACTACAAAAACTCAATAGGATTTTTCTTGCTGAATTAATCTGAAATGCAGATTTCTGCAATTAAAGTTTGCAGAAAACTTATATAACAAGATTCCCATTTTCTCTCCTGCCTCTTAGAAAGCTGTTCTGACCTTAGTCTTTCCAGTAATGCTTACTGTATTATTGAGGTGGCAAGAAAGAAGATAGTAAATAAAGGAGTGTCATAAAATCTTTTTCCTAAACATGATCTGCTGTCCTAAACTTGTAAAGCTTTTTTTGAGCTATGCATAGACAAATGACAGATTTGCAAAGCAACTAGGAAATATTGCTAATAATGTTTTACTTGCTATTCATTAATATAATAGACACTGTTTGGGTTTGCTCAGGTTTTTTTTTTTTTTCCCCTGGGTAAAAATGTGGTTTAAATTCCTTTACGTAGAAGCATAAGGGTGTGAACTTAGAGTTCTTACATGTGCTGGCTGCTGCTGAAATAAATCCAGATGACTCCCTTGATTTCTTAGAATCTCTAACTGAGGACAGTTTTAGGGAAAAGAACTTGTCCATAAGCTGCACAGAAGTGCATGCCATGGTTCTCTGAGCACAGGACAGGGGACCTGAATTAAGACCTGAATCCTAATCCTGGCCATAAGACTGACCAGTGCTGTGACCTTGAACAAGTTGTACGTGGCTCCATAAAATGATTGTATCTCCACCATCACAGGATTTGGGGGAGGATTAATTTGTTCATGTCTGCTTAGAAAGATGAAAAGCATTAAGTCCTTTCAGCTGCAGGTTTTACGGAGTCAGTCAACACTGTGAATGTCAGATATGAAATAGACATGCCAGGAGCCAGACAATGTGAATATTAAAGGTGACATGTTTAAAGTCTTTTATACCAAGGGAAGCTTTAATTCTGACCCTTGCTGGCATGCAGTTCTCTAACGTTCACATCTGAGGACTTTTAGAGGTATACACAGCAAATCTCTAATCCCTCATGATGAAATTGAAGTTATTGCAGCTGTTGTGTGCCAAAACAAATCTGAAATTAGTTAAAAATTTTGGAGCAAAGGGAACTAGCACATTAGCTGATCTTACTTTCAGCTATCTAAAAGAAAATGTACTTTATTTGACAGTTTGAAGCTTTGAGTAGGAAGCACTGGTACATTTTGCAGAAAAATATTTCTTAAAAAAATATTACAAACCATTGGTATCTTTTCAGTAAATAAATTCAGTAACACGGCACAAATTTAAACAAGAAAACAAAACCTCAGCAACTTCTACTTAGAAGCACTTCTACTCACCTTGCACTCCTTTCTCAGAACTGCTAATTCACTCTGTAAGTATCTGTGGGTGTTACCTTTATAGTGATTTCCTGCCAGGCAAGCTGCAGCCCATTGAATTCTGCCATACATGCATCACTCCTTAACTTTGATCCTTTCTTTGGTCTCTCACTTCACTTGCAGAATAGAGCTTTGGTTCTAACCTTCAAAGCCACATACGTATCATGTCTTGGCTATAGCAGAGATAGTATCTCTTTCTCTCAGTAGGACTACTGCATTCTTTTGATCACTGAATATCAAATGCCAACAGAAGTGTAATAACTAGGAAGAAAACATTTTCCATTGAGAACATCGACTGAATAATAAAGTGYCTCATAGCAGCACTAGAAAAAATGGCTTGGATTTTTCAGGATAGGGACCAAAAATGAATGTATCACATTGAGCATGTCCCTTATAAACTCTTCCAAAGCAGGAATCTGTTTCCTACTTTCCCACTAAGGACATTTCTCCTACATAGTAGTGTGAAAATGGCAAATGGGTTGCACAGCAAGGAAAGCACAATTCATCTCTTACTCATTTTGTCCTGGGAGAGAGCAAAGTGAAAATAAAACTCTGGTGATTAATGAAGAATTTTTTCAGAGATGGTGGACAGATTATTTGAACCCTTTTCTTTACTGAAGCAAATTAACTTTGTTGTGGATGAACATAATGACAGGTATTCATTTCCTTACACAACCACATGACAAGACTTAGTCTGTACTAAAACTCTCATCTTTTCAAATGTATTTTGCACTTCTTTTAGTGGATTTTTCTGTAAAATAGTCTCCTGCTCGACTGAATTGTGCAATTTATGTAAATGATGCGTGTGTGTAGATGGAAGGAGAAGGCAGGTCAATCTTGTTCTTACAGGCTGTGCATTTTCTGCCTTATCTATATGAAATGGTACAGCTTCTGTCTATTTAAAGGTCTTATTGAAAGAAAAGGCCACCAGTGAGAAAGGCACCTTCACCCCACAACAGTTTGATTATTGTTCAATAGCACAGATTGTATCAGTTTCAAAAAAAAAAAAAAAAGTTATGTCCCTGATAAACATCATCAGAAGCATGTAGAGATCAGGTTTCCCTTCTCTCATTGTTACTCAGCTACTTTTGTTTAACAAAATGCCAGCATAGCGATTTTAATCTAATTCAGCTGCATGAGCACTTTGAAAGTTCAGAGAGGTGTTTTTAATCCTCTCCAACACATCCCTATAGAGGACAGCAAAAGAGGAAGCCCTCGTGCGCAGATCCTTCCACACTATAATGGCAGGGCAGAAGGTGCCATCTGTCATTTCATGCCATTATATTGGAAAGTGCTGTCTCTAAACTCCTTGCAGCAGCTGCTCCTGAAGGCTCAGCTCTTTCTCCTAGGCCGGCAGCTGCCTCTGCCACCCCCTTGGGAACAGTTTTGTTTTCACAGAATCAGAAGTGATTCTAGCCCACACTTCAGTGGGCTAGAAGTGATCTCAGAGGTCATCTGGTCCATCCACCAGCTGCTGGGATGGGTAGGCACTCCTGACAGATGCTCTCACTGGCAGGCAGAGATTCTGGCTCTGAGAGACCAAACCTAAACAGTCTATCCTAAATTAAGAGACCTGTCAGCTCCTACTGCATGTAGTGGCAGTTTGATGCCTAGTTGTTTTTCAACTACGACCATTTATTCAAGCAATATGATTTTGCAAAAACATACAAGATTTTACTTGAGAAATCCATTGTGTAGATGGGGATTTACTCTTATTGAAAGTTTTTGTCCTCCACTTTTATTTTCCAGGTTGCATGCTTCCAATTCCCTGCTACCCCCCACTTAGCCTTACTAAGGCAGCAACACAAAAATCCATCAGACAAATTCCTTGGCTGCCAGACCACAAAGCATTTAAGATTTCATTTTAAACTAACAAAGCATCCTGCACCTCTTCAGATCTACTACAGACTTTCTGTAAGGACATATGTGCTGGCTAACACATCATTAAGCTGAAACAAAAATACAATCAGTGCCTACAAATGAAAGTATTAAATTCAGAGAATGAGAGGATGGGCATGGTGAATTGAGATCTCTGTTCCTGGAGAATAAATGCATCCATTCAAACTCCCTTCTAATTTTCAAAAGAAATTGTAGCATAAATTTTCATTGTGGGCACACTTTTTAGCATTTTTTTATACAAAAAAATGTCTGTGATAATAACAAGATATGCTTGACTTCTCTAACACTGATTGATGTATTTTGCCTGTACACACCTGCATTTGAAAGCACAGAAAAGAGTATTCTCTATGGAAGAAGGGACATTGAATGTTTAGARCAGTCCTGCATTTGCAATGACTGGCTAGTGATAAGTGAAAAAAAAGTCCTATTGTGTAACCACACAAAGCACTGGAGACAAGACAAACCTATTTACATATGAGAACTTCGACTTCAAGCAAATCCTGTAAAAAATGATGTGAGACAGAATAAAAGAAATGCATAAAACAGAATTCCTTCTTCCCCACAGAGATTACTGCAAATTTCTATTTCTCTCATTCATCCTTACAGTTTATTCCTGTAGGCAAGCAACTGTGCAATGATGGTCTCCAAAATACATTAGAACTATTCATAAATATCTTTCCTCTTCTAAAAATGCACACAAATAGAGGTATAAATAATACATTGATTAGGTGCTATATATTCCATTCTCTCTACAGATTATATGTATGATGCAAGGTATTTCAGGAAATGCTCCTTCAATTTGAGCATCATGACTAAATATCAGTGAGAAAGATCATGGGTATTTCAGAGACACAAGTCAAGATTGTGTATGATTTGTACAATACTAACAGAAAAAAAAAGGAACAGCAAGACCCTTGGAGAGGATATAGACGTGCTGTGTTCATACAGGACAAAAACCAAATGGTGACAGAGCTTTGATATTCAAATGCAATGAGAAATTAATATTCTGATTTGATATACTACTTTTTTTTCAGATGCTTCTGATAAAATGTCTTTTCCCTATACCAAAGTTTTAATATTTCAGTTGTTTACCTTTAGTGGTAGCATATAAAAGTAATTTTGTTCCACAATACGAACAGCCTTTGATGTTGTTTAGGAGTAATGGAACAAGTTAAAATGTGGTCCCGCTTCAGCTTGTACTTTACTGTTCAAAACTTCACTTGTTAGCTCACACCTACATGCAATGTTTAAATTTTCCATTATCCATGAGGGCTTTCACTGCAAATAATTAGTGTTAATAATTTGTTAAAATCAAGATTCAGATAACCAAACTGTAAGGGTTTGGTTTCAGATAACCATACTGTAAAGGGTTCAGAGAAAAAATCAACAAAATGTACTGTCTCTGTCATCCAGGTGCTTTTATAACTGAAGTAACGACCTTATTACACTGCCAGCCTGGGAAGGATTTAAAAGGTTCTGCTATTTGACCAGTCAGAAGAGTTTAAGCAAGAGCTGGTAGGGCTGAGACAGGCAACTTTATTCTTTGTGACAGCACCTGGTATCCTGAGCCAAAAGGAGCTCACCAACTCTTACTCATGTGTCTAGCCAGATAATCACAGGGACGTTTCTGACCTGTGAAAGAAATGCTTGTGATTTCTGAAAGTGAGTAGTTAGCACTGCGAGGAGAATTGAACTGCTAATATGAATTTAAGGCAGTGGTTTGACATAGGAGTGAACACTATGTACCAACAATTCCAAACACTCTGCTTTGGATGCTGAATTCTAATAACCCATCATTTGCATGGGATTTCTCTTCTCATATTAAACTGAGGAATTCTGAAAGATTGCATTCTCTTGAAGACAATATCTTAATAATGTCTTAGCACTTACTCATTTAAAATCTGTGGCAAAAGTTCAGAGAAGAGCCAAAACAGTCTTAAGTCTGTGTGTTTCAATAGCAAATGGCTTTGTCTTTTTAAATTGCATACCAACCTTATCTGAAAAAATGTAAATTCTACTGCTAAAAGCACATTCCTCTGAAATCAAATGTGGCCTTCATTATTTAGGGCTGGTTGTTTCCACATTCATTTAATTAAGTTCTGTGAATAGAATCAATGAAAGAGAGGTGGCCAAAAAACTAAGGGAAAGAGACTTTTGCAGTGAATATTCATCCTCTCCAAAGTTCTTCTGTCATTTAAAACTAAATAGCCAAACTCACTACTGAGTGAGTCATCTGAGTGAGGACCCCTGGCTAATCCTTTTCATTCCTTACAATGTGCAATTACCCCACAAGCTGCAGGTGCCAGTCCAGCACACATCCACCCTCACCTAGGCTTTCATCCCTGGAGCACATCTGGGTTCTGTGGGGCCACCTCTGCTCTTCCAGACCACCTCAGCTCAGGAGTTTGTCCCTGTGCACAGATCCTTGAGCCATGGCAGAGCCTAGCCTTCACAGCGGACCTTGGATGTTTGTAAAGCTACCTGCAGAGCTGGAGATGCCAGGATCTTAGACTAGGCAGTTAAGAGGCTTTACCACATAGGGAGCTTGGAAACTCACAGAAAATATTAAAATCAATAGAAGATGACTTTGCAAATAAGAGAAATCTTTTAATTACTTTGCTAATAAAACAAGTGATTTCCTTACATCATGCAGCATTGTAGAGTTAAATGTAGTAACCTCAAATAAACCAAAGATACTGGATGGAAAAATGTACTTCTGAGGAGTTGTTTTCTGAGAAAATGCATGTAGTGTATGAAAAGGAATATTAACCTCAAACTGCTGTAGTAATGTATCCTCTCCAGGCAGGCATCACAAAAACAGTAAATTCCTTGCCTGAATGACACAGAGCTGTACACTGGAGAAAAGACTTGTTGTTAAGGTTCCTTTTGCCATGTGTTGGGAATTATCTATTTTAAACATCGCGGTGTGAAGAGGCTCGTAGCAAGCTAGGGCTGCCTGCTTTGGAGCTATCAGCCAGCTGCAGACAGGGTGGTGTTAAAACAGGCAGATGAGCAAAACTCCTGCCTCCCTTTTTAGGTTCGGACCCCCCTGGCTGATGTAAGACCCCCAGACAGTTGCGAAATACTCCCCTTATCAGAATTTGTGTTTAAAGTGACCAATGAGAAGTRACTACTTGGAATATTCATGAAGTTCATTATAGTGGTTATAAAAAGCATGTTCAATTCTAATAAAGTTCGAGTTCAGCCGATCATGTCTTAGTGGTCAGAATGCTGTTTCTCCCGGCGCTTTCCGAACAAATGGACCTAAACTTTAACATAATGGTGACCTCCGACGTGATGAAATTGGAGAAAAGGCCACTTCGCAGGACGACGACGGCCTCGTACCACGGTTCGGCTGGAGCAAAAATGATTCATGCATCACGGATGGAGCAAAAATGATTCATGCATCACGGCTGAAG